TTCTTGACCACCACTATGACGTCACATATTGCTCAGGTCAATATAGTAAAATGAATGCCTTCTAAACTAGCACTAAAACCCCTAGAACTGGCCCGGCAAGGTGGTAATAATATAATATGGCTTGCCCGATATAGTAGAGAAAATAATGTGTTTGACAGTGTTGTATTTGATGATTTAGAAAAATATAAACTTTTGTTTCTAAAATGGTGGGAAATTCAAAAATTCGAAAATTATGAGATGAACAACTTTTTTTCTAGATGTCACATTTTTCAAAAAATGTCTTAAATGGCTTTCATGTCATATTGGAATCGCTACTTCGCTAGTTGAGATCTCTTTTTTGCCAATTTCTAGTATTTGAATGATTAAATTATAATTCCAAATTTTACATGGGGGCTTTAAAAATACTTAACATTTAAAGTAATTTTAGAAAATTATTTACTGAAATAAAAAATAAGATAATGAAAAGCATAGGTTGACAATAAGTAGATTTCAAATGAGTTCTCAACATTGGCAATCGAGACTGAAAGACATTATACATACAAAGAGAAAGAGAGGAAAGATTATGCCATATTTGTAAACATATTGAGGATGAGTGTCATTTCCTTTTTTTAAATTGTACAAAGAATAATGTTGAACATAGACAATTATTGATCAAATCTCGTGAAGTTTTAACCTCTTGAATCCCAGGCTCTAAAATTGGCATGAAACCAGAGAATTTTTATTTTTTGCCACCTTTTGACATTTTATTACATACCTATACAACTTTAGATGCTCAGCTTAGTAAAATTGGACGGCAGAGATCATTTCCACACGTTTTAAAACAATTTTTGTGTAAATTGGATGAACATTGTTCAAATGAGAGCAATTTTTGTGAAAAATTTTGTGACAGATTTTCTCGTCCCTCTGGGCACCAGTCTTATTTCATTTGTGACGGATATATCCGTCACTCTGGGTATTCAAGAGGTTAACTAGACAATTGATTGTTCTTGATCCTAGACAATTATTGTATATAAAAGCTTGTGAAATTTTAACTAACTTTGACCCACATAATTTTTAACCTCATTTCAACATTACAAAATATATTGGAGAATTCATTCATCATTCATTTAAGAATTTAGTCAGAGTGTATATCACACTTTAAAATGTAACCTTGTCCTTTCATCATGATGTATATTACCTAGAGATTTTATTTTTTGTATTTTGTATATATGTATTGTATTTTTGTACTTTTGCTTTAGTCAGTATTTGTAGTATAGATATTTAGTTTATCGTAGTTGTGACTAGTTATGATACAATATGTCAATAAATAAGTTATATGCCGTAATCAAAACTTACCATCTTTGAAATTGAACGTCTTCTCTGGAGAATAAATTCTTGAGAATGATGAAGATCTTCTCAGTTGTGAGATAAATCTTAATTCTAACAGAAAGACGCATTATATACGTTTTTCACCTGGGGACCATCTAATAACTTGTAAAGAATGTAATACTATTATCATTTCAGTTATTATGAACATGGGCTTTCAACAAGCCCATGTTATGAAGGATTTAGAATTTCATTTAAAGATTTTTTCATTTTAAATCACAATATTGTAAATTATAGGATCATGAATATGCCACATATTTTAGTTGTGCATGGAAAAATACAAAGTTCTGCACTGTTATTCATCGAAAAAAATATCTTTTCATGTTATTCTGAAAGCATTTTTCATGATTCATGTCCGTCATTTATTGACTTAATCTAGCGTGTCACTTCAAATTTTGACAAGAACTCTTCAATTTCTTTGGGAGGTGAAATCATGGATTGGTTTTGAGGTTTTCATTTGCTGTAATGCAGAGAAATAGAATTCTGTAGTAAGTAGGAGAATTGTTACTGATCCTTAAAACTGATCCTTAAAAGAGTAGTATTATTAATTTTTTTTTTTCAAAATACAGTTTACTAATTTTGTATGTTTTTGAAATCTTCCCTGTTTTTCAAAAACTCTTTACTTTTTGTTCTATTCAGTTGGTGCCACTTGCCACTTGAATTAATACTTGAATTATTATTATTGTTTGATTTATTTCCAATATTATATTTATTTATCTCATTAGTTTTATATGCACACAAACTAATGAGTACTTTATTAAATGTGGCCCTGTTTTAATTTAGCAAATATGCAAATTGCAAAAACTTGCCAATACATATCTTCTCCAATCTTTCAGAAATTCCCAGGAATTTTATTTTGTCCAGTGTAAATGTGCAATTTCTGTATGCTTGGAAAACATTGGATTGTGGATCAAATGTTTAATTTTCTAGATCAGTCTTATCTATCCAATAAATTGAACCATTTTAATGTTAGGAAGTCACGAAAAGATAGCATCTGATTGGTAAGTAGAGCAAAAGGTCTGCTCTATTTATTCATTTGGATCAATTTTGAAGGTATTGAAGCATTTCTTTGGGTTTAAGTGATTGATCTTTTTGAGCTGACTCTGTTATCATTTATCACCCATTAAAATGAAACAAAATTCGATCTTTTTCTTAAAGAATTTCAGAGTATGAAATGCATGTTGCTTCAATTTTATTCTTTTTTCAGTTTTTATCTACCTGACTTATTTTTTATTTGCAAATAGGGAATGGCGACTATTAATTCAAAACTCTGGCTCACTTCTGTCAAATTCGATAATTTCATCAACAGCAGTTCTAATCCATTGATTTTTTTTTAAATCAAGACATTTAAAATATCTTTATTAATACATGTACATGTATTCTTTAGGGCTATATACATGGAAAAAATACTTTTTTTAATTGTTGATTAATATCAAAAACATACAGTTTAATCCTTTATACCATGGAGTGGAATTGCTTTTGATGGTTGCTTATTTGATAAAAGCACCATATTTGGCTGGATAGCATTCAAACATGGCATTTGTGAACTTGAAATTTTATTTGGTCAAGAAAAAGTTTGTAAAATAAATTTTCTCTGTTTTTCCATTTTCACAGAATGTAGAGGGAAGTGCCACTTTAATTTGAGATATCATCTGCCATACATTATGTACTCTGAAAATTCCTATTTCTGTTTTTAGCTAATGTTAGAAACATTGTGTCTTTTGGTAATTGAGATGATATAATCCAGATAGTATTATTACAAATTATCATGGGCTTTCAACTAGAAGGGTAGGCAACTTCCCATATTTCATACATAAGCATTGCCTTTGGGTTTTCAAAATTGGAGAATGTACACATTCCAAAAAAATCTTATTTTGTCCTTTTTATGGATGATTTAAAGAAATAACTCAAAAATGAAAACATGATTATCTACATACATGTTGATAATTTAATAAAAAACGGAATTCGTCATAATTATTAGGCCTACAATACAGAAAGTGCACATTTTCCCACAAATTATGGTTTTATTGGAATGTGTTCTTGAATAATTACCTACAATGCAATACTCGAAGAGAACATCTTGATACCTCTTATTCTTATTGGTCTTTTTTGTTTACTCTTACATGAGATTGAATATATTTTATGCTTTAATCATATTGAAAATTGATTTTTATTCAAAATAATACTAAAACATATACATTTATCTAATACTTCTTAAAATATTACCATAATAGGGAAGCATGGCATTGCTCATTTTTAAGGTATCATGTTATTACACAGAGTTACATACCCCCTTCTAATTAAATGTGATAAAGAATATAGTGACACGTTTGAGCATTTGAACATGTATAACAGTTTATCACCTGATGCTTTTTCAATTATCTTCCATTTTTTTTACATATAATGTAACAATTACATGTTAAACATTGACGTGATTATTAAAAATATCGCTGCATGTCACTTCAAACTAAAGTACTGATTATTGAGAATAAATTGAAACTACAATAGAATTTAATGAAGTTTATTTTATTGACAAAATGACAGTTCTAATTTCCTCTAGTGAGAAAGACTAAGCACACACATACCAGAGGCCCAAGGATTCAATAATGAATTGTATTGAACACTTCATTAGTGTTTTTTCCACAATATTTGCATTGACATAGTGTCTTTGCTTACTTAATTCATTTTAATATAACATTTTTGTTATATCCAGAAAATATTAAGTGATGATTAAAGCACAGATTTCTCTAATAATTCCAGAGCAAATAGCTGAGTAAATATGCCATATTTGAGGAATATTAAGCTCAGAAATGCCAATTTGAATTTTATTTACATTGATGCACGGGTATTTGTTTATTTGGATTTTTTAATCATTTTGTACTTCATGGGCATTTTATTTTTTAAAAAAACAAGTACACATAATTTATATGTCTAGGACAATGTGTTCATTTTATTATCACAAACAAGAATACAATATGAATTAATTCTAAATATGAATTCAAGGTTGTATAAATAAAATAAACAAATGAATGTCTCATAGAATTTTAAAATGTCCAAATATTCATGCAATACATTAGTAAATTATTTAGAAATCTCTCCTGAAATGTCCTTTGATGTTCATTTCAAACATTTCTGCAGTCCAGTTTCAATATTGTTTGGTTGGTTGGGTTTAGTATTGGCTTTCTAGAGAAGCCTATGGTTTTCATGAGGTCATGTGACCAGCTTCACGAATACAAGCACAAGCTTTGAGCTTACGGATTAAACTATTAAGGTAAATAATCTGGAAAATTACTTTTTAGGAAAAAATTGCTATACCTGCACATGTTATTTTCTGGTACAAAGTAAAGTATGAAGGCATGTGTTAATTTCCTTGCTCTTTTTTCCAGGAAAGTATCATTACATTGTCCTCTTTTAGTAAATCTGGTAAGAGTTCCATGGGAACTCCTGGAAATTCTGATATTTCATGTTTTCTATTTTTCCAAATTTTCTTTTGAAGTTTCCAGACAACACAGGAGCTACCATTGACCTGTTTCCAGGTTTGCTAAAAGTAGAAAATGTAATGATACCTTCCTGAAAAAAGGAAGGAAATACACACATGCCTTTATGCTTAATTTGTACCAGAAAATAACGTGCGGGTATAGCATTTTTTCCCAAAATGTTATTTTCCAGATGTGCCTTAATTTTATAAATTATACCCTTCAATTTGAAGTTGAAATAACGAACAACTCATTAGTCGACAAATAGTGATTGCATGATTTTTTATGTCACTGTAATGATCTATTATAATAAAGCCACTCGGTTAAATTAGTGAAGAGATTGTTATGTAGGTCATTGTTACTTGCTACTGAATAGGCAGATTAACCTGTTATTTAGGTCAGCGATTGTGTTTGACACGATAGCTTTTAGCTATCGGGATGCGCAGTAGGTTTGTTGATATTTGAATGAGCTACAAAGCTGGTAGCCATTATTTGCCTTCGCGATTACAAGCTTAGTCTCTTGTTGTCCTTTCCTTTCTGCATTCCCTAAAAAAGAATTATTCAATGACTTCCATCTCTCTTCCATGACCATCCCAACATTGAGGTACATTGCCACACACCACCGCCAGCCACTTCCCCTTTTTATACGCAATCTTCAGCCAATGTGTGTGCCCTGCAGCCTCACTTGTTTCTTTCACGATCCTTTCACCATTCATAGCGTCTTCCACATCTTCAGCGGTCAGTTCAGCAATATGAACATGGGGGCCGACAAATTCATTGGTCGCTGTAGTGAGTTCAAGAGTAATGCCTTCATATTTGGGATGTGTAGATGGTTCACTAACGAGTGGTTTCCTGAGGAGTTCCATGTTATCTTGAATATCCATGACAATATCAGTTAGTGCCTCCAGGTTCTTATAGATGGTGCTTCCCTCAGCATGGATTGGCATTATGGGATAGCGTTGTCGTAAACGGCCAACATCAGGGATTTCTGGGAAAAAGATTCTTGTACCAGCTGCCTTTACTTTTCTCATAACACCATTACCATCTAAGACTCCAACGCTCCCTCTAGCTGTATCTGCATTCGTTTTCTCAATCTGTGTATTCTGGAAGAACTCATTTGGTGTGATGTAATAGAGTTTTCGGTTGGTACCATTATACGCCTTAGCTTCATTCAGTATTCCATTTCTTTTCCCAGCTGTGACAGTCATGCCAGCTTCTGACTTCGAGTCTCCTTTGTATTCAAGTTTGTAGGGATTCCATGAGTTGAGGGGTGTAAGGTATATTATCTCCAAAGGAAATGCATATGTCCACCTTGACGTTTCAGTCACACATTTACGCCTTCTACAAACAGTTTGTTCCATTGATGCAATCTTTGGTTGCGTCGTTTTTGCCATGAATAGATTATCATCAGAATATCCTCGTCGATGTAGTGCCTCTCCCATAGCATCTTTCTCAGCTACTTTGAAGAATCGATGATAGTAGGCAGCATTCAGCGGTGATCCATCCTCTCTTTTGACGATATTACCATCCAGAGTGGTATCCTTTATGTTACCAAGGTAGTTTTCTTTACCAGGGATCTCATACATTAGCTCATCAAGCAGGGTCGATCTTCTGGAACCTTCATCTCGATAGCTGTTTTTGTCTCTCAGTATATGGTTGATTTGAAAACGAGCTTTCCTTGACATGGAAAGTTTCTCAGTTTTTTCCTGTTGCATCTTTCTGGTTTTGATGTCGTCAACCAAGTGGAAGGCATGCAAAGGGACATGTCTTTTGATTGGATGACACATTATACGATAGTTCCATTGTGCATAGACAGGAGTAGTGCCATTTGCAACCTCCATGATTGTAACTGGAAGATAAGCAAAGTTTTCCAAACGACTTTTAGAACCAGTGTAAGATGTATACCTTACTTTCTCCATCAGTTCACTCCATTTTTGGGCGTCAATAAAATGGCGGTCACTTGTAAATGGCTCATCAATTTTATCACTTGTTGATGTTGTCCATCCTCCCTCCAGGTAGCATAAAACTGGTTTGAAATATGGACGGAAATCCCTCACTGAAAAGTCGTTATCTCTCCATGCCTTGAACCATTCACGGAGCTCCTCACTTTGGGATTCAACATCAGGTTTCGTTAAAACAGCGGGAGGTACCTCGGGAAATGGAATGTCCACGATATCATTATAAGCGGTTGAGTCTGGATTAGGCATACTCAGACTGTAATCATTATGTCGTGTCCTGAATTCAACACCATTCATAACAACAGTGAATTCTCCCATTCCGACAGTACGCTGATTGTTTGCATGTTCATGAATTGCTCCTACACCCCCAGTGTGCACATGGGTGTTCGAGTAGTACGATTTTGTTCCAGTTGCCATGTAACGTGTTTGCTTGATACCAGAATGACCCTCAGAACGGATTCGCTCCTCTACAAAGAACTGTTGTAGCATCAGCTGTCTGGCGAGCATTCCAATTTGAACACTTGCATCATTTTCACCTTGACCTAGGTAGGCGCAAATGGCAAAGGTCAACAGCAGGAAGACTGCACGACCCTTAAAACAAAAATATTGTACCTTTTAAGCTCACATGGGCATAGTTTTAAAGTTTAAAGTTTTCAACGAATCAACATATACTTAGAAATTCTTCTTAAAAATTCTTATATCAGATAGTTGTTGTTTTTTAGGTGTAAGCTTCTTGATCCAATGTTTTCTCTTTCATTTGCTGACTTCATTTCTTTTTCTAAATTGCACAAAAATATTTTTCTTAGATTGAAAATACATTGATGAAATCATTCAGTTTTTAATATTTATAAATTGATTACGTATTAAATTATTCAAAATAAATTTTAATCAAAACCTACCATCTTTGAATTTGAACGTCTTCTCTGAAGAATAAAATCTTCAGAATGACGAAGGTCTTCTCAGTTGTTAGATAAATCTCAATTCTAAAAGTAAGAAACATTATATAACTTTTCAAATCTGGGGACCGTATAATAACTTAAGCAAAACTATGAATCATGTCAATTCTCATATTTGGATTTTCATTTAAAGATTCTTCAAATAACATCATTGTGAATTATAATATCATGAACCTGGCTTGTATCAGAATGTGACCAATTGTAAACAAATAAGTAAAAGATATTATAATACTGATAAGATATAAATTCAAATAATACCTGATGAAAATGTAAAATGTCCAATTCAGGTCCTTCTAATGCCTAGGTCACATTTGCACCTGGCCAATTGAGTACTATGTTCAAAATTGAAGTTCAAATCTCAAATTTGCATAAACCAGAGTGCCATGTGCATTTATGTCACTAACAAATTACAATGATTGGTTGGTTCGAGTTAACAAATAAAATGGGGTATAGAAGTGGCTTAATTACATTTTTAAACTAGCTTATTTTCTCAAATATTTAAATCAACGTTTTAGTAAAACATTGGTTTAAAGATATAAGCCCAGAACTCAATAAATTGTATATGACTTAATGGCTGGGATTTTTCAAGTTTTTAACTTAGATGTTTTAACTTAAAATGTTTCAACCTTCGATAAATCTTCAAAAATAGTGAATTTTGTAAAATTTCTGCATGTCAAGTTTTTTTCTACACCATTTTTAAAATATGAAATTAAATAAAAAAAACAGTAGTCTAAAAAATGTGTGATTTTTGTTATTAGTGATATATAGCAAGGATCATTTCTGTATAATATTTTGTATTTTTGTTTTCCATATATATTTTACTGATTCTGTATGCTTTTGAAATGTTCCCTGTTGTTCCGAAACTCTTTATTTTTGTTCTATTTAGTTGATAGCACTTTCCTGTGAATAAATACTTGAATTAACAAAATGTTTGATTAATTTCTAAGATTCGTTTATCTCATTAGTTTTGTATGCACGCAAACTAAAGTACATAGTTATAATCCTGTAACATGTCAATATTTTCAAAATGGACATTTAGAATACCTTTGATATACGAGTGGATTATATCATTAGATTTGAGGTCCTAGGATATCTTAATACTCTTTATTTACATGGAAAGTCACACTTTGTTGATTAATTTCAAAAACATACAGTAAAACCCTTTATACCATATTGTAGAATTAATTTTGGGGGATTTCTTATTTGATAAAAACACCATATTTGGCTAGCATTCAAACATGATATTCGTGAACTCTTTGAGAGTTGATTTAATCATGGAATGAGAAATAGTTTGTGAAATTAAATTTTCCCAGATTTTCCATTTGTCAAAGTGCTCTGGGAATTAGCCTTGTACACCCAGGAATTTGTGCAATTTGCTGATGTTAAGTTGTTATTAGTTCATTTCACCCTTTCTCCATTTCAATCAAATCTTAAAAATAAGCAGTCAAAATACATTAGTGCAATTTTATATTATACAAAATGTTTGCTTATCTTTGATTACTTCTAGTTTGGCCAATAATGTGGCCTCTCATACAGGGTGGGCCAAAAAAAACAAATGCCCAAGTTTAAAGATTAATATCATATGATATATGTTAAACCATGCCATGTATTATATATCATTGATATATAAATCATTTCCTGACAGTGTGACACCATCCGATTGAAAAACATTTGTTTTCTTGTGGAGTTTGAAGCTAAAATTGACATGATAATCATCTTTAAATTTAGTTATTGATTTTTTGGCCACCCTGTATTTTGATGCTTCTCTGTCATGTTATTTTCGAAAAATAAATATGGCTGAAATTTCCACAAGTTTATTGCACATATTACACGATGCCCATGTCAAGCAGCGTGCCTACTAGGCACGCAGTTTGAAACTCTGACAAACTGCGCGCATATTTCAAAATGTGAGACGGGGAGGACACGACTCCCAAAAAGAGCCAAAATACGAAAAATACAAGGTTAGTCTCGTTCAATAGATAGTACCATTCTGTGAAGAAGAACTTAATTTACTCATAGTACTCGATGTTTTTCCCGATGTAAACCTAGTTATCTCAATATAAGGGTCTTAAGTAACTTCTGTGTTCAAAATTTACAGTGTAAAGTTATATCTATGTCTTTTTATTGTCATTTGCCGTTTATTCAGCCATTGTGTCTGTGTATGCTAGAATATATAGGATCACTCCATCTGATTAAGGCAGCAAAGTTTGTGTTCAAAATCTAATACGCCATAAACGTGATTTAAAACATTTTTCTTGTCAAACTGCGCGCCTATATTCACATGTATTTCCCAAACTGCGTGCCTAATATTTCCAAACTTCTTGCCTATCCAAGCTTGTTTTGTATTATTAGAAAACATAAGCGCCATACAAGGCACATATCTGTCTAATAGTAGAACCCCATAATTGAAACACTATGAGAGTCCATCCACCAAGATGGTGATCTGAAAATAAAAGTTTTTTCGTTCCCAACTTAATTGTCACTTCTATTATACATTTTGACTTTCAATATGAAAATCTCATAAAATCTGACGATAAAGCAAAATTTCCAAAGCTACATGAAAAACACCTACACGTGCCTCTGTAGAAATTCCAATGATAATATGTAGTTTTAATAGTGTATGTGCACAGTTTGTAATTTCTGGCTAAAATAGGCGCGCAGTTTGTGGTTTATTTCTTTTTAATCTCCTGATTATCTGTTTTATCTCGAAATATTTTGAATTATACATGACAAATGTGTAAGGAATTAAATATAAAATGAGTCTAAAGTATTTGTCATTTATGTTTAAAGTGCTAGATCGATTTACGTATAAATTCCCGTTAAATCAGTGACGAAAAAGCCATTAATCTGCTTATGTTTTAAAACTTAGATTCATTTGCACATAGTTTTTGCTAGTATTTGCAAGATTCGTATATTCGCCACAGAATGAATGCATTGAACAATGCAGGATAAATGTCTTTAGATTACGTTTCAAAATACAGATTCCAACTTAAATGATGCAATGTTCTTAGGCACGCAGTTTGTGATCGAAACAAACTGCGCGCCTAAGTAGGCGCGCAGCTTGACATGGGCACCGTGTATTAGTACTTTGTACTAGTTTGATTGATGAAGAGAAAAAGTGAAATGGACTTCAGAGGGGTTATGTTTAACTGCATTTTTAGAAACACACATTCATTTTATTGATGACAAATTGAGAGTGCCATAAAGAAGTTCAAATCCATGGGATTTTAAAATCATTTTATCCCTTGAACAATATAATATTATGAGGTTATATAATGGTTGATTCCGTATATCGTATTTATACTCAAGTGAGTATATGATATATTCACGAGTGACTGAAAGGAACGGGTGAATATATCATATACCCACGAGAGTATAACGATATACAGAATCAACCATTATATGATCTCATTATCCTACCCTAATATTTAATCAATAAAAGGTCAATCAAAATTCAGCAGTTGTATATCAAGTCGAAGAGTTGTATATGCTGCCCAGGAGTTGTATACGCTCTCCAGGGGTTGTATATCGTTCTCAAGAGTTGTATACGATGAGTGTTGGTTTTATATTGCAGTTATACAATGCTATTATACAATCATATAAAGCACTTAGGGTGGGATAAAATATAATACGTATAATATAATATTTATGGCCTTGTGACAGAAGTTCAAAATCGATGTGAAAATTATTTTATTTCTGGACCAATATGATATAATACAAATTGGCCATGCAACTGAAGTTCAAAATCCATTGGGATTTTAAAATCATTTTAACTCTCGTCTAATATGATATAATGGCCCCGTGACTGTCCTTCAGGCAGATACATTATTTGCTTATGGATAATCCTCATATTTTGAACCTTGTAAATGATATTCCCCATTTACTTATATACTCTACTAATGTATATTTATTTGTACTTCTAGGTTGATGATGACAAGAATGAAGTCTCAATACAATTTACTCCCACAATCCCACACTGCAGTATGGCCACTCTGATTGGTCTATCAATACGAGTTAAGCTTCTCCGGGCCCTTCCAGCTAGATTTAAGGTAAACTTTAGAAAAGGATTTCTTCGTAATACTCTACATTTCATATGTTCTCCACATTCATACAATTATAAAAGCATTTTTAACCAAGTTCTTTATATGCTGACAATTGAGTCTTGATTTAAGAAGCCATTAAAGCTATAGTGTATAGTAAAACCTGTCTAATCTGAACATCTATGAAAGATCCAGGGGAGATAACAATATTGGGACCAAGAAAAAGTGTGCATATTAAGAGTAGTTTGGATTAGAGAGGTGATGTTAAAGTCTCCAACTTTTTTTGTGGATGGTGTTTGGCATTTTGCGGTTGGTGTTTGGCAGTCTATTGCATGTTAATGCCTTGTTCACTTTGGAGAAGTGTGCATCCAATGTACTATGTAGGGAATACTCTCAATTTACATTACTGCCTGTAAATTGATGATGATGCTGTTGAATCCTCAATATACACAGGGGTTTCATTAGTTGAAGGCAATAGGTGTTGTGAGAAATTCTAGAAATTCTGATACAGTATTTCTTAATTCAAATTCAAAAAACAAATCACAGAACGAGTAACATGACAGTGAGACAATAAGTGGATAAATGATACTAAAAGTTTTGAGTAATAAAGTAATGAACTAATTACCATAACCAATCCTTGGTCCAAGGGTCAGATGCTATAACTTACAATTTCTATACTCTCAATATATGTATTTTTATGTCTCCATCAACAGTTGTTATAGTCTCCAACTTTTTGTGGCCAGTGTTTGGCAGTTGGTGTTCAGTGGTTGGTGGTTGGTTCTAGTGTATGTACCAGTGTTAAGTGGTCAGCATCTGTAACAAATGGCAGGTGGTGACATTTTGCATCTTAATGCCTTGTTTATTTTCATTAATCAACAATTATACCTGCTGTTACAGGTTGATGTCCAGATCTACCCAGGAACACATGCCTCAGAAGATGCAGGTATGTGCTGAATAAAGCTATTTATTGATTTCATATAAATACAGAAACTATTGTGGCCAAGAGACTAAGACTAAATTTTTCACAAATCAATGAACAATATTCAAATATTTCATTATAATGAGGAGGATGCATGTTTATCTTTTGCAAGTGATATTCCATGAAACCTGGAGGGTTAATGGAATATAATCTTGTGACAGTGCCACAGGTATTCAACGAAAATAGAATGAAATATTTGTCTTATTATATTACTGTCAAGCTTACCATCAACCATCATTAAATAATGTCACTATGAATATTACAAACTACTAAATCTCTCAGAAACATTTCACAATTTCTCTATATTTCCAGTAAACAAACAGCTAGCTGATAAAGAAAGAGTCGCTGCAGCTTTAGAGAACTCTCACCTCCTTGAGGTGGTCAACCAATGTCTAACTAGCAGGAAGACTTGATAGCAACTTTGGAATAATGAATGTGTATCATATATAGTGTACAGAAATTATCTGGCTATTGCTAGATAGGTCAGCCAATGTCTAATACTATCAGGAAGACTTGATAGCAACTCTGGAATATATGTACATGTATGTCTAAATGTATGTAGGTTACAAATCTCACAGAGCCTGGCATGTACAGAACTACCCCTGGAGACCTTCATATTATACAGAAACCTTAACGGATACAGTAGAACAGAGTGCTTATTTATGAGGGGTGTATTCCTGCTATGGTTTCCCTACATTGATGAGCCTGACATGTACAGACCTACCCCTGGAGACCTGCATGTTATACACAAACCTTAATGGATACAGTAGAACAGTGCTTATTTATGAGGGGTGAATTCCTGCTATGGTTTTCCTACCATGCATTGATGATATCTCAAAAAGAGAAGCCAGTTCTGAGGTATATTTAACAAATATCAAAACATCAAAGAATGTTAGGTACGTAGTACCTGGTCCTCAAAGTTATAAACCATTATATGTAACATAACTTATTCAGTATTTTGTCATTAACTTAGATCTTATATTGCCTATGGCTTTATTTGTGCATTAAAAGCTGGTATACATTTATCAATACCATTGATGTACATGTACATTCATCATATCACATTTTTGTTTTGTGTATGTATCTGATGTGAATAAAGAAATCAGTAAAGATAATACAGTAAAACCTGTGTATAGTGAACACCTATGGAGCCACAAAAAGTGTATAATGTAGGTGTTCACTACAGAGGGGATTTATACAGTTGTCATTGTACAATGTGTCTTGAAGTTGGTTTCACTAAACACAGGTGTTCACTCAAGAGAGAGGTGTTCACTAAAACAGGTTTTACTGTCCACAATATATGTAAGTAAATACATTAAGTATTTTATATACCATTTTTATAATTTTAGTTCATTATAAAAAAATATCTGTAAATACCTAATAATTGTTTGGCAGTGAGCAAAAAAGCAAGTATGTGTATGTAGTATATGAAAATTACAAATACAGAATACTTTCAACAAACTATTCAAATGTTGATTGTTCAAATTATTTTCAAACACTGAAAACTAAAACACACATTGGAGCGATTAAGCGAGGCTTTCAATCACAAACAATATTTTAACATACATATTCATTATTATGATGTTATCACCAAACAATGTACACATTGCAGCATTCAATAGTCAAAACTTTTAACCAGTCAGAATCAATATTTCAACTGAGTCACTTACACTTAATATCAGTATGGCAATAATGGGAAGGATGTGATTTTAAATCTGTTGGTGTATGCAGACACTAAATAGTAAATATAAATGCATGTAGAATGAGTGTGATCAGACACATTGTATGGAAGAAGACAGCTTCCATGTATATAATACTATAACATTACAAAAGAAGCAATAGTACATTGTGAAATTGGATTGGAGCATGGACTTTCATAATTTGTAACATTCGCGTAATGACTGTAAACTACAATGGAGAAAACACAGACAATCAGGATCTGTTTGATGGTTTAAAAAGGGAAAGAGCATCCACTTAATCAATCAAAAATTAGAGAAAATAAATGTTGGAATATTTGAGAGAACAGGAAAATCCGCCCACGGCCAAGAAAACAAAACTGGACATGAATATTCTAAAATATTTCCACTTGAAAAAATGTCTTCAATAATATTTAAGTATTTTGAAGATTCAGTTTCCTTGCATGACCCATGTATACTGCATAGGTCTGAGATACATATTCAGACATGACAGTTCTCAACCAATCAGAATGCAGTATAGCCATGCTCTAATTCTCCATATAAGAATGACTGCATCTATTGAATCTTCCGGGAAGCTATGTATGGTGTTGTACTGTGATGTCACACCTGGGAATGGCGGAAATAACAGCAAGTTTGGTTATTTCATGGAACTTAAAGTTTATGTTTGAATTGGAATAAATAATGATAGGCCATTCAATATGGTGAAATTCAATGTCTTGTTGGACAGAATGTCAGTACAAATGCACTCATCTTCAGTTTGTGCTTTGTACAACATTCTGTCCAAGTCATAATTTCAACATATTTATTCCTTAATTATTGGATTTTAGATTTAAAATCATTACATGAATACATGTTTACAGATTTGACAACAAAAGTTTAAAATGTATTTTATATTCTACGTTATGGCAAGATTTTATTATTCTGTCAAATATCAGTGTTTATGTACATAAGAATATATGGGAACTACAACTACAGTATAACATCCGCGTAAGTAGAACATCTCTACTTTGGAACTTTGAAAAGGTGTTCCACTTGGGATGTGTTCCACTTATAGAGATTAATTCAATACTAATCAATTGAGTGTGGGACTCAGTAGTGTTCAACTCACAGAGGTATTCCACCTGCAGTTAACATAGGTGTTCCACTTGCAGTTTACATAGGTGTTCCACTTGCAGTTTACATAGGTGTTCCACTTTACAGGTTTCACTGTATATGCAAAGGGGATCAAAACTTACCACTGCAGTTTCAAGTATGACACTTGAAATAATTACAATATGTGAAAATGTGGTCCTTTTGGCCCACCCTGTATATATTCTATGCATATCTATAATAGTTGTACCATCTGCCGAAATAAATATCATTGAAAGGTGATATATAAAGTTTAAATATTTGCTAGTAGATTAGCCGTACATTATTATGCTTAGTATGTAATCTCTTATTTGAGTTAATGTTATACCTGTATACTGTATAAATACAAGATAAATGTTATATAAAAATATCTATTTTGACACTGAAAATACAATACTAAATTTAAATTCATAATATAAATGCCTCCAAATCGTTTAAATGCATTGTGGTAAGCCGCGCCTTCTCCGTCTCTGTCCTTCTCAACAGTGGGGTGCACAGTCAGAGAGATGCTATGAACATCAGAATGATTTTTAAAACGTATCATCATAACTTTTTAACTCTAAAAATAATCTCAATGCTGAGTACATATTTTGATATGTAAAAATATACGTTGTACAAGCATTATTGACAATCAATGTGTTTTACTGCATGGTAAAGTATTGTGTTTGATGTGCTTATAAGTAGTGCCTGTTAATATGGTCAACAATGTACATTATGTACAACATGGTATGGAAAATCGTCATATAATAGCATCTAAATGTGTAAGCAACTCAGTATTTTTCCAAAAAGCAAAAACACCCTGCCCTTTAGAAAGTTTACAGCAGTTGTAGTGTTCATTCTATCAAAATGCCAATCTCAGACATAGGTATGGAATGTGCTTTTAATGGCCTAGTCACATAGCCCGGCCGATGTCCGGCATCGGTAGAGCTCGGTGGATTTTTTTGGTGCCACCGAGCTCTCCTCATCGGAAGCAGAGCTCAGTGACGTGAACGGACTCCGTCCGGACATCTTCAGGCGACCGACCGAACACCGGTCGGTGACCGTACGGAGTCTGTCTCAAAATGGTAGTTTTTTTCTGCCGATGTGGCAGCAACTACCGGCCGGAGGTCGGCCGGACATCGGAAGGAATACGGCCGGTACCCGAGCAGGTAACAGGACACCGTGCGATCGCCGGCCGGGTTGTTAACGGGCTTTGAACAGTGACCGGCCGATGCTCTGTCCCACATCGGCCGGAGCTCGGCCGCTGTCCGTTAAAAAACCTCGTCCTCTGGTTGTCTCAGATGCACGGGACACCGGCCGATACTCGGCCGTGCACCGGCCGACGTGTTTTCCGATGTGGTTACGATGGGGCTGCGATGACATGATGAGGGAGGTCGGTGAGAGCCCGGTGAAATTTAACTCCGAAGTTAAAATTTCACCGAGCTACCACCGATGCGGTTTTAAGCAACAAACGCCACGGATGTCCGGCCGGTGTCCGGCCGAGTTCGGTGAAAATTGCATCGCTGGCTCATCGTAACCTCATCGGCCGGGCTATGTGACAAGGCCATTAGTAAAGAATGTAATCTGTTTCAATGTATAGTATGTTGCATATTTTCTTTCATCAATTCCTGTATTGGCATTTTTTCACTCTTGATGAGTTTCATTGCGAAGTCATAGCTTCAAAGTGAAGTTCCTACTTCGTATAGCATTTTGACTTCATTCTATTTCAATGTGACATGTTACCATGAGGAAACGTGTCAATTCGCAAATATAAACATCATATTACAGTATATCAAGTTAGGACCTCACTTCCACCCATTGAGTGCCGTGATGATTTTCTCGTACTTGATGATTCTGAACGACGTGGACTAGAGTGAAGCGTGCTGGGATTGGTGCTTTTGGAAGATCTTGATGTGTGTCCTCCAGATGTCCCAGAATCGTCTTCCTGGACGGAACCACTCATGAATGGTGAGCTATGGAGATTTGTACTCGCTCCGGTTTCTCCAAAACTGAGGATTGTGATTGGTCGACCTCCAGGGTTCGTCATGTAGTGAACATTCTTATTCGTCACCAGACTAGGCTTGCCCTCTCTGAAAAGAACCAGTAGGATTATTAATTGTTTTAAAAATATATGGGGAATATGATTTTGGACTCTGATATCAAGATGAATCATATGATAGCAGATTTATCACGGAACTTTATTATTCAATTTTTGGATATAATACAAGCATGTGTTGATACATGATGTACACAATTTTGGTTTGTGCCTCTTTTGATACTTAGTGTATATTTTATGAAGAAATTAAATACATACTCAATTGGTGGAAGTCCAATTTTGCGATAATGTTTCCAGTTCTCTAAGAAAGATGGCGACACTTTTCCCTTTCCTGTGTAGTATCCTATAACCTTATAGAGATATGGGTCTTGACGACATCTGAAATGTAAATACAGGAATTATTATTTAGAATACATGTATCTCTTTTTTTGGGCAATGGTGTGATTGTACCAAAGCTCAAGATCATGGTGAAGCTCCTTGTGTATGTGTCTCATTAGCCCGGATGCTGTTTTTAATTTACAAGGGACACTACTAAAGTGAAATATAAAAACACAAAATGCAAACTTCTACTTTTGACTTTAGCAATTTGGAGGAATCTTCCTGATTTTGCTTGACTCCATATTTAGATAGAGGGCTAAATGCAGGAAACAATGGTATCTATGTCCTACAACTTTGAAATAGTACAATTTCCCTCTGGATATCAAGTCTCTTGCTTAAAGTTATCTACCATTTCTGTACTCACCTGTTTAATAGCTGTCTCTCACAAACATGATTATATGAGAGATATCCCAGTGCAATTGCGGCACAACCACGCACTTGCTCAGAGTCTGACATCATTAGGTTACACAATAAATTACACGTATCTATGGAAACAAATGCTGCTGGAACACCTAATAAAGAAAACAAATCATGAAATTATGATTCATGAAAGTACATGACTTTGTGTCTTTATTTCAAAACCACTTAATTTCCAAATTATTATATCCTTTCTTTCCAATTAAATTTCACTACATACAGCTCAAGTTTAAAAGTGAAAAAATAGAGAGAAAGAGCTGAATCAGAAGAAGGGCATGTAGTGAACTCTCCAAATTTACAGATCTGTCAGAAAATGAGATGGCTCTAGGGTTGAAAACTCACAGCTGCCTGACTGCCATTGCAAGTTGCAACCACTATTCACTCTTGCCAGAGGACTTGGAAAAACATAGTCGCCTATTTGGCAATAGACTGAATGCCAATATGTTAAATTGGGCGATCATGTTTTCAGCATCAGTGGTGACCCCTGGACAGAACAGCTCATTCGTTTTCAGAGAAAACACTAAAAATAGAGTCATTGACAAGTGGATAAAATACAGTCAAGTGGATTTTACCTGCACGTGTATGAGACAGCCTCGCTATACAGTCTGCACACAGAGCTAATATCAGCTCACTCTTAGAGACATTCAGTAGATCAACCAGTAGCTTTATTCCAGCAGCTGATGACATTGCCTGTTCCTCATCAGGTATTATCCTGGCCAATACCACCACCTATGAAGAAAATTCACAAGAATATGTTGAACACTATAAAGATTCTTGAAATTGATTTAACTTATGTTTTCAGTAAAGTAATATTGTATCTATGATTTTTCATAAATTTTTATCAAAATATTACAGACTTATATGATTATTTAATGACTTTCAAATAATCACCTGAAATGCTGCATGACATCGGAAAAATTCATCCTCCATTTGTAGGAAACTTAAGAAACAGTTGAACCTAACGCCACCTTGGGCCGCTATTTCCTTCTGTTGTGATTGATTGTTGTAGGCAAATGTAGCCAATGAGAGGCCAGCAAATAGGCGCACCATATCATCTTTAGAGTACATCATCTTCAGGATACGAACATAACTAAAGTCAACATTTTCTTGGATTTCCTCGAGAATCTCACTGTTTCCTGAAATCAGAAATACAAGAATACTTACACATAATAGCATAAATGAAAGTAAAGATGTCAGTGTATACAACAGTGAATATTTGAGTATGAGTATCATGTAAATTCACATTTTTGATATCAATATTGTTCAACTACATGTATAATCTTTTAGGAATTCTATTTTCCCTTGAACTGTTGGGGCTTGTTCTATTGACTGAAATGTCAGTGGCTTTACTTTTAAAAATTATCTTATTTTAGGATATTTTTGAGGATGTTTAAACATTTAAATGTTTTCTTGATAACTTGTACATTTATTTGCTTTTAGATTATTTTTTCTCAAAGTCTCTCAACTTAAACAGGGGGTATGAGAATTGCTGTGTAGAGAGTTGCCCAAGGGTGCCGCTCTGACATCCAGTGGTTTTGAGTAAATTTTCATATTTATCTAATTTATCACTTCTTCATTTATTCTGGGTTTTGCCATTCAAATGAGAGGCTCATGCAGAAAACATGCATGCAGGCACGTAACATGTATTTCTATTATCATAAAAAATTCTAAATACCCATACTCATGGATGGTTAGGTCAAACTAAATGAACTACACTTCCATTCAAAAGTTTGACAACGCCAAATCCCTTATTGGACCAAATGGCCTGTTAATACTTAGTGATTTCAACAATTGAAATAGGGATTGTTTGGTAGGAGTGTATATTAAGGATCCCAATATGTAATATAAAGAGCTTTAAAAGTTAAAGCACTTAAAACTTTAAGCAATCTTAAATAGATCAAGGATACAGTTGCCTTCATGGATGTTGATGCAGTGCTAAGTGAAATACTGATAGACCTTTTTAAAGTGAGCTGTGATTTTTATAGACTTTATTTACGAGTCAATTACCTGAAACCTGCATCTACCTTACCTTGAGCATTGATTTTCGATATGAGCCATAGACGTAATCCCTAGGCAACCTCTTTCATAGAACTTCAATCAATTCTTTACGAATAATAAGAAATATGAACAATTGCCTTGTATGAATAGTCCACATTGATTTTCTGCATCATTATAATGTTAATAATTACGAATTATCACGATTTAGAGTCAAGATCTTGATAGAACCCTTAAAGGTTGGACAATATAGCAAGAAAATTTCTGTTCAACATATTGATCTTAATGTGGAACACAAATTAGATTATTTCGAGCCTTTTGTAATAATTATATGATTTTGACATTTAGTCTGAATAAATTTTGACATTTAGTCTGAATAAAGCTAGATTCTGCATAAAGTAAAATCCAAATGCCTCTGGGACTGGACAAAAGTGTTCAGTTCAGCAGGTGTTCAGATTTCAAGTTTTTATTCACAAGTGAGTCAATGAGAGAATTGGGACCATGAACGAGTTCACATTAATAGGTGTTGCTGTTGAGATTGGAGAGATGTCCGGAAAGGTCATACAGGTTTCATTGTACTCACCAAGAGCAGCACAGCCAAGTGTTAATGCTGACTCCACTTGTATCAACTCGTTCTGAGAGTGTACCATCAAGGCCACGAGGAATTTGATTCCGCGACTTTGACTCAAAGTTTGTTGGTTCTTTGGATGGGGGACATAGCCTATACTGACACACAGGTGACGTAGTGTCCGAATCACACTTAACACAATGTATTCTTTATTCGAGCGGAGTAATCTCACGAGAGGGTGGACACCATTAGCGTGCGCTATTGCAGTTTGTTTGTTTTTTGGACCTTGGGCCAATACACCTAGTCCCTCGGAGCCGATATAGTGAAGATTCTCAGAAAGCGAGCTTAGGAATTCAATGAGTAACTGAACTCCCATCATTCCTGCCATTACCGTCCGTTCCTCGATATTACTCCCCGCTAATGCCCATAATGCATTTGCAGTCTTTTCTTGCATACCCGGAGCACGGGACTTTTTCAGAAGAGTCATTAAAGGTTCTACTGCTCCTTCTTGAAGGATTGCTTTCTGAGCATGATTATTATTATGGGCCATTGATTCGAGAGTATCAACAGCACAAAGTTGAAGATCTTTGTGCTTCACTTTAAGTAGCATAATAACATGTGGCCCGACACCTTCATCTACAAAAGCAGTCTGGTTGTTCTCATTGTTTTTTATAATTTTATCAATGGCTTTTGTCAATCCCATCAACAGTTCTTTATTATTACAGTCTTCATACAGATTAATCAGTGATGTCACACAGCCAGGTGTGCTGCCTATCGAGCCCTGGTGGTTTTCGTTCTCTTCCGCGATGAAGCCCAATGCTTCAACAGCCTCGACTAACACATCAGGATCTGTTATACTCTGAATGACTTTAACTAAGGCACCTATGGCTCCAGCTTGGGAAGCCTGAATGGCATACTCTTTCACCTTACACATTTCCTTGATAGTTTCAGCAGCTAGTTGGATTACAAAGTTATTTGAAGACTTCAGGAGTTTTACAATATGAGCCATCCCTCCAGACGAGCCAACCTGTTCTTTAACCTCCTCTTTGGAGATTATATTCAGTAAACAATGGAAGGCTTCTAATATGGTTTCGTCTCCTATTGTACCTTTGATGACCTTGATAATAGTAGGTACAATTCCATTGCTGTAAACTTTCTCCCAGTTTGGACTGATTTCATCATCAGCACCCAATTTAGTTAAAATTCTCAGACACTTTCCAGCCGATTCACCTTCTTCATCTGAATCACTCGCTAAAAATCGTATGAGATTTTTCCAAACAGGTAACTTTGGGTCATCAAGTTCGATGAAGAAATTAAGAAGTTCAATGTATTGTTTTAAGGCACATATTTCTATGACACCATGATTCTGGCTATTTATGACATTAATCTTTGCACCTAGGTTAAGAAGGCATTTGACAGTTTCTAGATTTCCACTGGCGACACTCAACATGAATGGGGTCATGTGAAGGTCATCTCCAGTTTCCAATTCCAGCTGATCCTCACTAGCTTTGACAAACCTTTCGATTGATTTGATGAACCCCCTGTGGCTTGCGTGATGCACATGGGCCCATCCATTTTCGTCCAGATCATTCATCTTGGTGGTGCTCCCAGTTAGACGGGTAACATACACTGACTTGTTAACCCTGAAAATAAAAAAAATTCTTGAAATTATAAGTAGGCCTAATTCTCAAAATGTATATATATATCAAAAAAACATATTTATGTAGTACATGTTCAAAGTAAATAGAAAACTAATTGCTTAAATTTACATTTTGTCTGAGTATATATTTTTGAATATGCTAATATATTAATCATTTCATTAATTTTATATAATTATTTCATATTATATTAATGCCTTGAATTCTCAAAAAATCTAAATCAATACAGAATTAGATTTAGTTATCATTCAATGCTCTATCCCAATATTTTCTTGTACCTAATATTTTGTTCACTTTACCGAATTGACTTAATTATGTAAGTTCTGGTCTGTCATATAAACAAATTCAACCAAGCTGCAGGAAGAATTTCAGAAAACTACTATTTATATTTGTTTGTTCAAAAGTGTCATTTAAAGCTGGACTGCGCTCCGAAACGCAATCTTGGGTTGTTTCGGGGGTGAACTTTATCATTTTGAGCCTAATGAAAGATTATAGAATGATGAACAAATGGGGCAAATCTTGTGTAGAAATACAGGGTGATCACTAAGTTCTGGGAATTTATCTGTCATTTCATTATTTTTCAACCAATTTACTTGATATTTTCAAGATAAAAGGGGAATGTAATTTTGGGTTGGATAAAACAGTCTCATCGTCATCTGATGTCACAATGGATAATTATTGTTACTATAGCAACATGACAAATGGCGTAGCGGGTCAAGTAAAATAAAAATGAAATCAAATTTTGCTTGATCCAAAAGTATGTTTAGTAAATACCTATTTGGTGGACATATTTCTGTGATTTTTTATATTTTCAAATACTTCTAACTTTAGTTTCTAAAGTAACATATTTATTGTTATATAAGAGTGTACTTTGCTCTATTTTTGTATCATTCATCAGCATCTCAAAGTCACAATCATGACTCAATATAGCGGGGAGTTATCTTCCATTATGACTATGCTCCTTCCCATTACTCAAGCTGCCCATACTACTCTTGAAGAATTAGGGTTCACACAAGTTATTACTGCCCCATATTCACCAGACAATATTCACCAGATGAAGCACCATTAGGCTTCACTACATTTTGGGTGCTAAAGCATTATATGAGAGGTCATAAGTTTGATTCCGATAAGGGACTGATTTCAACGGCTTGGGCAAATCTTCAAGGGATACTACAGGGAGGACTGGAACACATCTTTATGGACTAAGTTTGTCAACAACGCATGTGCGTCCAGGCTAATGGAAACAATCATAAACAAAATGATCCTCTCAGCAATGAAGAATACTTCTGAATTAAAGACTTCAAGAGTACTGTTCTGCCTCTAGTACACGTAGTTTGAAGCAACCATCTAGGTAAGATGAATATGTTTTGCAGGAAACTTTAAGACTAACATCAGTCAAAATTTGCTGACCCGCGATCCACTTTCACTTTTTTTGTAATTACAATAAAACAAATTGTAGATGTGATATGTATATGAAACATTGCTTGTCAATTCAGAATTATACAATGTACACCTACTGAAAATTTCAACTCAAATGGTTGAGAAATCTTGAAATGGCAGACTAATTCCCAGAACTTAAGGTTCAGCTGGAAAGTAACATTTTGGTAAAAAATTGCTATACCTGCACATGTTATTTTCTGGTACATAATTAAGTATGAAGGCATGTGTGTATTTCCTTGCTTTTTTCAGGAAAGTATCATTACACTGTCTACTTTTAGTAAACCTGGAAACAGGTCAATGGTAGCTCCTGTGTTGTCTGGAAACTTTGAAAGAAAATTTGGAAAAACAGGAAGTGTGAAATATCAGAATTCCCTGGAGTTCCCTTTGAACGCCTACCAGATATTCTAAAAGAAGACAATGTAATGATACTTTCCTGAAAAAAGCAAGGAAATTGATACATGCCTTCATACTTAATTATGTACCAGAAAATTACATGTGCAGGTATAGCAATTTTTTACTAAAATGTTACTTTCCAGCTGTACCTTAATGATCACCCTGTACTTACGATAAATGTGTCATTTCAAAGATTATTCATTGAATTGCTTCGATCGGCGCCGACGATATGATTTTGGAAAAGTTTCTAAATGAAGAACGTGACGTCACTTCCGAATCATAGCATTGAAAATAAGTAGCGTTTAATTACTTCCAACATTCATAAGAAGACGGTGGTCTAGGGGTACAATTCTCGCTTAGCACGCGGGGGGGCCCAGGTTCGAATCCCGCATTCGCCTTTTTATTTTTTTAACTAAATGATTGTTCTTTGATATAACGCAGAAAAAAACAATTTTTATTTACATAAACTTTATATTAGAGCTTAAAAATGTAAAAACAATATATGTCAACATATTGCGTTTTGGAGCGATGTGCAGGTTTAACATTAAAATTAAAATATGTTTTAAAAGACTTCTTATCATTTTAGTTTATACTTACATGTTTTGAAATATGTTAGTCATGATATAAAGTGATGTTTTAGCAGAGCAATAAGTCTAAAATATAATTTTCAATATCCACATTTAGAATAAGCTATTATCTGGTATCCATATACATGTAGCTCCACCAGACAAATAGATTTGCCGTGTAAACTATCAGGTTTTTAAAATCAAAGGTCCTGGTAGAATACTGTCAGACAGATTTCTAATTAACTCATGAGTCCTGACGAAACCGATGCTAAAATAATACTATATTACTCATGTTCTAAATGGAATGAAATGGATTATTCCAATCAAATTATTCGCTACACAAGTACAATGTATACTGCGATTGTTTTGAGACAAAATGGTGTGTTGAGAGACTTGAACGAGACATACTAGTCTACTCTACATGCAATCCTACTCTATTGTTATGCATTATTCCTAGAGGATTATTTGTGTACCTTTCATTGCGTGCCAAGCATAGACGAGGGGTTATCTTATCAGTTGTTTATCATGATTTATAAAGCAAACAACATGCACATGAAAGGATATAAAACAAACACAAACAGAAAGGTTAAGAAAACGTTGATAAGACAGAAAGAAGATGGAGACCTGTTATGGGTCAAAAGTTCAAAATTAGGGGTCTCTAATGAACACTGAAATTGAATTGAAGTTTCTTTTTTGCAGTTGAAACTTTTTGCACTCTTCCCTAAATATCAGTTTCATCGATCAATAAAGAGCATACGATAAGACAAAAGTTTGCAAGATATGCTACAGGCATTAGATAAACACAATTTGTTTACTTACGTTTGTGATAAGCTTGTTAAAGCAGTGTAAAATCAATAAAAACTCAAGTGATTTTCTTCCCATTTCCTCCTCCATGCTTGACAACGAGCAAACTAAGTGCTGCCCTCTTACGGTTGACAGGTGGTTGTTGGCGCGACACCTATCGACTGTTGATTTTTTTCGAAAAATCTAAAACAGAAACTATTTGCCTCTTTTTCACCAAAGCTGAACAATATAGGTATAGTTATGAATATTAATACAGCGGAATGTATGCAACAAGCAATGAGACTAGTGTCAACTGCTTTACAGTTCGATTCAGAGAGGAAATTGAAGGTAAATTGCAAATTGTGACATTTTCACATATTATCGCCCATCATATTTTTGTATTTAGTTTCGGTAGAACTCTCCTTACTTTTTGTTCCATTGAGATGCATGTTAAATCGACAATGTTCAGCTAAAAAAATTTCCAAATCTCAGCCCATCGATATTCAAAGAATTTCAGCGAAATGTAGCAAAACGTTGTCCACCCGCTATGGCTCAGTGGCTAGAGTCAGGTTTCCGCAATCGCTTGTCCCTGGGTGCGGACAAGTTTGTTTGTGCGTATTATAATTCTGGGTGTTTGACTGAGTGGTCCACATCTTGTATAAAAGCACAGATATTGGCCAGATCGTTTTGTAGTAGGATCTCATAAGCTCAAAGAATAATTCACAAGATACGACACTAAATTGGAAAATTAAAAAAAAATATGACCACCTTTTAAAAATGTTCCTTATACAAAATGGTATGACAGATTTGGCACTTATTTTAGAGCTGAGATCTTCATCTTTCTATTTCTACTTGTTTGGTTCGAGTAAATAACCTATGGATGCAGTTATTTGACTTTTAATACGGCGAATATTTTTCACGAGATCCGGACTCTTGTGTGTCCAAATATCATTGTACTGATGACGTCACATTTCTGGAACCACGGGAGCACCATTCAGATTTGGACAGACAAGAGTCCGACGATAAAATATAACTGTTTTGGCTTCTTATCAACGCAGCATTGTTTGAATAACGGTCATTGGTGATAAAAAGTTAAAGAATAACAAGATGCTTCGAATGAGGTATGATTTGTCTCATATTTTTCAGAAATGGCTCCATAATCGTCATTTTAAAATTTGAAATTTTCTGAGGTGTCTCATCTTGAGGAATATTTATTGAGCTACTGATCCTACTACAAAAGAATCTGGCCGGGATCTATGTATAAAAGGCTGTGGTATGTACTTGTATGTCTGTGTACAGGTGCACATGAAAGAACGCAGGGCTCCTCCGAGGAGTTTCTGGCTCTGTCTTCGAGCTTAAAAATATGTAAAATACGGAATATACCAATGAGTTATTGCTCACCAAATATTGCAATTACCAAGATACAATACAAAAAACAAAAAAACACTTTATTCTTACTTCCCTACCCCCATAAATGTAGTCATATAAAATCCGACCATTGTATGCCGTTCTTTCATGTTCCTTGTTCTTATTTGGATATTTATTCTTTATCATTTTCTTAGCATATGGTATGCAAGAAAATGATTGAAAAATATATATCCAAATAAGAAAAAATAACAACAAATAACAGCATACGGTGGTCGGATAAATGTGGGGTTGATTTTTCAAATCAAAACTTCCGCTTTCTTATATAGATGAAGTGGCAAAACATCATCATATTTGTGTATATTGACCTATTCACCACTTTCACGCACATCCATCCGCAGAAAATAATCCCAAATATTTTACCTTTCACTGTTATGATCGTATGTCTCCAAATTATTCTGTACACTTGGCTATATGTCTGCAAATGAGAGTATTTTATCCAAAGATGGTGCTGTACAGTAGTATACCATTGAAGTTCCAAAACAAGTTTTTAAAAAATACTTTCCTACAAAGTAGGTAAAGCGTCATACTGTATTTAGCACTTGTTGAATGTTCTTAATTCTACTAAGTTCAAAATTAGTTTGTTTGGACAATCGCGATTGTTTGAGCATTTTACAGAACATGCTTTAAAATACTCACATCGTGCCTTGAGGCTAAGTTGAATGTATTGGGCATGCATGTAGTTGTTTACTAAACAAGCACAGGCAACTTCCTTCTTATCTCTTGTTTCAATATTCCAAGGGTTGTTTATGTAGCCATTAGCCCCAAAGATAAAAATTTGGTAGGATTTATGTGTGGCGAGTGTGGCATGTTTCAACATTTGGAGCATATCGAAGAAGATAGACCAATGAAATTTAGTAGAAGGAGGAGCATAGAACAAGGTTTAAAATTGTTTGATGTTAAACTCAAACTGAATGTATGAGTTATCAACATACGTTTGTTTGTGATACCATTTTTTGAATCACCCTGTATATGTCAATTACCATGCTTTATTTGACATTTTAATTTTGTCATTTTTTCTAGGATGCTTATGTTCAGTACCTCCAGTCAGTATCTTACATTGTGCAGTTGTTACTATATCAGAGCTCCAGTCAAGACTTTCAAACAATCATGAACCCAGAATCCAAGAGATTTATCAAACTTGGACAAGAATGCTTAGATAGAATAGCTGGAATGTTTGATAAAGAAGGGAACATGTCATCTGAAAATATCATGGTGCCCAAGCATGTTGATGTTATCGTAGAGAATAAGCCAGGCGATGATACAAGCCTTAAGACAATTGGTTCTTCATTAGCTGATCCTAAGGATTCCACAAAAACAAGTTTAACACCTCATCCTGGATTGAAAGACATCCTTACCCCTATTACAATGCCAACCCCAAGTATTGACATTCCATTGATTAAGCCAGTCATAGAAACAGAACCATCACAATTTGAAATGCCTAGCACTCCTACAGGATTGGGCTTAAAGTCTGCTTGGACTTTAAGCACTATTTCAAAGGATAAATCTTCAACCAATCAATCTACAACTGTTCATTCGATCCCAAAACAAACAACTGCCAGCCAAGTAACCACAGGACAAGACATAAGGCAAGTTTTTATTTTGATCATTTTTAACTTCATTTTGATAATTATTCAAAATATTGCAGAGCCTTATTGACATTATATCAGGGGTTTCACAGGAATTTCTTAAAACAGGCAAAACAAATAAAAAAAACAATGCAAAATTATTTGTTATAATATTTTAAGAAAAATGCAAACAGAGAAAATATCTGTTACCTTTTGCTTAAGACACTCCTGGATCAATATTAATATAGGCTTGCACTCATTTCACCAAAGAAATGTTATGATCACACTGGAATACCCTGACATTATGGTAAAGTCAGATACCGTTGTCACAAATGGCGGCAACAGGTTCATATTTGATTTGATTTTCATTAACTGCATGTGTAATAGAGCACCAAGATTAAATTCTATTGGTACAACAATCAATTAAAGTCTCTTTCTGCTCATCAGTTATAGTTAAATTTGTTTTACCATCGAAATAAAGCCTTTAATTTTACTAATAAAACATGACACAGGACAACAGATACCATAAAAGATTAATTATCAGATCTATTTTTTCTTGGTTTATTGTTTTAAATGACGGTTATGTCTGCCATTTGTGACAACGGTAACTGACTTTACCATTGACAGGGTGTTCCTGTGTGATGATGATGAACTTTTCAAAACAAACTACACACATATATAACATATACAGTATGGCCATATATTAAATGCATAACTTTTTCGACATATTATATTATTTCATGATTACATTAATAGCATTGTCTATATGAAATGCAGGCCCTTGGCCAGGCAGTTCAGGGATGCGAGTGAACCCCCTTGCTGAAAATTCTTTCAAAATCATGCAGTTTTCACAATACTGAACACCTCAAGTGATTTTGCACCAAAATGGTCAAATGTGAACCTCCCTGGAACTTTTTTAAATCATTATGAATATAAAATATTTTGAGATATCTAAAATTTGACTCATATTAGCCCTTTAAAATTCGATAATCTTATGTTTGCTCTTTTCACAAATGTTTGACATGTTTTTAAAGTGGCATGTGTACTTATTACTGTATGGATGATTGCAATTTGTTGTCCATAGACAAAAATCAAGGAAAAATTGAAACGATCCATAAAGTAGAATACTTTTATATAAAAATGTCCATTATGTATGCAACATATTAAATTTGTAAGAATTTAATTTTCTTTAACAGACCGCCCATAGGTGCCAGTCCTATGGAGATAGCGACACAGCAGAACCAGCTACTCATGAAAGCATACCAGGCCAGAATGTCAAAGTTAAATGCCAGAGACAAGAAATCTTCAACTCTGGTAAGTTTTTCAAAAATCCTATTCAAATTATTCTGGGAGTGTTTTTCTACATGCATATAGCGGATCAACTTAAATGTTAATATACTGTAAGCAAAATCTTTCTGAATTGAAGTAATGGGGATCATTCCTGATAATCCACTTTTTTTAAACTTTTTGACAACTTTAAGAAAGATTGACCTCTTGAAAATGTCCAACATTTTCTTTATTTTGAACATTTAAAATTTTTAAAATTTAAATTTAAAAAATCCTTAAAATTTTAGGTTACTCTCAGTAGGTATAATACATGTACATCCGTTGTATACAGTTGGTTTTGGATGCAGGGTTTATCCCTTGGGAAATAAATGTATTTCCCTCAGCCCCTGTGATCCCTCAAGAGATATACATATTTCCCTCGAAATAAACCCTGAGTGTTTCCAAAACCTTCCAATACATAACCTTTATATTTGAACAAAATATGTTAAATCAAAATAATTCTAGATTTTCAAGAAATACAAAAAAATATATTTTCATTTTTATGTCACCACTAAAAAATGATGACATATTCTTCTGGTCTCTGCTTTTTTGTGACGGCGGTTGGCGAAAATATTTGACCTTCAATGACCTTCTCAAGGTCAAAAAGGTCTTTTTATAACTTGCTTCAAATTGATCAATTTTTTAATCATCCACAAGTTCTCAGAAGTTCAAATCTGAATTAAGATTGAACTAATAATATTGTGAGCAACTACTGTAGGTGGTGACATTTTGTCATGTTAATGCCTTACTTAATAAAAAATGTTGGCATGGCAAAAGATGTATTCAGCTTTTGGACATTTACATTTTGTGATTGCACAATTTTTATGTTCATGTTTTTAGTTGCACTTTGTTACATGAGTATCCGGATGTAAGACAAAAATATAGATTTTTTTTGATAATCAATAATAAAAAGTTGTTGAGTGCTTTGTGATAACGTCAATAACGTGACAAAGAGAAATTTTATCTCAAAATCATATGTATATTTATTTAATTTAGGGTGCATCTATAGAAAGATACATGGTGACATGTATGTTAAAAACATCATATTTCTGTCAAACTAAAATAAGTCTTTAAAAAATATTAAGAATACAAGGCGCCAAATATTAATGTGTTTATATTTACTTGAAACATGGGCTTTCAATTAATCTAGTTGAAAGCCCATGCTTGAAATCTTCTTTAACACGATTTCTTTTTACTAAAGAATCAAATAAAATACCATAATCATGCCCACTGCCCCCTAATAATATGCGCTTCATCCCCCAATAATAATTTCAACTTTACGTTAGTTCCATGTAATAAAACCTAGCTGGCTGTATGTGTATGCCATCTATTTTACCATTATAAAGTTATATATTAAATTATATACACTTTATCTAAGTTTATTTAGCCCTAAAGATGTTTAGCTACCTGAATTTACAATTTGGAATAAGTACATAATACATAATAGACTAATTTGTTAAAAAACAATGGGATATCAAGGACAGGGCTCGATAAATTATTCAAAGGCTCAACTGATGAAAGGGGATGAAAGTCACAACCCTTTTGAAAATAATCACAAATAACTCACTTTAAAACCTGATGAGTTTACAACATCATAAATCTATACTAATATCTCATTTTTTCTATCAAGTTAACCTGAGGTGTTTATTTCTTGAAATTATTATGATTTCGAAATCATTTGTCTTTTATGTTGTCATAGTTACATCATAAAAGACAAGATGAGATATCATGTTTACATAATATTTTCAAGTTACAAGCCCAATTTTCAAAGGCCCTACGTAAAGTTTTAAAATATAGCCAAAGTGATTTGAACTTTACATGGAGCCTTTAATATATCTCATTCAAAGAGTATATTATCCCATTACATAATAACAATAGTCTTGCATCAAGTCCTCCTAGGATACAAACACAAAATGATCACTCAAATGGATAGGGAATCACATCAACATGATTTATTTATTTATCATGTACTTTTCTTATCTAGTTTGATATCAATCAAAGGGGAAGTCTGAAGCTTGATGTAAGACTAACATTAAGAGTAATGTATCCTGTCTAAGAGCACATGCTTATAATTTAATGTATGCTGTATTGCTAGTTTCTCCATCCTCTTTCCACTGAGTCTAGAGACAGGGGTAGAAACCTTATGAATCAAGATGAGTTTCTCTGTGTAGTGGTACATATTAATAATACAAGGAACAAGGTCATTGCCAATATGTAATATGTTACTTGTGGGCGTAGCCAGGCACTTGGCAGGCGAGGCAGTATTTCATGGAAAAATATATGTTTAGATGTTTTTTCATCTTAAATGTGAAAATGAAGTTCACAGGTAGTAATATACCCCCAAGCCTAAATTTGCCTCACCTACAGTATATATACATTTGCCTCATCAAATGTTGTATCCTGGCTATGCCATTGAACTAGGAGCCTTTTCATTTAAAGTCTAATACCAGTGAAACGACTACTACCCGTAGTCCTCTACAATACAATATAAACAATAAAAATTTAACAAATTAATTATACAAATATACATACAGGCATGATAGTCTTCATATCTTTATGATGACATCTAATTGCCAAAATAAGATACAACCTTATTTGGTAAAATGAAAATTCTTTATAAATTGACATATGTCACAGAAGCTCAGACATTATGTAAATAAATTGTATTCTTACTTCCATATTGCTTCGGTGATGCAATTTCTTGCTGTTTTATGAAGCTGCTACCAAGAGGAGGGAAAACCCCATGATTCAATTGATGACATACGATTTCCTCCTCCACGCACCTCCTTTCCCGGAAGTACGTATACCCTCTATCTTGGTTTTCAAATTGACCTAGTTTTAAACCAATCAACGATCGACTCGCTAAACCAATCAGCGATGATGTCATCTCAATACGGATTTACATTATAAGCATTTGTCATCTTTGAACCCTTGGGGTTCTCCCCCTCTTGCTCTACCATTGTTTGATAAATGTACAGTTGCACAGAACTCCTTAATGACATTGTACAGATGATATCTCATACATCTTTTAACTTAATGAACTTCTTCTTAGCTCGTTCATCTTTATCTTCATCTGTGATCACCTCAAGACATTCAATAAAGAGACGTTTTACATTTTTCCCTGCAAACATCACTGTTTTAATCTTCAAGGAGCCATTTTCAACACATCTGGATGCAAATGGTTTCCACCAGCGGACCACTTGTGTCTCAGCATAGATTACCGTAGATAACCTTTGAAGCTCTCCGAGATAATCCTTCTGATCCGCAACATCATTAATCGTGTTGGCCATTATCCCGATCAACAGATTGAAAAGCATGACAGTCATAAGAATGGAATACACTACATAGATGATGACTAACACAACCTCAAACTGCACCCTTAATGTTGAGAAGTCCGACAAACCAATCATCAATTTATATGTTGTCGCCAGTGTCTCAAAAATGTTTTCCACATCTTTTGGGGGCCCGCCTTCTAGGTTTTTATACATAATGTAAAATCCAACTCCAAAGCCAAAAAGATATCCGATTGCGATCACCAAAAAACGTATGACATCACCATACAGCATTTTATTAACAGTTACAGTGAAGAAGGATGTGTAGTCGAGACATCTGTAATAGAATGTAAGGAGAATGAATCCAGTGATGATTTGAAGTGTGTTGAAAACATCAGCCTCTGGTCGTTTGAAGAAGAAGGAGAGATACCCGATAATTGTCGACAAGCCAAAAATCAGATCTAGTACAATGTAGATACCATTTCCAGTGACAGGATTGGTGAGACGCTTGTAAATCTCGTCCCAGCTCAACTTTGGCTTCCTCATGGCGATAATAAGGGTTATGGTATAAGTTATTGCATTGAAAGTGTGGTACACGCCATACAGTATGAACATAGAGTGAAATGTGAACACAACTATACCTATGGTTCCAAGGTATCCTGCATTCTCTAAGAATGTAAGCGATGTAGAATTTTGTTCAGCTGTATAATTTGCGATTATATCCGATTGATAATCTCTTCGTGGTATGATAACTATGCCAACTGCCATGAGTATTAACATGATAAACTGAGCCAGAAAGCTTATAAAAATTGGAAGCTTGTAATTATTCCATCGAAGTTGTAGAATCTTTTTCCAAGGTTCCATATTTAGCATTTTTGGCAGGCTACCAAGGTCTGATGAGGTGGCAATTAGAATTATTCCTGGTAAACCGCCGCCTGTGGGAACTTCTGGACACATCTCAAGATCAGTGATGTCATATTCATTGAATCGTGCTGGGCCATAACGCATTGTTTCACTCTTGAGTGATGTGGATAACAGCAACTGAACGAATTTGAGCTCGCCTCTGCGTAATGCAAACTGCATCGGTGTTTGGCCAGTACTAGAGCATCTGCCCATCATTAAATGCTCAATGGCTTCTTTACCACCTTCTGATTGCCAAATCATGCGAAATGCCGTCCCAGCAAATATTGGGCAACCTTCTTGTGATATCCTCACAAGACAATGAAGGAAATTCAGAGAATTAGAATCCACAATGTATATGGATTCTGGGTAGAGGCTCAAGATTAATCTGATCATATCGAGGTTTTGGATCCAGCATGCGATGAATAATGGTAACTCATGTCCTTGGAATGCACTTTTAAAGAATGAACCAACAGCTTGATTTGATAATAAAATCTTCATTTCATCGGGGGTTAGTTTGTTGACTAATATTTTGACCACGTCTTGTCTATCTTTGGCGACAGCATCATGTAGTATACAGCCACCCTCACCCATATCTGAAGTTCTGTGCATTATGTCTTTTTTATCACAATGTGGGAGAAGCATTTCAATTGCTTCATTTTGTTCAAATAGAACAGCCTTTTGCAGTAAGGTTATTTTTATGTCACCTTCTAACATATTTTCATCAGTTAGACCCTCAATAATGCCTTCAGATTTAAGCTTTAAATATCTCTGCATCAATATAGGGAAATCACCCATGTCATCTTTAGCTATACAGTCAAACATGTTATCTCTTAAAGTTGTCACTTCATTTGTTTTATTTTCATGTACACTGATCTCTTCCATGATACTGATCCTGTGTTTACCATTGTATTGTTCATCATTTCCAATATCATCTCCTGTAGGGGTGATGATATTGATAGCTGGAGTCAGCCCTGGTGATTTTGAACTAATTTCTCCATTGAAGTTTTCCTCTGGAGGAAAGAAAACCAACTTGGGTATAATTTCTTCTTCCATTTTTGTCTAATCTTTCCTTACTCAGTTGTGCTCTCTCAAGTAAAGGTAGTCCAATATATGAAGCAGGTGAACGCATTAGGCATTCCACATCAATGATCTGCATCAATGAAGCACTAAGTAAACTACATTAAATGTTTTCGTAAGTAGAACATTCTAGACCAGTTGTCACGATCTTGATTTGTAATATAGAATGAAGAGGGGTTGAGTCAAACTCTACACCATTGTTCATAAATCCAATTTACCATTGATTTCCTTGTTTCCACTGCATTTTCAAATTTTAATCAACTGAGATTTTTCAAATATTGTTTTAGAGACTGGTCAATAAAAATGATTTAAACACATTTGTGATTAAAAACGTTTTTCATTGCCCAGGAATTAATCTAGCAGAATCCATTGAAATCCTGGAGAATATTCTGATAAAAGAGTATATTCTTTAGACTAATAACGGTTTCCGGAATATATCTTTAATTAGACATTTTAGAACAATCACTCCTGCATACTTTCATGGAATTAAAACTTCTATATGATTTTCATAGTAAAGATAATACGCTGATTTCTGTGAAATGCCCAATATTCCGTATGTTTGACAAACAGTGTGTATTGAAATGGCCCATGATGCAGCTCTCCCTTTAAGTATTAAAACTGTGTAGTTTCAAAGTAAGTTCTAGAATGTGAGTTTTGTATTGCTTAAATTCAATCACTCTAGTGTAGTAAATTATTTATAACATATTTTTCCCTGCAGTGAGTTCAAAAAAGTAATAACATACATTGACTGATGTGATTGTTGAAACGACCCACAGTTACTAAATCTTATATCAAAATATCTTGATATATCCGATTTAAAATTTCAAACACAATTGTAAGATGTTCCTAACATTTATAATACCTAGAAGTTAAATGTTTAGAATAATATTTGGAATAATATAATGTGTTAGCATGCTTTGCGTTCATGATCAGTTCTTTAAAGGGACTTTTCAATGAAAAGAACATTGGGAAGGTTTGGTGAAAACTTTTTGTAATAGGTGTAGGCTATACTGATCAATAATCATATGTCTCAACTGCTAATATGCAAATCTCATTGAGTACAATGCCTCAAAATTATACTGTACATGTATTTGTATATGATTTAATATATCGTTTCACATGAAAAATATTTTAATGTTGGGAAGTGGAAAAGTGACAATTTTTGCATGTTATTTTCCAATGGAGATTATTTCTTGTCCTGTTAGAAAATAACATGTAAAATTTTATTTCCAGTTTTCTCAACCAAAAATATATTCTAGATAGATGTATAAAAAAGAGTTACAATTAATATGGATGCTTACTTTGGTATTTCTAATATGAAAATGATTCACTAGTTTTAAGAGGAGAGTTTGTTTGTTAATCCAAGAATTATCTATCTCAATATGTTCCAAACTGTGCATAACATCAAAAAAATAAAAAAGAACACAAGTCGATGGTAATTTTGTAGCACTTTTTCAAAGTACAATAAAAATGAAGTTACCCTTTGCATTTGTTTGACTTCACTTCTTAAAAGAGAGCTTCGTCTTCACTCTTTCAAACTAAAATAAACCTGTGAACTCACCGCGCCAATCAGTGTTCGTCGGCCAAATTTGACCGATGTTCTATGGTCATTACTTCTGACGTCATCATTGAGCCCGGAATTGACCAATGACATGCGCATATTTAATTAGAACGCATTTGGCGTATGTTTCTTTAAGCTCGCTGATTGGTGGAAGAAAGGTCATGGCGTAGGTCAAAAGTGATTTATTACCCAAACTGTCACCGGTACCCATCGTGGGGGCGGGGCTACTAAACTGTAATATGGTCTCCACTAGGCAGAGTGTAGTTTAACTAGACTCTGCACGCAGGGTAAAATGAAGTAGAAGATCATGCATTTTCCAGCAACATTGAATCACTGTCCAAAATAGATTAGATAATGACACTGGCATTCAAAACAAGACCCTTTAATTTCATTTTACTCTGGATTTGATGGGCCTTTGATTGATCTACAGGGTAACTATTCATGGGAACATTAAGTTTATATTGAGGATCATCATTCAGGTCAATATATAGGGCACCTAGGGAATATTAAGTACATAAATTATTAAGTATACTGTACAAAAAAATCTGGACTGTCTTCTATTCTATTCCCTTTTTGTATCATTTACTTTCTGGTTATTTTTTATATGTATATTATACACCTTTTTAAAGCAGAAATTGTGTGGTGAATGATTAGTTTGAAGTGTGGTCTTTAGATCAAATTGTGGTCGGGGGAAATAAAGATTTGGCCTCTATTACATAAACCTTGACGTCAGTAGCATGACTTAGCACTTTCTCATATATCTTGAACAATAACAACATATGCAAAGGGGTCTAATAGAAATTGTAAATTATAAGCAAGTACTGTATTAAGTTAAACAAGTGCAATTAGAAAGACTTACTAATTGAGCTTATGGAATCTTTGTATTGATTATGCTGGTCATTGTACTAAATTATGTAGTGATACTAAAAGGTTCAAATTTGTAAAGCTTTTTAGGTTTTCATTCAGGCTTTTGTTTATAGTAACTGATGGTTCACTAAGTGACTTCTGAATGCGGCAAATTGATAAATTTTTCATTAATGGTTAGAATTCATGAAAATAATTTTGATCAATAAAATGTTTTGTTGTAGATGAATATGTAGTGTGATATATAAAATCAGGGATCTATCATTTAAGGCACAAGCACATTCGTATATACTGGGCCTCTAGGAAGACCAGCTTTTGTACTGTCTTTAACCAGAAATATGCCCATGATTTCTCATGATGCTTTAGCCCCCACATACTGGTGTGAAACTAATAGAAGGCCATGATTTCTCATGATGGAGCTACCCAGAATAAATAAAGTTTTCAAATCAAACTAAATCAAATCAAAATATACTCTAATTCATATCTGTATCTATATTTGTGAACTGTCTTCTTGTATTGTTTAGGGGGAATCTAAATGATATTTTATGGACATTATTAGCCTATATTGTCTTTATCCTTATGTAGATTTATATCTGCATCAAGAAAAGTCTGTCATTTATATCTTTAGGCCATCTTTGATTGATTAATGGGTAATGATTATAAAAGCAACAAATTAAATATAAGAAACAATTTATAACAAAATCTGATTTTACAATATACAATTATTGACCTCTCCAGATGTTTACTGTCAAAATTATATCCCGAGACTGTAAACCGAGACCGTAGGTCGAGGATTACAGTCGAGGGATATAATTTTGACAGTAAACCGAATGGAGAGGTCTATAATTGTTTTGTTAGTCCGAAGAATATCTTAGATTTTTCTGACCCTTGAAGTTGACTTGAAGTTGGATCCAGACCCTCGAGATCTACATCTGCCACGGCAGTAAGTTCACTCAATGGAGTCAAATTACTCTCCTGGGCGAAGTCCACTAAAAGCTTTGTACAAAGTTTTAGATTTTTCTTCGTATTTTGACTGTCTTTACTCTCTAAGAGACTAATAATATCCTCATCTTCAACATTTTTGAAACGGCTAGTGCTAGCGGCGGCCATTTTATCGTCTGATAATGACGTCATTTTAGTGGAATATTATTCACCGGCAATGCATTGCGCGGTGTACAGTTAAAATTATTCACCGCTCGTTGACCAATCAAAATCGAGTATTTCAACTGAGGTACTAACAATATTAATTGTACAACTTTTTATGTTGATATTTCCAATGTTAAAATGGTTACAGCCATGATGTCTACGAATAAATGCCATTTTAAAATATCATTTTTATTCTTCAAAAATCTAAAACAAATCACCCCTTCTGTTACATCTACATGTATTTCTGACAGACTTAATAAGAAGTAATAATTAAATTTTTTATCCATCCTTATCTGAAATTTCAGGCTCTGACTATTCAGCGCAAAATGTCAGAAAATATCGCTATAGCACAAAGTCGCCAACAGGCCTTGGACAAGAAACTTCAAGAACGGCAAAAAAGAATAGAAGAACAAACTGCAAGGTAACACAAACTATTCATAGAGCATTTTCTTTTTCCTTGTAAGTGGTAATGTTTTAACTGGGTGTAAAAGCTCAAAAAAGGGTAGTGCAGGGTAATGGAGAAACTGGTAATCAGAAAACGATTACATGTATGACAGAAAGTACATGTGGTAATAGGCAATCAATTATTCACGAAATTAATAGAGATCTTTTCATAATTCATCACGTCCAATAAAATCATTTGAAATAATCTTCAGGAGGTTTGCGTCAACAATGGGGATGTCGGCAGAGGAGCAAGAAAGACGTCAACTTTATGCAAAGATCCTTGAATATGAACAGGACACAAAATGGCCGCTGACATGGCGTGAACGCTTAATCCGTAAACCAGATGATGATAGACTCATTAATGCCATGATTGAGCAAATATTTAGGTATTATTATGTTGCGTTTATTCCCATAATAAAATGGATTAAACATGTAAACACTATAACACAAATCAATCAACGATACAAGGGAATCCTCTGAATGTTTCACTAAACGTATCTATTTTTAAGAATATTTGAAAAGGCAAGCAAAAAGAGCACCCAGATTCCTATATATGTTTCATATCATATGATATGTGTTTACACACTCTGCTATGTATCTTACACCAATACATGTATTTATCACACTCTTATGTGTGTTTTCAGTTCTTCTGACCATCCACTTACTAAGCTGCTCAATAAATATCAATACGCCATCTATGATAAAATTCACCCACTAGTTGAAAAGTATGTTGATAAACTTGCAGCTGTTAAAGTCCCATACAGAGAAACAATTGAAACCAAGAAAAGTGACAAGAAATCAAACATATCAATGGCAAGCCAGGATGATAATTGCACGGGTGATGAAGCATTGAGTGATTTAGAAAAACTTGCGTCTGAATCTGTCTTAGAAAGTCTTGAAGATGCTATTGGAGCATCAAAGTCACAGTTAGAAAGTGCAATCAAACGGGGAAGCAAGCTAGAAAGAAAACTGACAATAGAGAATGAGGACATTGAGAGACGCATACATGGAGATGCTCCTGCGTTAACATCTTCCAAGTCTGATGTAGAGTTTGACATGCATGAATTGGATGATATATTTGATGACAGTATCGATGACATTGAGACACCAACAACTACACATGAAGTTCCAATTGAAAATAACCCAAGAATTGACAATGATACCAAGGGGTCTGAAATAGATGCTGAACAACTACAAGTGTTACACAAACAGTCACTAGAAAGGCACCTTGTTAACATCACAAATGATGTGCACACTTACCTTGATAAGCTCTCCACCATGTTCATCATTGCCTATGAGAGTCTGGACACAGCTGAGGGAAGGGACCAGTGTTATGCTTCTATAGAGGGACCATTCTTCAAGCCTTTGTGGGGATACCTCCTTGCATTGTACAGGTTTGTAAAAATGGTACAACAGTAAAACCTGTATATATTGAGCATCGCTGAGAAAAAATGTTCAGTGTTGGTATGTGTTCCCTAGCTACAGAGAGGGTAATTTATACAGAAGTTAGTAGAGTATGTGCAAAGGAAGGGTGTCCACTAGAGACAGCTGTTAACTAGAGAGAGGTGTTCACTAAGACAGGTTTTACCATTTTATCGTATTTTGAAAAATTACTACTCGTATATTGTCTTCTTGTGCTAATGGGCATACATGGGTGCGCCTGACATTTTGCCATTTTGCGCTGTTTATCACTGTAGCAGTGGCAGTCCATGTCTGTAACACTATATATTGTAAACGTTTAAATGTTAAAATGTATGTTTTAGGATTTGTGATCCCCATTAAGGTTTGTATACAATGAACCCCCCCCCTGGCATTATTGTAAGGATTTGTAATTAATTTCTAAAATGTATCTATTCTAGGGTTGTGAATCATGAAAAGGAAATCGCAGTTGCAAAATCCATGACAAGACACATGCCAGCTAATCCTGAAGATGTTAAAGTTAAGCCATTTGTATGTCTGAGAAACACAACATTCAGGGAGATGGTTCCTTATGAACAGGCAGTGCTGGAGCTCCAGAATATTGGTGACTATTGGTGCCCTTTGGATAAGCTGGAATGTATTGGTAAGAACATTGAAAGGTTGTCCAACTGACTTTTGAATTATTTTATAGCGTTGTATATGTGAGGAATACAACATATTTTATTCAATAAATTGTTACCTCTGTATTTTTCTGTATTTTCATATTCATATTTATTATCTTGCTTTGTTATTACCATTTACATTCGTTTGACTTCACTTCTTAAAAGAGAGCTTCGTCTGTAGTTTAACTAGACTCTGCATGCAGGGTATATTATTGTAACTGTCAATTGATCAGAGCCACCTATTACTCTATTTATCAGAAGTAAGTATATTGCACAAAACATTAGATGTATCAATGATGTGTCCTTTTTTACTAGACTCGATAATTTCATCCACATGTGGACTAAAATTGTGATATCTACCTAAAATCTGGTCACTACAAAATAACAGAATATCCAAATTCTTCAATGGAAAATAATTGAAGAATATTTTTATACCTTAATTTCAGTCCGTGTTTCAAGAAAAACTCTTGAGTGCATAGATGAGTTCTACACTAAAATAGGAAAGCCTGATGAATCTCCAGTGAACATAATGTAAGTCTTTATAATTTACACAAAGGAAAAACACATAAAAAACTAACAATGTTCTCAATCAGAAATGTGTACATGTATATATGTTTAATCTTTCCAAAAGTTTTTTCTCAACAAGGTGCTAAATCCTTATTTACTAGTATCCTGTTCAGATTGGCAGGATGCAAAGTGTCATGTAATTTTGTCAACACCCAAGTGATGACATATTGTTATAATCTCCAACTTTTTTTATGTACAGTATACGGCATTTTGTGTTTGGCAGTATTTAGCGATCAGTGTTCAGCATTCGGCATCTGTAACAAATGACAAGTGGTGATATTTTGCATATTAATGTGTTGATTTTGAATTTTTAACAGTAATGCTTGGCACATCTCCAATTTGAAACAATTATCATCGAGTTGAAACATAAAGACTGCAGCTGTGACTCCAGTTTAAACATGCATGCAAAAAGTTCAAAAAATTAAATTAAAGTATCAAAGACGCAAAAATGATACAGCTATACATTGATGAGGCTCATTTGATCCGATTCATCTCTTAAAAATAAGCAATATCAAATCAAGTGTTGAAATCAATTACTGATTGCTTTATAAGATGGTTCAGCAAAGCTTTGAAAGTTTGGCCCACCCTGTATGTATTTTTATTTTTTTTATTTCTACATATTTAGTGGGGCAGATGACTTGCTGCCTGTACTGAGTTATATCACCATAAAGAGTGGCCTTCCCCAGCTAGTGTCAGAGTGCCAAGCCATGGAGACGTTCATACATGAGGGGTGAGTTGAGCTTTAATACAGTTAAGTGCATACAGTCCATGAATATAATAACGACCCTGGGAACAATCTTCAAGGGAGCTGTAGTGTAACTAGCCAGATACCAGACTTGAAAGGGAGTATTCAATTATTTTATGCCCCATGCAGGAATTGAACCCAGGCCCTTACACTCCAAAGGCTCGACCCAAAAGGGCTAGCCACTGCTGTAGCAGGGGCTTGCCATTGAGGGTCATTACAATTATATATAAGTGACTCAATGCATGCATTTTCAGTGTTCTTTAGCAAATTAAAGACTTACTTTTTACTCCTCTTGTATTACCAATGGATTCATGAGTGCTCTAACTTTTATTTGGCACCAAAGACAGCTTAAATGAGACATATTTATTACTATAAATTATCAAAAATATTTTCAATCTGTGAAATTTTTGTGCCAATTTTTTGTAAAATGAAAGAAGGCGATGATGTTCATATTTGACATTTATGTGCGTTTGAGCGCAGCGACATTAGCTCATAAATGATTTCTTTAGGCGTTGTGTAAATGGAACAGGTGTACGAGTTGATGTTGAGTTGTTTTGCATGAGTGCATGTTAGAACGGAGTGTAACTTCATTCTGAGCTTTGCCACGTATCGAGACGCACTTTATTTTAATAAAATTATTATGTTTTAGAACATTTACATGTCTTTGATTGATCGCGTACCTTTTCCGCATTAATTTGAGGTTTTTAATGGCCGGGATCAATCAATTTCGATAAATGTTAGTTTATATTTCTTTGTTAAGTCTTAACGTTCACATTTAGAGTGTTCTTTCATGCTATAAAGGGAATCCTGTCATAGTATCGTGACCTGCGTTTTGTACTTAATGTGACTTGTATTTACCATGTTCATAACAACATGCTGTTACAGAGGCTACTTTTGCAATAAATGAAAGTGGCAAGCTCACTTCCTTATAATTTGATATCGTTGTTCTGTTGCATCGAGCAAAGCAAAGAATATGTCACTCATTCATTTTTTGGACATTGTGTCAACCAAACATGCCATCTATTCATTCAATAGTAATTTAAAAGTTAAAACAGTGTACACACTGATATCGATCTCTTAACTTCTCAAGACGATTTGAAGCATTTCCACCATTGTTTTCAAAGTAATTTCCAAATTAGAAGGTTGAATTTTTGGGGGTTCACCCTGACCTTGGATAAACCAGTGGATAAATCAGTAGGTGGATATTTGTCATATTTTATTCCAGGTACCTTATGGGAGAGGAAGGATACTGTTTAACAACAGTTCAAACTGCACTGGAATATGTGGCCATTCTTGACTGAGAACAATAGAATTAAATTCACTTAACTGTAACCAAGTTGCCAAAGTAATAGGGTATTAGATACTAGAACAAATCTTCATCACAGTTTAAGTCTTTAGACTAAGCCACAATGGCTCATAAGTCCCAGTGATGTGCATGAATTCAGGACTGCTTCTGTTGAACTATATTATCTGGATTTTGTGCCACAAAAGCCCAGAATTATGCTCATTATCGCTGTTTCTTGCCAAACCTAGTTCTTTCATTATAATTCTAGTCAAAAGATACGCTATCGTTATAATATATTTGTATTAATATGAGGAATCGATTGCAATATGATAGAATGCTTATTATACCCTAGTTAGAGTTAATTTTGTATATGTGAAATAATTTCTAGTTGATCAAGGTGTATTAGTTTAGCAGTGAAAATGGAAATAAAATACTTTCAAAGCCAAATTAGATTTAGTTGATCTCCAATATACATGAGTTATGCTTTATACAAATATGTTTTTGATATCCTGACCTTATGCTGTCATGTATTTGTATTTCTAAATATTAATTAAACATGTTAAATGCATTGTTAATATAAAATATTTAGTATATACATTGATATAAGAAATGCTTTGAATAAGACACAAATATGTAAGATTCTGTGAATAGAATTGTTATGAAAGTTATGAAATCTTAATTGTTTGACCAGCATAGTATTATTTCTGTATCTAGGAGTTTAACAAGTATAAGGGTCCATCTCAATATGTCAATGTGATTTTCTTTGTAACATATTTAAACCTTTTTTTTTTCTTTGACTTTTATGATAAGGAACAGTGAAGTGACAATTGTAAAAAAATGATCATTTAAATTTCAACATTTTTAAAAACGTGTTTATGTCCCTCCCAGGAGTAATCACTTTTACAAAAATGTAACGGTTGTTATAACCCGACCCCTTAGATTTTAGGAACTTATGTGATATGTTTGACTTTGGTGATTGTTCCAAATAGTTATCTGCTCTATAAAATGATACTCTCATCAAAGTATCAATACAAGGTGGACCAAAATATCCCACTTTTGATTAATCAAATTAAACTCAGTGTATGTACAGCAATAGCATATTTGCATATACAATTGGAAGGAGGATTCAATTTCCAATGATTTGACACCATCAAGATTCCGGGATCAAGATAGTATGAGCGAAATTAAATTATATGTCAACTTTTGTGACATGAGATCAATTTTCAATTTTAAGATCTTGTAAATGGCTCACCTTTGGAACATCATTCTGACAATTTTACATACATGTCATGAAGTAATACAAACTGTAATTGTAAAAGCATACTAACATATTTCAATTTTTATAATACCACCTCATTTATGACAGTTTATGTTTTTTTGAGATTATACATTATATGTTATATTGTAGAGTGTATTTAAAAAATATGAATGATTTTATTTGAACAATTTTGGAAGATGGAAATGGAATATAATGGAAGTAATAAATGTATTTTCTACTTTTTCAACATATAATGATTAGGCAATTGTTCTATTTTTCTGAACTCGTAAATAAAATGTTCTGACATCACAGCATAAATAAGCTATAATATGAATAATTGTCAAATGTTTCCTTATGTTTTATTCAAAAATAATTCAAATGGTTACCTTTTTTTTTATTGCCCGAACTGGTCCGTCTTCTCGCTGCAAGCAGGATAAAATTCTTTGTCACAAAGTTTGGCATTTTTTATAAAATCAAACACGCGTCATTGAAACTCACAAGATGTAAATAGCATGTCATTTACATCATACCTTGATGGGGAAAAATAGATCTTATATGTTAAAAGTACTAAATAAAAGTTATCGTGAAAATGAGACAGTCGTTCTCGAGAGAAAAGAGCATAAATGCGCATTTAGAGAGTTTTGATCCGTTTAAAAATCTGTAAAAAATTGGGGTACTTAAAAGCATCGGGAGGCATCATATATTTCAAATTAGACATGAGGAAGTCAATATTGAGCAAGTTATGGCTGTTTTAAATTCAAATAAAACCGTCAACCCGTACCGGTCCAGCTTTTGACCCGTACCGGTCAATTTTCGTTAGCTGCGTATACCAAGGGTGTGTAGCTGATAAATGACTAGTATGTTGAAGGATCAACATGCAAAATTTAAATTCCCTCATAGTATCAGCTTTCAGATAACAAGTGAACTTATTATAAAACATACAATTTGTGACATTGTTTGGAAAATGCAAATAAATCCCTGTTGTACTATATTTTTGTCTATATACTAATCTATATTTATTGAATATAATATATCATTTTATCAAAAGTTGAATATTCTTTCCAATGGTTTATAATAGTAAATATATTAGAAACAAGTCAAATTCTTTACTTCAGAGAATATTTTTAATTCATTGAGACTTTCGACTAATATCCCTTAGTCTTTTTCAAAATATAACAGCATGTATACATTTATGTGACGTCATAAACAGACAATGGAAAATTTAATTATGTAACAAATGACCTAGTAACCTAAAAAATAACAACAACAAAAAAACATAGATACGAAAAAACGAATGACCTAATAATAACCTTAAGATAAATATCATCGTTATGATATATTTCTGATATATTAACCAGAGATATGAACTTACATAGAAGTAAATATATTGATACTCATAATTTTTTGATTATTTAAAGGGGGTCACCTTTATTAACCCACCATGCAAAATGAAACAGACATTTCAAGTACATGTGATACCCAGGACAGGAAACTTTTTATCTAGATTGAATAAGTTTACATACATGCCAAGTTGTGTACTGTTTTGTTTAAAAAACAAGCTTATAAATCAAAGATTTGATGTTCAAAATATACAGTACAGGATCTATTTAAGTACCTTTTTAAGTAATTATGATTCCTCATTGAAGGGCTGAAGGGTGTTGTCAATTCTTTTCTTTACATAGTTTATCTAAATAACTTTGTGAAAATCTTTATATCTATGAATAATCAATCTTATCAGAGTGGTCAAACAGATCCATAATTTTGGGATTCACTCAAATATTACCAAATATAAAATCCTAGAATTTTGCAGAATCTTAGAATTGAAAGTGAAGAATGATTTTAATCTTTTTTGAGTACTGCTTTTGGGACTCATGTAATCTACAAATATATGTATCTTCTTACATATGAAGTGGTCACCATGGTAACATGTTTGTTGTTGTTTAGTAATATAAAGTTTCTCAAGTTTGATATAGCCCCTTGTATTTCTCACTATTGTACTTGAAATATCGTCATGTCATACATCGACTAAGATACACGGTGCCCATGTCAATCTGTGCGCCTACTTAGGCACGCAATTTGTTTCGATCACAAACTTTATGAAACATTATTTTAAGACATTTATCCTGCATTGTTTTCTTGTTTAATGTGTTCATTCTGAGGCGAATATATGAATCTTGCAAATACTAGCAAAAAGTACCGTATGTACAAATGGATCTAAGTTTTAAAACATAAACAGATTAATGCATTTTAAATTGATCTAGCACTTTAAACATAAATGAAAAATACTTCAGACTCGTTTTTTATTTAATTCCTTACGCATTTATCATGTAAAATTCAAAATATTTTGAGATAAAACATAATCAGGAGATGAAAAAGAAATAAAGCACAAACTACATGCCTATTTTAGCCAGAAATTACAAACTGCGTGCATACAATATCAAAACTACATATTATCAATGGAATTTCTACAGAGGCACGTGTAGGTGTTTTTTCATATAGCTTTGAAAATTTTGCTTTATCGTCAGATTTTATGAGAATTTCATATTGAAAGTCAAAATGTATAACAGAAGTAACAATTAAGTCGGGAATGAACAAACTTTTTCCAGATCATCATCTTGGTGGATGGACTCTCATAGTATTTCAATTATGGGGTTCTACTACATGTACTATGAGACACATATATGCCTTACATATGGCGCTTTCGTTTTCTAATAATACAAAACAAGCTTGGATAGGCAAGCAGTTTGGAAATCTTAGGCACACAGTTTGGGAAATACATGTGAATATAGGCGGGCAGTTTGACAAGAAAAATGTTTAAATCACGTTTATGGCGTATTATTGTTTTGAACACAAACTTTGCTGCTTTAATCAGATGGAGTGATCCTATATATTCTAGCATACACAGACACAATGGCTGAATAAACGACAAATGACGATAAAAAGACATAGATATAACTTCACACTGTAAGTTTTGAACACTGAAGTTACTTAAGACCCTTATATTGAGATAACTAGGTTTACATCGGGAACAGCATTGAGTACTATGAGTAAATTTCAGGGTTAAGTTCATCTTCATAGAATGGTACTCTTTAGAACGAAACTAACCTCCCCGTCTTCCAATTTGAAATATGCGTGCAGTTTGTCAGAGTTTCAAACTGCGTGCCTACTAGGCGCGCAGATTGACATGGGCACCGTGAGATAAGTGTCCTCTCAATTTTAAGACTTTCAATAGTTAAAGTAGATAGGCCAGTTATTATAAAATATTCTTAGTCTTAATACATTAACATAGCAACCGATTCAGTAATAACATGCAACAAAATTAGCATTATTGAACCATTCAAATAGTCGCGAAACATGGAGATGCAGAGGATATCGGGGGTCGTAGCTGATGATGACGACAAGGTTATTGGCTACAGGAAAGGATGTTTTATAAGCCGTCCCGTCGGAGCAGTTTTGATTATTCTTTTTATCATAATCACAACTGCCGTAGGACTGATCATTTTTTTCACGCATCCTAATAAAGTCAACGGTTGTGAGGTATGTAGCTGTGAGGTATCCAGAGGTCTCGCTGCAACATTAAGTCCAGAAGCACAATGGGAACAATGTCAGAAACTAGCAGAAGATCGTGGAGAGTGTAAGTAAATGTCATTTTCTAAATAATTATTCATCTACCACTTATATCAAATATCCTGAGTAAAGAAAATTTAATGTATTTTTGTTACATTCAACAAAATATTATTTAAAAGCATGTAAAGATGAAAAATTGTCATCTTTCAGTGAGCAGTGACAAAAATGACCAGTGACCTATGATTTTATGTCACCATCACAAGTGATGATAGATTGTTAGTCTCCACACTTATTTTGTCAATGGTGTTTGGTGGTTGGTATTTGGCATTCATTGTCTGTAACAAATGGCAGGTGGTAACATTTTGCATGTTAATGCCTTGTTATCATTATACTATTCAATGAGTAAAGATGAAAAAAAGTTGTCATTCAGTTTTGGATATAATCCGGCATTCTACTATTAAACATTTCGATTGAAATGTTATTTTGTTTTAAGTAAAAAGAATAATGTTTTTTGGCGAATTTATTTATGGAAGATAATTATGCAATTGATATTTTAATATATGTTGTCAAAAATTATTTTCAGGTTTTAATATATTTCAAACAAAGAAATTACTATCATGTCTCTCTGGTTAATCTCGCATTCATAACTTATATATCAAATAATGACTTAGGTTACTCATTTTGTTCAAAGTTCACAAGTAAGTTTTAAGTAGGTACTGACTCCAAATTTATTGTTCTTGTACCACTTCTCTAGTGCCCTTGATATCATGTCACAAGGGACAATAAACTCATATACATGAATGTTATCTGGAATGCCCTCTTATAGAATCTAGCTCTGTTGTAGGAGCTTTTGTTATCTGCAGCATGAAAGTTATTTTCAATGAGCACTTATTCCTATCAATCTTACATGTATGTGTATCTTTTGTGTGCGCTTTGTTCCTTATTTGAAATGTTGTTCATTGTGCTTTTCATCGTTTGGATACAAATTACCATTATTCAAATACCAAAATGTATTTCCTATCCCATAGCAAAACTATGTAGCCTTGCAAATTTTTAGTATATTATTTTGAGATAATTGATATCACACAATACCATCATGGATTCATGGTCTATCATGTTTTTATGCTTTCATTGGCTGACATAGCAGTTCAATATAAAACACCATTGATCTTGTGCATGTCTTGCCATTATCATGTACATGAATGATGGAATACTACATTTTATGTTCAGAAAGGTACATGTGTTTAGTATGGATTTGAAGGCACTTCACGAGAGCTACAACTGAACTACTTAACCATACATTTTTTATAATAATCTGAAGTTATTTGATTTAAATCAAAATTTTTCAGGTGCTTGTCCCTCGTCACCCACCACAGCCATGCCTCCTACTACACCCCCTGCAGCAACCACACCCCCTAGAGCTGAGGGGGGCCTGCGTCTCAACCGCACCCTCATACCAAGCCACTACAACATCGAGCTCAAACCTTACTTTTACGAAGGTGATGATTTTGGGTTTGATGGTTCCGTTGAGATACATCTAACATGCGAAGAGAAAACTAATGTGATTGTTCTCCATATTAACTTCATAACAATACATGAGGAAACTGTGAAGATTCACGATGCTATGGGTAATGAATTAAAACTTGCAAGCTGGGAGGAAGATAAATCAAGACATTTCCTGAAACTCCATATGGCAGAGGACCTAAATGTCTCTAGTGAATATGTTGTGAAGATGAGTTATAATGGAACACTGATCCATCCTGACTGGAGGGGTTTCTATAGGAGTTCATATGTGAAGGATAATCAAACTAAGTATGCATTTTAAATATGAATTATTATATAGTTCAAATATAGGTTGGGCTAGAAATGTCCATAGATTTATGAATTGTAAAAATATTTTTGCTAATTAAAAAGTAATTGCAAAATAGAAATATGCACTTTTAGGGCTCATCCTATATATTTGACTATATTTCCAATGAAAAGTGTCTTGTAAGACTTATTGAAATATCCAGATAACACAAAACACCATTTCACATTCCAGAAAATCAAATGCCTGCTAACTTACAAACATAATACCTGAATGTTAGATAAATGGACAGGTAGGGATAGACCAGTGTTATGTAAAGTACTACATGTATTTATAATTGATTGATTGCAGATGGTTAGTTACCACACAGTTCCAGAGGACCCATGCAAGAAAAGCCTTCCCCTGTTTTGATGAGCCAAGTTTCAAGGCCACATATAGTGTTACCATGGTTCGTAAAGCAAACTATTCATCTATTGGTAACATGGAGTTACTCAACACTGAAGATAGGTGTGTATACCTGTAGTTAAGGGGATAAGCAAAATATGGTTTATTCAATGATTACTTATGGGTTTTCTGACTTATTTAGAACTTGTGAAATTTTTAATGAACCTCTAATAAGAATGCAAGAATGGCCCTGGACTCTTTGATGTATTGAAATCACAAGCAATGAAGCAATGATAAAAACATGTTTAGGGAAAATTACCTTCTCTCTCCCTTCCAAAAAGACTTCATTCCAGGTTTCGTAACCTAAATTCTGGAAATTTCATAAAAGATGCCTCCTTTACATTTCTAACTTTGTTCTTCAGAGGTGGAGGCTGGCATGCGGATGTATATAAGAAATCCATCAAGATGTCAACCTATTTGGTTGCATTTGTTGTTTCAGACTTTACATATAAAGAGAACACAACTTCTAGGGGAACTTATGTGAGTGTCTTACAACTATTGTATGCTAAAAAAAGACTCTGAACTTATTGGTACAACATTGTGTAATGCACTGTATTTTTCCTTTGTTTGCTGTGCAAATTTTGACTCCTGAACAATTATATACATCCTAATCTGAACTTGTGATCTTCTGTACTATTTGCATATTCCAAAGACATTTTGACTTCTATGTTTATAATCATGAATTCACATTGTAAGACTTAATTAAGCTAGGTTTTTGCCCACCCAAGGTATGTACGATACAATATGGATGTTATACAGTTACAAATATCTTTTCAGATGAGAATATGGGCAAGACCTGACCAGATAGACCTTGTAGATTATGCTCTTGAAGTGTCAGGAGCAATCATGGAATTCTTTGAAGATTATCTTGACTCCAAATATCCCCTGAATAAAACAGGTGAGGATGGATTAAAAGAACTCATGAAATACAGGAAATTGAATCCTTTTAACCATGACATCCAAAGAAAACATTGAACATGATTTATCAAAAATAAATACTCTTCAGGTATTCTCAGGCCAACAAGTAATTGAATTGAAATGCTTACATAATTCTCACAACAAACAAATGTCTAAGTGCAGCCAATTGCAAAGAAGCAAACCCAGATCCTCCCTCAACACCAAACAACCATAATCACAATTTAAGTCATACTGATGTCATTAAGATATTTTAACGAAGATTAAAATAAGTCACCCAAATGCCACATATGGTGGTTTTATTTATGTCATTATTTACATATGATGATTTTATTTATGTCATTATTTCATATTGTATTGTTTCAGATCAAATTGCTATCCCAGACTTTGCAGCAGGCGCAATGGAGAACTGGGGACTTGTGACTTACAGGCTTGGACGATTATTATATGACCCTAACTATTCAACCATGGCACAGAAACGGGGCATTGCTGAAGTTATTGCTCATGAATTTGCTCACTCTGTAAGTCCTGCTTCAATTTGCTTATTCATAACTATGTCATTTGTTGAGCAATTCATCTTGAGTTGAATGGTGATCTTGGGTTGAATGGGTAGATAAGTCAAATTAGTTTTCTAATAAGAGTTGAATGATTTTTGATTATCTTCTTTTGTTGCATATTGAACTTTGTTTCCCTTTTGCTATTTTCATTTTTTAACGATATAATGTGGATGAGATTTTCAATTTATACACAGTTTTAATGGCTATCTCGAATTCATATGTGTTATCAGTATTCCATGTTGATTCCTCTTGTTTCCATTTGAGCTTGGATTCCTCAATGATTTCCTGAATTCCTCCATCATCATAGATTCTTGTTTAGAACTCACTTAAGAACATCTATTGTTATATTTCAGTGGTTCGGCAACTTAGTGACATGTGATTGGTGGGATGATACATGGCTGAATGAAGGCTTTGCCCGATTCTTTCAATATGAAGCTATAGAGAGAGTGCACCCAACATGGAGAGAGGTAAGCATGTTCAAAGTAAAAAGGAAATAAAATGCAGGAAGGAACTATAGTCATAGCCATATAATTGATGACACATCAGTACAGTGATCATGACTGTCAAAGCTAGTGGACTGAATACATGTACTCATCTTAAAGACCATTTGCATTAACCTAAGTCACACTATTAAAGTATATGTGGTACTTCTAAATTTGCATATTACACTTCAGCTCCAGTATGCAGTTAGGACATTGCAGTTTATTATGGGCAAGGATGGTACTGGTGCCTCCCAGCCTATCTTTGTAGAAGGCATAGAACATCATGATGACCTCCTTAAAGCATTTGATACCATCACATATAATAAGGTTGGAATAGTCATTGTGATACAGTTGTAGTGCATATACAGTACTCATGGCTATAATAGTAGTGAAAATGATAATGTATTATTGTACACATGTACCAATCAAAAAGAGATGCTGATATTTTAAGAATCAATCAGAAAGTATTTTTTATACATTGTGTGAAAATTTCATGAGAAAATATCAAAAATCTTTGAAATGAGAACACTTTTCCGTAAACTTATTGAATGACCTGGTACATAAAAGATCTAGTTTGATCATTATTTAAACAGGAAATCTGTTTCTGAACATGATTCATCCCCAATTGTAAATAATTTTTACTTATGATTCAATTGGTCCTGAGCAATACTTTAATCCTTAGAATTACACAACATAGTTATAGATTCAACTAGGGTCTCTATTTTGAGTTTAAATCCCACAGATCATGTTACACATTCACTCCTAGATTGAATATATTTATACACCTCATGATTATGTTGTTTTCTAATCTAGGGTGGCTCTGTAATCAGAATGATGAAATTCATATTAACTGCAGAAACATTCAGAAAAGGACTTGGAGTAAGTTGGTTTTTATTTCCTTGAATACATAGAATTTTAGAACCAAATGTGAACAATATCATACTTTACACAATTACATGTACACTTCTTATAATATTTCACAAATCATTGTAAATACCATTATGTGGTACCTAATACTCCCTCTTGGGAGTCATATCCACTACAAAAACAGCTCTTTGAATTTAGAGTTTAACTTTTGAAATAGCTAATATTTTTATAAATGAATATAAATATTTACAACACCATTAGTCACCAATAGATTTTTTGAGAATCAATGTATAATATATAAATATAGGCCTATTATACAGACTATACATTGTACTAGTATATTATGTAATACATTGATGTTTTCAGAAATATGTGGACAAATTTGCCTATGGTACAACTGTACACAATGACCTCTATGCAGTGTTAGAGCAGGTGAATATGTATTTTCAGTAGTGTAGTTTTTATCATACTTAAAAATGGTATTATTAATCTTTATTGTGACTGTAATTGTGTATTAGTTTGTGTTTGAATATAGAGAATTTTAGTACCAAATGTGAACTCTTACGCTGTATTTTAATGATTTTTATGTCACTACCATGAGTCAGTGAGTGGTGACATATTGTTATAGTCTCCAATTTTTTTGTGGCATGTTTAGGGTTGGTGGTCACTGTTCAGCATGTGCAATAAATGACAGGTGCATGCCTTGTCTATTTTGTCATTTTAATATTCTTTTGTTCTCATGTAGTGCTATTTATTCTTTTATGAGTAGCAAGCTAAAGATGATGGTATGGTAAGATGGGATGATTCTGTCACAAACTTCACTGGAATCATGGACACTTGGATTGAACAAATGGGATACCCAGTTGTCAAGGTGACTGTGGACCAAAATACCAACATGCACTTGAAGCAAGAGCACTTCCTGTTTGATGAAAATGATACTTTGAGCTACCAGTCTCCATTTGGGTGAGTTTCAGTTGGGGTATATATAGTATTGTATTGCTAATCAAATGTTACCTCAAAAAATATTTCTTTTTTTCAAACTAGAAAATAAGTATTTGTTGAAAGACATTATTTCTTTCCTCAAAATGTCTATTCTGATTCCCTCACTTATCATATTCAAAGATCTTGGAAACCTATGCTAGGCTTTATGCTAGGGTTTATGTTTCAAATTTTGCCCTTTACGCTTTCTTAATCTGTCTGAATTTTTGTCTCAATTCCTCATTCAGGTCTTACATTTGGGATGTGCCAGTGATCTATACCACAGAGGCTGACCCTTCCCAGGAGAGTGCTGTGTGGCTTTACAGAGAACAGGGTAAGTCAATTTGACTATCAGCTCATGCTATGTTGATGTAGTTCACTGACATAGTGCAATATTAACACCTGAACTTTCTGATGTATTATGTCACCACCAGAAGTTGTGACATATTGTTATGTTACAGTCTCTTTTCTGTGGATGATGTCAGGCAGGTAGTGTTCAGCATTTGTAACAAATGGCAGGTGGTGACATTTTGTATGTTAATGCCTATTGTATTATTTTATTTGTTCATAGAACTAACAAAGGTAAATGTAATGTTTGGCATCTAGCCAATAATGACATTGATCCTAAAGATAAGGAGACATGACTGACATTAAGATGGTTGATTGAGTGTAACAACATAGGACATGGAATAAGTATAGCAAATGGGAAATTTTAAATGTAGCAGATAAAAATCATTTTAGGCCAGAAATGTAATGAGTCCTTATTACCCTTCTCTTGCCAAATTGCCTTTCTTTGGCAAACTATTATCATTTTCATTGTATTGATAATCAATCTAAATCATCAACTGCTTGTGTGTCTGATATCTTAAAAGTTAAATGTTTTCATAAACAGTACATACGCAGTGGGGTTCCTTCTATCTTAATCAATCATGTTTGTTTCTTTATTGTAGAGAAAACACAGGTGATACCTGCTAAGAATTCCCAAGATTGGTTGCTCGCAAACATATATGAGCAAGGCTTTTTCCGTGTAAACTATGATGCTGCAGGTTGGGGTAGTTTGTTTGCACAGCTGAATAATAACCATACTGTAAGTGAAAACAATAATTATAATTGTTTTATATGTCTGTATATTAAGTAATATGTCTGTATTTAAAGGGTGATGCATATCGTTTAGCAAATCGAACGCTCGTTTCTGGTGTTGCTCACCATTTAGTATAAAACACTCGATCCCGGAATAATACTCAAGGGTTCAAAGGCTCGAGGTCGTTGTGTCAACACCTCTAACTTTTATATAACATTGGTACAGTATAGATCGTCACACATTTATAAAAGCCATATTGTTTTTATACGGGAAGCTTATCGGAACCATTTAGTTAAGTATTGATAATATGCTTGGTCAACTTTATCCATTGCTCATTCAACTCTTCTGCACTGTACTTCAAATAAGAATAAAAAATCAAAATATAGAATTTGATTAATATGTTTTTTGCTTGGTTTTGTATATTTTTAGTATCATCTATTGTATACATGTAGTTCCTATTTTGGCACATATGCTTAAGCCTTTTTACTGAAAATGATCCTTTGGTATGCTATGACTTAAATTTTACTAATTTTTTCTCTTTATAAATCTGGCGAGGCTAATCATTTGTTTAATATATAGAAATGTTCCTTGGCAGGTGTTTTCCATAGAGAACCGTGCCCAGATTGTGGATGATGCTCTCAGTTTAGCTAAGTAAGTGCATGATACATTTATAAATGAGCCTGTATATCATTGTTTTGTATATTCAAACATAACTTCAGGTTTTACTATTTGATTTATTTCAATAAATTTGTTTAGAAATGAACATATATAAATCTTTTACAATAATTTGATCTATATATATTTATTTAATTTACTCAAATCATATTCAATGATATGATTTTTAAAACTGTATATAAGTGTACAATTCAATAATTTGATTTATTTTTATTAAATCGTTTTCAGTCTTATACAATAATATGATTTATACTGATCATATACATGTATAAACCATTTACTTTAATTTGATTTAAATGTATTCAATCTACTCAAACTATATTCAATATTATGATTTGTCAAACTAAATTTTATATATTGTACAATGATTTTCAGTCTTATACAATAATATGATTTAAACTGAACATATACATGTACATGTATAAACCATTTACTATAATTTGATTTACATAAATTTATTTAATCTACTCAAACTATATTCAATGTTACGATTTGTCAAACTAAATATTATATATTGTATAATAATTTGATTTATTTTACTAAATCATTTTCAGTCTTATACAATGACATGATTTATACTGAACATATATGAACCATCTACAATAATTTGATTTGGTATATGAATTGTCAATCTATGTATTTATGTATACAATAGTTCGATTTATTTTACAAAATCGATTTAATCCTAATAAAATACAATGACATTAATGTCACATGAAATCCAGTTACATAGTTTTATACAATAATTAATTGATCAAATATTGTGTTTATTAAAATCCATTAATTACCAGTATCCCGAAGTTCCGAACCATCAAAAATTTAATTCTTAAACTGAATTTGAATTTTTTTTATTTATGATGGTTCTACTTTACTTCTCAACAGTTGAAGCCCAGTCTTGGATAAACATACTTTAGTATGTATATTCACTCCAGGGTTCTCTCAAGCCTAAGCGAAGACCATTTAAATACATAAATTTTCATTTACATTTAGTAAAAAGTGCCATGGAATATTCAAAACAAGGGCAACATTTTTTACATGCATCTTCTTTGAATGCCATTTAGTTATAAACATATTATTAAAAAGTGCCTTGAAATATTCATATTGTATACTTTGTATATGATTCAGAGCTGGTATTGTTGATGAGGTGTCTGGTCTCTCAGCCACAGAATACATGGGTGAGGAGGATGAATGGTTGGTGTGGTACCCCGCAACACAGGCCCTGACATATATAGACCTCATGTTGAGAGACACTGTCACCTACGGTCTATACCAGGTAGAATTATCATCATTTTTTTATTATAGCTTACATAGACCTCATTTTGAGATACTGTCACCTATGGTCTATACCAGGTACAATTATCATCATTTTTTCTATAATAATAGCTCTATCTTCTGTGAATTAAGGCTATACAGGAGTGCCATCATTCTTATGTACAGTGTACTTTTATTTATACAATAATAACAATACCATCTGTTAATTAAGACAATGGACCTCATTCAGTGAAAACTACACTACACTGCACTACACTACACTTTACTGCACTATACTACACTATATTACACTAAACTATACTACATTACACTACACTATACTATACCGTATAAAATATAATACGATATAAATATAAAATGATAACATATGCTACTCTATACTATACTGTTTTGAACAAGAACAATTGCATTTAATGAGACAATGGTAATTTCTTGTTTCAGAAATACATGCTGGCAAGACTGGCTATTCAATATGGCAGAGTTGGCTGGGATGACTCAAATATTGATGAACACATGGAAAAGTAAGAATTCTTTTTTATCAACTTTAGACATTTTCTATGTCTCATGCTACTGTGGTTGATGATTGTTATAAGGATTGTGAGAGTATTTTTTGGTTTTTTTTTTAAGGTTAAGTTTTATTTCTTTGCATAATTTTATATAACAATGTCAATATTTAACATACTAGGAAGGTCGAAGTAAAATTACATTGTTGGCCTCCTTTAGGCCGACCATTTTACCACTTAGAGTGGGTAATATACATTGTTTCTTTGTGTAAATATATTGCCTAACTTGAAAAATTAATGATCACATTCTGTTATTTTTGTTTGTTGGCATGTTCTTGTACAGGTTTTGTAGTGGTTTGAGTTTTTTAGATGTGGCCTCTGTGCTTCCTCGTATGGAAAATATGTATTCTTACATTATTATTTGACCTGATTTCAGATACCAGAGAGAGGTTGTCTTAAGACATGCATGCAGACATAGACATAAGCCCTGTCTTGATAAAGCCTCAGAGCTTTTTGCTCAATGGATGTTAGACCCCAGTAATAACCCGTAAGTAACGGGTAATATATTGCAAATTCTAGTATAATGTTTCATTAGTCCAATGGTTAGTTGGCGCAGAAAAAATTTTTTGGGCCAATTTATCAAAAATGGGCTTTAATTTTTCTAAATTTGGGCCCAAGCGTGGAACTTTTTTCCAGACTCAAAATTTGGGCCCCCCACATTGTTAATTTCTGAAAACAGAGGCAGCTTTGCTATTTTTCTAATCTGAATAAATGTAGTATGATAAAAATGAATGAAAAATGACGACAAGGTTAAGATGTGCCATTTTATGCATTTTTATGTGAAAAGTCGTATGATGGCCATATTTTGTAGAAATGGTTGGTAGCAACATGGGCTTTCAATTTCTTATTGAATACCCATGGTAGCAAGTACAGTAATCTTTAAAACAATATAAAAATTACATAAACATATAGGATGAAATTCTCAATTGGAAAGTGTCATGGGAATTTTCATTGAAAATCTCGTTCTAATGTGTTGCAGTTTCTTATACAGTTGATTTCTTAATTATTTGACAGGATTTCTCCGAACTTGCGACGTCTCGTGTACTGTAATGCTATCAGAAATGGAGGTGCTACAGAATGGGAGTTTGCATTCAACAAATATACAGAATACAATGAGGCTTACATTGCATCTGAGCTAACATACCTGAGAGATGGTCTAGTGTGCACCAGAGAGCCCTGGATCATTAAAAAGTAAGCTTTTTGACTTTGCTTCTTCAAAAGAGAGCTTCATCTACATTCTGAATCAGAGTATCCATTGATCTATTATTACCCTACTAGAAACTCAAAATCCATCTATTCAATCTGAACTGCAGATAAAAAAGATTTGTTTTCATAAGTTGCTCGCATTTATTTCAATATTCAAACTTCTAATTTATAAAAATAAACTGATCAAGAATAATTTTTTGCCTCATTTCGTGAATCAAAATATTATGTGTAGGTATTGAAGGTTTGTATTTCCATACAAATATTCCTATAGATGTCTCTATGTTTTAGGCACCTGGACTATGCTCTCTCTATTGTTTCAACCAGCAGTGTACAGTTATTGGCACAGAATCCTGTGGGGTACCAGATAGTATGGGACTACTTTAGTGACAACTGGTACAATATTCCAGGGTAAGAATTGCCAATTTTAAAACCTGTACAATGTACATAAAATATATGATAATTAACCTTTCCAAAAAAACTGCCTCCTTTTGGTACATCATAAAAAACTATGATATATTGGCTAGATTGATGATGCCATTGGTTGTACTTTGTCAAAATTAGCAAAAAAAGTAAATTCTGTTTTTGCATGGACAGATTGCTACTTACAACCAATGACATCATCAAGTTTGCCAATGTACTTGTATCACAGCTTCTTTGATTTACCAAAAGGTGGCAGGGTTTATTAGAAAGGTTTATGAACTACGCATTGCACACTTAAATGACCTACCTCGATACATTCCTTAGTATTTTAGAATTCTTTTTATGTAGTTGAATCGCCAATTGTATGGGTTTATCGGCAGAACGAAGAGATGAGTATAAACGTAGTGGGGGTCGTAAGATGCTATAATATTATAACAATGCAGTAATTAATATAATTCAATGTATTTGTTTCTAGGAGAGATAATGTCCATGTGAACAGAGGTTCTGTCCTGACTACTTTAACTGAAGGCTTTAACACAGAATACCACTTAAACAAGGTATGTATTTGTGGTTGATTAGTAAGGCATATATCTGATGCTTGAAGTAGTCTGACATGTTTAATTTTGTCATTTCCATTGCTATCCTTTTTATGTCCCCACCACATAGTGTGGGGCCATATTGTCGGCCTAGGCGCGTCTGTCTGTCCGTATGTCCGTCTGTCCATATGTCCGTCTGTCCGTCCGTCCGTACGTCCGGCAGTTTTCTCCAAAACCACTACAGATATCACCTTCAAATTTTCAGGGATAACTTATGAGTGCATACAGATGTGGACGAAAAAAATTAACTCGATACCTACTTCCTGTCGGCCATTTTGAAGTCAAATGCTAAAATCCTTGTCTGCAAACTTTAAGAAAAACGGCTTCACAGTTGCTTTTAAAACTTTAACATCTTGTTCAGCTCACTTCATTCTAGATCTGAATAGGTTTTGGACCTGTTTGCTCAGTCATGTCAGCCATTTTGAATGTTTTAAGGAAAGTTAGCGCACGATAATACTTTGTATCATATTGAATGGTGTTTTTCAGTTTTCATACTTTAACTATTTAGTAGCCTTATAAATAATTTCAGGTGTACTTTATTGTTAACAGTAGTTATATGTGATAATTTTGTAAAAAGAAATCAGCAAAAACTCATAATCATTTTTTTATTGTCGCCCATTTTGGATTTTTCCGTCCTAAAATCTTGTCTGTAAAGTCTTGTCTACGCGTTTTCAGGTGAATCGTTTGATAGATCAATTTCAAATTTTCAGGGATGATTCTTAGTATGAAAATCTAGATCTGATTAGTTTTTGGGCATTCTGAGTAAATGTCAAGGCAGCCATTTTGGATTTTCTGTCCTAAAATCTTGTCTGTAAAGTCTTGTCTACGCATTTCCAGGTGAACCGTTTGGTAGATCAATTTGAAATTTTCAGGGATGATTCTTAGTATGAAAATCTAGATCTGATTAGTTTTTTGGCATTCTAGATAAATGTCAAGGCAGCCATTTTGGATTTTTCGTCTTAAAATCTTGCCCGTAAAGTCTTGTCTATACGTTTTTAGGTGAACCGTTTGGAAGATCAATTTCAAATTTTCAGGGATGATTCTTAGTATGAAAATCTAGATCTGATTAGTTTTTTGGCATTTTGGGTAAATGTCAAGGCAGCCATTTTGGATTTTCTGTTCTAAAATCTTGTCTGTAAAGTCTTGTCTACGCATTTCCAGGTTAACTGTTTGGTAGATTAATTTCAAATTTTCAGGGATGATTCTTAGTATGAATATCTAGATCTGATTAGTTTTTTGGCATTCTGGATAAATGTCAAAGCAGCCATTTTGGATTTTCCGTCTTAAAATCTTGCCCGTAAAGTCTTGTTTACATGTTTTCTGGTTAACTGTGTGACGGATCAATTTCAAATTTTTAGGGGTGGTTCTTAGTATGAAAATCTAGAACTGACTAATTTTTGGGCATTCTGGGTAAATTTTAAGGTGGCCATTTTGGATTTTCTGTCCTCAAATTGTGTCGGTAAAGTCTTGTCTACTCATTTTAGGATAACCATTTGACGGGATCACCCATAGGTGGGGACATTTTGTACACATTTGTGTTCTTGTGTGTTAGAGTGTATTAAAGTGTTCTATAGTAAGAAATTCATCCTATTGCAGAATTATATATGGAGTTGTACTTTAAGTACAAGTTTGCACGTTCCTTGATCCTTGATTTACTCAGCATGAAAGAACCAATTTATTGTATGATCATTGCCTCACTGTACAATTGATATGTTTCACTGCACAATCAATGTGTTTCACTGTACAATCAACATGTTTCACTATTTGATCATTGTTTTACTGTAAGATTATAATATTTCACTGTACAGTCATTATTCACAGTACAATGTACAATCATTATGTTTCACAATGAATGTAATAATTATTTCACTGTACAATCATCATGATCCACTTTACAATCACTATCTGTCACTGCACAATCAATGTGTTTCACTATTCAATCATTGTTTTACTGTAAACTTATAATATTTCACTGTACAGTCATTTATTCACTGTACAATGTACAATCATCATGATTCACTGTACAATCACTATATTTTACTGTACAATCAATATATTCACTGTACAATCATATCTTCCAGCTACACGATTTCATAGCAGCCCATCCTACAAATGGTTACAACGCCACCTATACATCTTTAATAGAACGCACAGAGAAAAACATTAAGTGGATGCAGAAGAATAAAACTCCCATTGAAAACTACCTTAACACTAAAACAGGTGGTGCTTCTGCACAGCAAAGTGCTAGCTATATGCGCATCAAGGAGGAGAGGGCTCCTAGAGGAGAACTGTATGGTATAGAAGAAGAAGGTGATCAATTTGATAATGATAATATTGAAGTGAATCTAGGCCTACTGGAATTATAAATTAATGCAATGTGTATAGTATGAAAATTTTAAGAAATTCTTTGATTAATAATTTTTATGAAAAATGTTTTGAATATGAACACTCGTTGTATTATTTTCATTTTTGATTTTGTTTGTATAAATACATGTACATTGTATATGTAATATTAACTGTGTACCACATTAATAAAGTATAATTTAAATCATCAATCATTAATGTTTTTTTGCCTGTACTTAGCTAGAAAATACAGTAGTTTTATGTAACCGCCAAAAATTGGTGACATGACATTATAGCTGTAGCCTCCAACTTTTTTATTATCAGCATTCTGCTTCGGAGCACAGCATTTGTAAAATTTGCAATAATTCAACAAGCCATCATCAAATTGATTTGCAATACCTGTTACCATGGCGCTTTGAACAACATTTGTGTCTTACATTGTGTTAACGATGATCAAATTCAGAGTGTTATCTTGACAGGGGCATTATAGTTATCTATAGAGTTTGACTTTTATTGGTTACCATGGCAATGGATTGAGGAATTTAATAACTGCAGTAATCGACTTAAAATAGATTTCAAAATTATATATATTTTTTATTTCATGTTTTTTTTAATTAAAACACACACATAACAGATACTAAGAGATGACCAATAAATCATAGGAGACTCCACCTTTTCAACAAAATACTATAACATGTACTACTATTCAACAAAATGTTATTTGAGAAACAAGCAAAATCAGAAAATTGATGTCTTCCTCTTATTGAAGATCAAACATATTAATTTACTTATTAATAGCAAACAGGTAATAAGAACTACAAAACACTTTTCTCCAATATTTGCGCCCTAGCAGTTTTTTTCTGAAAAAGACAAGTCCCATATATCTCTTGGTCTCTCCACATGAACATTTACTTTTCCTCAAGAATACAGCGTCATCTATATCAATCTACTACTGCCTCAGCTTTTTATCTCAAATACATAGTGATAAGGGTCATTACCATGTACCATATTTTCCCCAAGAAACTGACTCCCGATTGACACTCATCGTGGTAAAACCACACCCTCTCCATCTCTATCCTTCTGCGATGCAACAGAGAGAGATGCTATGAGTATCAGAATGATTGACACTCCTCTTCTATTATTCTCTTCTTGTTATTCCATCAGGATTTGATGTCAGAGTTTTACTGGTTGGATTTCAACTGTATTCACCAATCATTATTGAGAAATGAATGATTCTGTTTCCAATATATTTTGATTCGAAGAATAGCAGTGTGAGTTGCCCCTTGCCTCTTATATTCTAGGCTATATATTAACATAATATATAGAATATAACCCTGTGGGTTATAGACCCTGTGGTTTTAATACAATACCCGAGCCACATTTTTGAATGGAGCATGAGACAAATCCCTGGGAAGAATACAGTATGTGTGCATGTTACATTCTGATCCATGTTTGGGAAATCAGTAGCTGTAATTTAATATTCTGTCATTTCCATGCAAATCATGTTAACTATGAAGTAGGTGCTTATTTACTTTATTCCTACATTAATTACCCTTCTAAAGCAGATATTTGGCACTAATATGCAATATCAGTGAATTAAAGAGGCACACCCATATGCATGTACTTCCACTCCAAGTACATGTGTCAAATATCAAGATATGCCTCTTTTAAATCTAATTTCTAATTTACCAAATGTGAAACAATTAATGAAGCTAATTAATGTTATCAGGCAAGATAGCATTTTACTGCTAATTACTAATGGCTCCGTTCGCTGCCATAGTGATTTATAAAATTTGTTTCTTTTAAGTTTTTTTTTGATAAACTACTTTTTGCTCATGGATAATAAATTACAATTCTCTTTAAAGATGCATTTTATGCAATAATTGCATTTCATCACTGTCATTGCATTTTATGCAATTGTTGCATAACTAAACAATCATTGCATTTCTATACAACCACTACATTTCTATACAATCATTGCATTCCTATACAATCATTGCATTTATATACAATCATTGCATTTCTATATAATCAATGCATTTCTATACAATCATTGCATTTCTATACAATCATTGAATTACTATACAACTGTTGCATTTCTATACTATTTCAGAACATGAGTTTTAAGCATCTATCAATTTTCGTATCTATGGCATAATGGCCTTAACTGTGGTTTTTGACTGTCAACAGACATGTAGATTGTTTCATTCATCACAGTGGTCAGACTAGTTCCAATGATTTTGTGACCATATAAATGAAATTGTTTTTGTCCCGTGAACTGGTGATGACATTTTTTGGTATAGATGGCGCTGTATCCTTGAGTAGTTGTCAATCTTTCTTCGTTCCTTTTGCTAAATGAGCTGCTCTGAACACTTGTTTTAATTGTCTTTTTCTGTCGTTATAGCAACCTGAAATATAGAACACATTTTTAGCATCTAGTAAGAGTTATTGGTTTCTCCAAAAGGTCCATGGATATGTCAAGTGCTATGATAACATGTTTACTAGCTCCATTTCTAAACCAATAGGAAACTGAAAATGGTTCAATATACATTCAGATGTATCTATTGGTCCACCTTGCACAGTACAATATGTAGCCAATATTTCCTCTAGGTTAACTATGGTACTAATGTAATTTTGTAACTGCAGTCTTAAAATAACTTGGTACCCATGAAACTGATGATAATAATATACACAATACCTAGGAATGAGTTGGTGGTATATGACGTATCTTTCACACAGTCAATTCCCCCATCATCTGTTAATACTGGTCCATCATCCCAAATGAGATCAAATCCTCCAATTCTCTTTTCCTTTCCTGTTAACCTGTAAAAGAACAGACAAACATAATGAGAATTTGACCCAATCCTAAAATTTAGCACACACTTAGTCATTAACACATTTCACAGACAGTAAAGCATGTCTTATTCAAACACATCCAATATGAAGACTTTTTAACATTGGTGAAAAAGGAAACAAAGAATACATGAACATTAAAACACACCAGAAATAGAAGTTTTACTATACATGTGTTCCTCTTCCTCATTTGAATCATGTTCTAACCTGTTTTCCATATCTATTACATTCACTACATCATCAAGGAGTCCATATTTGAGATCATAGTCCTCTTTACTGCTGGCTGTCAGGGAAGGGGAAGCATTCACTTCTATGAGCCAACTGCAAGGCACAGAAGATACACGTTTTACAAGTTTGACATATGATTTTTTCATTTCATATTAATTGTATTGTATTGTATATTTATTGCCTCATTTATATGAGAGAATACATTTTAGTATACATGTGGTTTACATATAAAATATAAAATACAAGGATAAGATTAAATTATGTGATAAAAAAGTTGTTGTTTTGGAAAACATAAAAATAAAGTAATAGAGAAATTATGTGTCAAGCAGAGCCAACAGGTTGGCTCTGTGATTGTACATTTTGTGTACACATGATGATACAATTATTAACGTCTCACATGAAACATCTGAGAGACCTAAAACTTTCTTCATAATAACACCCATACTGTCACCACGACAGCCAAGGGCTTCAAATATGTTATGCCTATATGGTTCATACATAGGGCATCTTAATATAAAATGTTCAATTGTTTCAGTTTCACAGAGGTTACACAATATACATCGTTTTGAACCATTGAAGTTGTTCGTATTTAATACATGGGCGTTACATATCAATTGCATCATAGTTTTACACTGGCTTTGACATTTAGGATATTTCTGACAAATCAACCACCATATGCAAGGTTTTAAGTCTGTGACATAGTCACGTAGGTATAAAAGTTTGCCATAACATGAGCATTGCAAGAAAAATTGCTTGACCTCGACGGATCTTACAGCATTGACAATTTGCAGTCTCCATGACCTCTTCGACGGAAGATATCCAGAGTCCAGCGCATTTTTAACCAGATTTTCAATTCCTAGCATTTTGGTCTTAAGGAAAATGCGCCGGATAGGAGAGAAAATATCGGCATGGTTGTCATAAGTGACATGAAACATCTTTACTAACCGTGTTATAGTTATATCCCTGTAAATATTATTAAACCTAAGTAAACTCCAGAGATACATCATCTGCAACACTGTAATATAGCCGTCTATTGACAACCATCCCAACGGCATCGTTGCACTAGGATTGGCTGAGGTTTTGGGGAAAAATTGGATACGTTTGCCAATCTCCCTATGAGTCAATTCAAGCTTTTCAACATAAAAGCTGTATATTTCAATATTAAAGCTGTAACAGTGGAATTCTATTGCTTATAAAATTCTCATATCATAACTCAATATAATCTAATTTCTGTAAATGCTTCATGAACAAGATAAAATTAAATCTCTATGGGCAAAGTAGTAATATGACAAATACTGGGCATAACAAATCATGATAAACCATGACATCTCAAATCTTCTCAGCCCTGAGATGTTTCAGGTGAAACAGGAAGATGCTATGAGTATCAGAATGGGCATAACAGGCCATATGGGCATCATGTAACCATGTAATAGGGCATGTGACGACATAATGGGGCATAAACCAGTGCATATAACCATATAACAAGGCATATAACCATCTAATAGGGGATATAACCATGAAATAGGGCATATTCACTCCTTGTCTACTCACGGTTTTAACTGAGCATCAAGCATTATGTCATAGCCATACAGTTCAAAGCAATGCTTGTCATTGATCATCACTTTCTGTACACTCAGTAGACTGTTGATGAAAATCTCATCCATTTTACGCATCATCACTTTAACCTTAAATTAAAAACATCAAAATCAATTGTAAAATGGAATATTTATGGGGATGATTCGATTGAAGCATGTACAGTGCAGGGTGTATGTCTTGTTATCAAGACTTTAATGAAGGTAGTAGCCCAAGTTTAAAGGCTAGGATACAAGACAGGAGTGCATCAAATCACCAACAATTCAAGAAAATACAAGTAAATATACGTAACTATCCGTATGTGTTGTTTTTAAAAGTAATACATAAATCGAAGAACTTAGTTTCAACTTACAGCTTCTAGGCCATGCTTGGCTATAAGGAACTGTCTGAGTTGTTGCATGGACCATTTACAGCCTTTCTCTGGGTCATAATCTGGTGCTGTTTTCTGAATGGCAACATTGGTTAGATGAACATCTTTAAAGGTGTTAAGGAGCATCCTATTTTATCATATACTAAATTTTATATATTGTAGACACACCAATTCTTTGTTCTCTAGCATTAGTGAAGTCAGGGTATGTATTAGTATTCATATCATCTATAATATTAGAAGTAATCTTGTTTCTTTGAAGTAGCATATGTCCATAATTTTCATATTTGTCAAAGCTCTGCAAATTCATGGAATTGGATACAAAATTTTATCAGTCTCATCTCAATTTACCCTTCATGTATAGCTTTGCAAATAATTTCCATTTATGTTTTTCTTTTAGAGAAATGATTGGGCAAATTTCATTCAAATTTTTTATTTGAACATGATTTTTACCAACTTGAATGATTTAAATATCTAGATATCTTAAAGGCCCCATGTTAAGTTTGAAAATAATGAAATAAGCCTCAGTTTCAAAATATGACCAGGTTTTCATGTACATATAAGGATACAAGCATCATCAATAGAGTCCATGGAGAAGCGACTATTGGAGAGTCTTGCGAACCCGCTGCGATACAACCAAGCCTTTAATGGCACATACTGGAAGAAAACAATTTTTAGATATCAGTTATTGAAATGACAAAGTGGGAGCAAATAATCAATAGTTTTATTGCATGTTGGATAACACACTGAAAACAAATAATCAATATTTATAGGATATCAGGTTTATCCAATGTTGAATACCAGACTGGAAGCATAATCAATATTCATAGATTCATAGTTTATCAGTTTAATTCAATGTGGCTTATAATGCAATATAATAGAGACAAATTTATAGATAAAGTTTTTTATCAAAAGCAAGATCACACACTGGAAGAAAATAAAAAGTTTACAGGATATCATTTTACCCAATTAAAGATATCAATAATTCTATGGAGTACTCGTAAAAATGTCCTTACTGATGTTATACAACGATGGAATCACACACATAGAAGTTAACAATCAATATTAGTATGTGTACTGAATCAAGTTTAAATGAAAGATAAAATGTCAAAATATACCATGAACTGTTTCAAATGCAACTTATCAGATTGAATACTTACTGAAGTGACTAAAACATAAACACGTAGATCAAATTTGCGGCCTCCAATAAGATATGGGTCTTCTATATAGCGTTGTACCACATATGTTTCTGGTGCTTCTCGATTGGGGTCCATCTGGGTCTGGTACTCACCCTATAAGAAAAATTCATATATTTTAGTAGCACAGTAAAACTTGTATATTGTATATATATATTGTATATTGAACATTTTTTGCACAGAAAAAACATTCTGTGTTGGTATGTTTTCACTACAGACAGGGTCATTTATACAGAAGTCAGTAGATTATGTATGAAGGATGGATGTCCAGTAGAGACAGGTGTTCACTAGAGAGAGGTGTTCACTAAAACAGGTTTTACCGTATTTTGTCATTACTTCCATATTCCCTATAGGCTATACATGTGAATTCTCAAGGTGATTTCTCTGATTTTTCCAAGATATAAGGGTTAGCATTTCACTCACATTAAAATGGGAAACAATCAGAAAAATGGGAAACAATTAGAAAAAAATTGGAGAAGAAAAATGTTCACTGAAAGGGGGTGTTCACTAGAGAGAGAGGTGTTACTGGTTTTTATTTTAGGAATGTCATATTTGGTGAGGACAGAGTCATCTCATTCTGATACTCAGAGCATCTTTCTGTTTCACCTGTTCTCAAGGCTGAGAAAAAATGAGATGTCATGGTTTATCATGATGGGACAGACCTAAGAAGACCCTTGTTCAAATAAGATGTTGACCTTGAAAAGTGTTATTTTGTGACTTGCTCTTTCAAGTAATATTTCTTGTAAATATGGCTTTTTACCTTTTTCCAGTCTGTAATATCCTTGAGCCTTCTGAATAGAAAGATTCCTTTTCCCTGAGATTTGGCCACTGGTTTCATGATCCATATGGTATTTGGATTCTTTTTGAACTCCTCAACAAATATGTGATACTCAGACTAAAAGTAATAAAAATTAACAATATTTATGTACTGGGGGCTTTGGATATGGGGTTTATCCTGAGGGAAATATCTATATCAGTTCTTGTAGAGGGACTGAGATATAAATGTTATAATCAATGGTATAATCCATTAACTACTAAAAACTGAAGCTGAATTTTTCCCAGGTTAAGAGAATAAATTGGGCATTTTCTTGGTCCATTTTCAAAGAGCATGTAAAATAAATTGCTTTGTAGCAGTGATTTAAACTTAATTGTTCAGTGTTTGCATGGTCTATATTCAAAGAGTATGTAAAATGTGAATTATACTTACTGGTAGCTCATATGTTGTTGGAAAGAAGTCCCATCTGTATAATTGTCAAGGATTGTTAACTTTTACAGCATAAATTCATAGATATTTACACAAGACATATTGACTCACTGGAAATGGGCGGTAATAGATTATGTACCTCTATCTAGTAAAAATTGTGTAAGTGATCAAAATGTCTTCAGTACCTCAAAAGGTGTTCCACTTTGGAGGTGTACCACCCACAGATGTTTGTTTAAGTAGTAAATGACTCCACTTACGCCGTGGTCACATTTGAACAAAATACTCAACGGGCCAGATGTCGGAGTTGAAGATTGGACCAAATGTGACCACGGCATTACAGAGGTATTCTACAAGACTAACTTATGTACAAATGTAAAAATAAAAATAATATATCCTGAACTAGACTTTAACCAATAAAATAATCAACATGTAATTCTTAATTATGTTTTACAACTAGGGCATGCAAGATAACTTGTCCAAAGCAACCAGCTTAATTGGACAAATTGTTTTGTTCGGGTAGAACCAATGTTACTTTGTATTTAAGGACATTGTGTAATGGCCTCTTTATATACTACCAAATAACAGTTTTGTGTTCATTTATTTAAGGACATTATTGTTGAATGACTTTAATTCTGCTGAAAATCTTGGTTTCTTTAATCTCCGAGATAATCCTGTGACCTCCCACAAGCATATGTCGTAGAGGATTAAAAAATTCAATGATATTTTATGGAATTAAAGGTTGGACACAATGCTATAATCCATCAACTATTCAAAACTGGATAGCCGCTGAGTATTTCCCATGAGAAAAAATATCATGTTAGTTGAATTTCAAACATTAAATAGACAATAAAAAAATTGGAATAAGAATAAAATAAATAAACATAATTAAAATCTACACTATAAAATTCATACCTGAAAAATTGAGCAATACTTGATTCCTAATTTTGGTAGAAAGCACCTGAAATAATCATCGCCAGGGTCTATTTTGAATCAAAGGGAAGTTTTGCTGTTTAAATTGATGAAAAATTGACTAACACCAGCTTCTAGTTGTTATGCTTCGATTTGAACTTTTATAAGATTTCAATGACTGATTCTGTTCAAAGTTAATACGTTTTAAACATAGGTCTATGAAGGAAACTGAAATATGCTACAAACAGAAGAAATAAAAAAAACAAACAAGAAATAAGTTTCTCCCCCACTAAAACTGAATAGCTAGACTGAGATTACTGACCCCTTGAATTAAAGACTTTCGGGGGGGGGGGGGTGTGGATTACTCTGAAATTTGAGGGGTGAAACAGAATGATCCATGATTCATAGTTCAGTCCTGGTCATTTTAAATTTATTCATATGCCATTCTAGGCAAATCCTCCAAAATGTATGTAGAAAATACATTGTTCTTGATTTCATAAAGGATACCTCTGTGCTTCAAGTTTGCCTTGTTCTCTTTCAACTTGTTTCCGTATTCTTTTAAGATTTTTCACCATTAGATTTTTCCTGGTCAGCTAAAATTAATAATAAAACATAACTTAGTATGAAATACAAAAATACAGTAAAACTTTCTTCATTTTTACAAAAAAATATTATATTTTGTAGTACACTTTTAAAAATATAGGTTTTATTATTATTAGGAGGCCCTCCTGAAAGGGCCTCCTATAGCTTTTGTAGCTTTTCTTTATTCTTCTTCTTATTCTTCTTCTTATTATTATTCTATCAAAGCAGTTTTCTCCTACTTTCAACTAGCTTTCAACTTTCTACTATATGCTCCTACTAGATACCTGGTTTGATCTTGATGGGAAAATATTTCATATCTAGGTCAAGGTCAAAGGTCAAAATCTAGGTCAAATCTAAGTTTTTTTTCAAGTTTCTCAAGTTTGTCCTTATACTTCAGTATTTCTTGCGATGAATTAAACTGAAACTACATTTAAGTATTCTCTACAAATTGTTCACTATATGTCAGCATTAAATTTTTACCGTTTTTGAGATATTTGACATCAAAAAACGGTCAAAAAAGGTCATTTTTCAACTTGCTTCAATCTGACCAAATTTTTTTTTAAAAATCATCTACAAGTTCCCAGGAGTCCAAATCTGACCTCAGATTTGACCTTTGACCCTTAGTTGACCTTCAGTGACCTTCGAAAGGTCAGAAAAGTTGATTTTTCAAATTGAGTCTTTGGATTCAAATTTAGGTCAGTCTAATTACAAAAAGCCTACTGAGGTCTAAAAAAGTAAAAATTTTAAGGTCAAAGGTCAAGGTCATCAAATTAGGTCACAAACTGTGCTATCTAAGTTTCTCATAGTTCAAGACTACAAATCAATGTTTTTAATTGAAAGTCAAGATATACATTCCTCTAAGGGTTCTACACATATTAGCAATTGACTATTTATTAAAATGTTGTCCCAGTTTTGAGATATAAGAGCTCAAAAACTGAAAAAGGTCAATTTTTCAGAGTTTATAAGGTCCAATTTTAACTTGCTTCAAATTCACCCAATTTTTTTTGAAAATCATCTACAACTTCTCAGGAGTTCATATTTAACCACAGATTTGACATTTGACCTTTAGTTGACCTTCAGTGACCTTCGAAAGGTCAGAAAAGTTGATTTTTCAAATCGAGTTTTTGGATTCAAATTTAGGGTTAGCCTAAGCATAAAAGACCTACTGAGCTCGAAAACAGTTATATTTTCATGGTCAAGGGTCACGGTTATCAAATTAGGTCAAAGGTCAAAATCTAGGTCAAATCTAATATTTTTTTAAGTTTCTCAACTTTGTCCTTATACTTCATTATTTCTTGCGATGAATTAAACTGAAACTACATTTTAGTATTTTCTACAAATTGTTCACTAGATGTCAGCATTAAATTTTTACCGTTTTTGAGATATTTGACATAAAAAAACGGTCAAAAAAGGTCATTTTTCAACTTGCTTCAATCTGACCAATTTTTTTTAAAAAAATCATCTACAAGTTCCCATGAGTCCAAAGCTGACCTCAGATTTGAGCTTTCACCTTTAGTTGACCTTCAATGACCTTCGAAAGGTAAGAAAAGTTGATTTTTCAAATTAAGTCTTTGGATTCAAATTTAGGTCAGTCTAATTACAAAAGGCCTACTGAGGTCTAAAAAAGTAGAAATTTCAAAAACTTTTCAAGGTCAAAGGTCAAGATCATGAAATTAGGTCACAAACAGTGCTATCTAAGTTTCGCAAAGTTCGAGACTACAAACCAATATTTTTAAGTTCAAAAGTTGAAAAAAGGTCAATTTCGAAATTTTCCAAGGTCAAATTTAAACTCGCTTCAAATTGACAAAATCTTTTTTTGAAAATCATCTACAAGTTCTCAGGAGTTCACATCTGACCTCAGATTTGATATTTGTCCTTTAGTTGACCTTCAAATTGTCAAAAAGGGCCTCCGTGAGATTGCTTGCAATCTTCAAAAGTCTAGTTAGATTTAATAACACAATTTTAATTTATAACTGAAGAAATGATTCAAATTCTGTCGATTTCTGAAGTGGAAAAAAAACTACATGCATTAATTCAACGATTGTGAAAAGGGAAAAATCAAGGGAAATTGCGAAAGGAAATGCAGCTTGCTTAAATTATTGAAACACTGTACTGATATTAAAAATAAATAGTGATGAATATAAAGGTGTGTCAACTGGCATTCAGGAAAAATTGGAAAAAATCTAATGTGAATGCAAAAGTGTTTAAATCAAATATCCAGTTACAGTTACAATGAAGTACATACATGTACATGTAGTCTTAAAAGCAATTCATCTTTTGAAGGGTAACTGGTATAAAAATGATGATTTTCCATGAAACATGCAACATGGTATGTATGTACATAACATTGTATATGTAGACATGTACCTCATAGTGGTTCCTAAAGTGACTAATTTTTATATGTTCTTCCATGTAGAAATGGTCGAAGTATTCCTTCATCCAGCCTACATCGCACCAGTAAAAGTCCCAAACTTCATTGCTATCTCTATGGAAACAAAAACCTTGGTTATTATGGTGACAGGATATGAAAAAAAATGATAAGGGGGAGGAGGGGAAGGAAAGAAGGGTATGTTGATGTAATAAATAGGAGGGCATATTGTGCAGACGTATACAATTTTACAACTATATTGTACGACAGAATGTTCCATAATTTATATGGTAAATTATTAACAAACATGTTTCATTATGGTTGAGGTCACATTCCTAAATATATGGAACATTCTGTAGTCTGTGAAAACATGCCATTTATACTCATTTAACCTCAGAATGGTTGACAAAATGGGAAATTCTGACGTGATCTCTGAAGTATAACTGGTTCACATTGCACTCAAGCCAGTCTTTGTAGCACCAGAAAAAGTCAAACTCCTCATAAAAACTGCCAAAAAAGTAAGATATTACAATACAGTGAGATAAATATGTCACATAATATGACAATGACCAAACATGACATGATATTGACCAGGCCCATAGCCAGGGGGTTTGGGCGACCCCCCCCCTGGCCAAAATTTTGTTTCAAAATCATGCAGTTTTTCACCATTCTGACTATTTTTGAGTGATTTTTGGCCAAAGCCAAAGTGAACCACCCCTAGAATTTTTTGGAAAAGTGAACCCCCTTGGAAACTTCTGGCTACGGGCCTGTTGACCAATCAATGAGAAGTAAATATAGGTGACATGGTATGACATTATTCAGGCTGTTTTCAACTCACCCTGTGACCTCCTGCCAACCTCTATCCTTCAATAAATCAAGTATTGTGTTCTGAAGGGAGCATTTGAATCTGACAGGTCTGTCTCTGAAAACAAAATATCTTTCTTTGTAAACACAGGTCTCTAATATGATTAAGAGTGATATTGAGTAAATGTCAAGTACTAGCATGTATCATTTAAAATTCAGAGAATAAATATTTTTTAAATGAGAGACTACATGTATTTATGTTTGTACTTTGCTCAATTCTTCATAATGTGAACCCTTTAGTTATTATCTTTGATCTACAGGCAAAAGACAGGCTATTGTTACTGTAAAAAGATACAGTAAGGAGATACATGTACTTTATTTAAAACTGTACTGTATTTCATCAATTTGTTGATGATTATACATGTATGTGAGAATTTCCGAGACATCTCTTTTGTTTCTTTGAAGTTCTGTTCTGTACAGTTTACTAAAGTTTCCTGCATATTAGTTAGAGTCACTAAATAGAAATAATGCGGAATATATGTACACTTACATTATTCCTTTTGGTTTTCTGTCACGAGTCAGATAACGAGGAAGTTCCTGAAAAAAGAGGCAAGTTTTGAGTGATTAACAGTTAATTTAACACTACAGTTTTCATACATCAATGCTCGCTATTGTGTTGTTTAAAGGAAAAATGAAGGAATTAGGCGAGCAGTGAAGAGCTTGAGTGGAACGGGAGTGGAAGTACATTGACATGTGGCCCAATAAACAATGGGGATGTGTAAATGTTGGGTGTCTACATAGATACATTTACATATATAGGCTATATGGGCGTAGCGCCACGGTACACCTGTACACACAGGCGTGCCTGATGGTTGCAAACACACTCCCCCCTGAATGCTCGTTTTCATATCATATCAATATTTATTTCAAGTCGGATATTTTTTGTATAATAAACATTAGCGCATGATGGCATATTACTTAGCCTCTTTTCCTAAGTACATGTTTTTAGCACTGGCTGATGCTGCTAGCAGAGCTGACTAAGAAGGAGAGGTCCTTTTAATTCTAAGTGGGGGGCAGGTGGGGGGGTTATTTAAGTTACACTGTAATAATACAAATGTAAGCTTCGGAAATTCACTTTTTCAAATGGAAAATTTATGTTCGATTCAGAAAAGTTAAACAACCAAACACCTACCTTCGTGTTCTTTGACATCTTGAGTTAAAAATATTAAGTATCATTCATAGGATCCCATCATTTTAATGCACTATTTCCATCTCTTTTCCGACTACTTCTTCTAAGCCAGATTTGAAAATTGTTTTGGTAACAATGCCGGAAAGCAGTTCGACACCAACGCATTCACGACAATGAAAGACATTACATGTGAATTTGTTTTATATAAAAACTTGTCTATTTTTAAGCATAGTTAATCTATATGTAATTGATGCCAAATCTGAGTTTCCAAATCATCGCACAAAAAACAAAATTGTTCAATTAAAATTACGACATAAGTAAAACGCCTCATTCTTGATAATCTGTTTTTGGAATTTATGAGTTTACTTTGAACTTTCAGTAAATATGTGATTTATTAGTCATACGGCTATAAAGATACAGAAATGACGCCATATTCATAAAGTCATGTATACAGTCCAAATCCTGGCTCAATTGTAGTAAGTATAATTGCTCCATTTTAGTAAATTTCACATATGATTTCTACATCCTGAAATTTTTTGACTTTGTTGAATAATTTTTGAATTGAACAGAAGTATTTTTATTGAGAGAATGTACATATCGAAGTTTTATTATAGTTCCCTCTTTCTTGAATAGACTCTTCTTCAGTACTTTAAAACCTGATTTTTGGAGGAGGTTTTTCACTCATTTTACCTCTTTCCAAGGCCGTCTTTGTCACAGTCATCACTGTCAGGTGTTGATACAGGTTCCTGTGGTCTTGTATTCTGGTCCCGGGGGGTTCACTGTACATAGACACGGACCAAGTTAACAGGAAATGACAAAGAGACCCTATATGTTGCAAGACTTACGCCTGGCATAACACTCACCATGTTATTTAATGTTTTTAAGTAGCGCAAGGATCCTGCCATGACCGTGGTAGTGTTATCGTGAAAGCCTGGTATAACCGCGACAATGCTGTATTATATTGCAATGCCTGCCATGAACGTGGTAGTGTAATCGTGTAAGCCTAGCCAACCTGTACATCTTTATATGACATTTATGACTTATTTCATGTTTCGCCCGTTGCTGTTTTATGGATTAACCTTATTGATTGATCATTTTAGAAAGTATGTGCTTTCGAATCGAACCTTCTTGAATGAGAGTAGAAATATAGTTTGTTAGCAAATTATTTATGAGTTAAAAATGAGTGTTTCATTGTGAAATTAATATACATTTTTATTTATCAATGAACATGAGTACCATGTACAATTGTACATGTATATTAGTCTTGATTTTGATGATTTACATATTTAAGGTAGTTAAACACGAAGAAAATTGCCATTACGGTGTTTCCTTGCTTCTTTAATACAACCACGGTCATTAGAGGCCTTGCAACTATTGTCACGGTCATATCAGGCTTTAACCTTTCCACGGTCATGACAGGCTTTAACATTGCCAAGGTCATGACAGGCTTTGCTATCATTATGACAGTCATACCAGGCTTTAACATTACCACGGTCATGACAGGCCTTGCGAGCATTATGATGGTTATATCAGGCTTTAACATTATCACGGTCATGACAGACCTTGCGACCATTGTCACGGTCATATCAGGCTTTTACATTACCACGGTCATGACAGGCCTTGCAAGCATTGTCACGGTCATATCAGGCTCTAACATTACCACGGTCATGACAGGCCTTGCGATCATTGTCACTGTCATATGGGGCTTTAATAATACCATCGTCATGACAGGCCTTGCAATATAATATAGCATTGTCACAGTCATATCAGGCTTTACATTACAACGGTCATGATAGGCCTTACAACCATATTCACAGTCATATCAGGATTTAACATTACCAATGTCATATCAGGCTTAACCTTACCACGGTCATGACAGGCCATGCAATATAATACAGCGTTGTCACAGTTATACCAGGCTTACACGACAACACTACCACGGTCATGGCAGGATCCTTGCGCTATTTAAAAACACTGAATAACATGGTGATGGTTACGCCAGGCGAAAGTCTTGCAATAGACAGCATGTGATGACAAAACAAAAAATGACAAAACCATGCTGGATTTTGAAAAATTTTTGAACCAAGATAACAGAGTTCTGTTTGGACCTTCAGTCAGTTTAACTAGTTCCACATATCATTTACATGACTGGGAACACAATGGAAATGGTCAGAATGACCATAAACATGATGAAATAATCTTTTCAGCCCTCTGAAATGTGACTGAAAATAGCTAAAAGTAGGTGCTCAGGAAAGGTCAATGAACAGAATCTTTTGTTTTTTTCAGAAAATGTGTCCAATATACGTATTGCTCTAAATGATACAATCTTTGAAAGGATGGGTATCGATATGGCGAACTTTTTGAACACACATTTCTCTTAAACCAGTCATCAAAAAATTCTGAAAATTTTACACATTGTCAATTTAATGGTCATTTTTTGAATGGTAACAATATAATTGGATATAAATGTACTTTCATCTATATTGTTTTAGAAAACACGCCAAACACTTGTTTTGTTCGTGGTATCAGGTTTCCAGAGTGAAATGAAACATCTTTCCGAACCTCATTGGAACAAAATGACATAAACACAACATGTTTAGGTCTCTCGATATTGTAATTGTACAAAGGAAATTTGGTTGATTTTAAAAAAGTATCTTGTTAATGAAATAAAAGGTTTATCTTGATTTTTATCTATTTCGGAGGGATTTTGTTTTAATTTTTTGAATACTTTTTTAAAATCAACCAAAAATTCCTTTGTATAACTTAATATTGAGAGGTCTAAAAACATGTTGTATATGCTATTTTGTTCCAACAAGGTTCGGAAAGACATTTTATTTCATTCTCAAGAATTGGTAGAAAGGAGCAAAAACAATTGCACTAGAAAAACAAAAAATGTTAACAAACAGTTATATATAAGATATTTCTAAATAATTTTCGCATTAAATTGTTGTCAATCAGTCAACATTACATAAAATACCGTGTTTTATTACAGAATGTTTTCAATGATTGGTTTAAGAGAAAAACATTTTCAAATTCAGTTCTCCATATCGATACTACACCTTTTAAAAAATTGTCTGAAACAATAATTGCTGTAGTAAAAAGGAAAATAGATCGATTTTCAATTCATTTTTTTTCATTTTTTTCTTTTTCTAAAAATGATATAAATTTTTTTTAAATTGTATCATTTAGAGTAATATATAGGGCACATTTTCTGAAAAAGTCAAAAGTCATACCAAAGAATAACAAATTAGCAAACTTCGTTTTTTTCCAAGTGTGAACACGATTCAAGCCATGATTGGTTCCTGAGCGATAATACATCAACATCAACAAAATGCAGGGGCCTAGCCAGCAATTGTCCAGGGGCAGAGGGGTGCGTTTTTTGGTTTGCATCACTGTGAGCAAAGAGAGCCCCAAAAAAGCCATGCAGGGGTTCACCCCCGGAAATTTTTTAAATTTATATATTGCATTCTAAGCATTTCAAACTATAATTTGTTAATGTTTTTTCAACAAATTTTACAAAATTGCCTTTTTTCTTTTTTTTATGGGGGTGGGGGAGGTCAATCACACTCAATGCACCCCCCTGGCTACGCCCATGAAATGATGTATGTTTAATCCATAAGGAAAGTTTCCTAATCAATTATGTGATGATTTATTGCTTGTGTCTATTTACAGATCAATTATAAGAGCATTGCCAACTTGAAGACGTCGGGTATCTACTTGCTTCAACATGGGGAACAGCATGGACAAGGTAATATACATGCACTCTGATTCTCACCACATTATAGGGATAAAGGAATTTTTCAGATAAGCCTTAATTAAGCTGTTTCCTCCTGTTCATCCTGCAATTGTTTTGATGAGTTCAAATGATGAAACATATATTCCTGCATACGTTTTCACTTGTTGAGCACTTGTCAACATTACCATTTACTTATTATTGAGGGGTTTAACAGGGGTCCACACAAATTTTGAAATATTAGATTTTGATATTCTTGAAGTTTACAACGGATTATATACTTATGAATCGGATTTTGGGAAGATTATTAGCATGACATATTGATTTTATCTGTTTAATTGAAAATAAGATAGTCTGTCTGATTATATTTTGCATTCAAAATGATTAAAAATAATTGTTCCATTAAGTTCACTTTCTTTTAACATCATCTTGTTTTTTGTTGATCCGTCAATTGTTTTGATATATCTAAATGATAAAACATATATTCCTACATACGTTTTCACATGTTGAGCACTTGTCAACATTACCATTTACTTATTATTGAGGGGTTTGACAGGGGTCCACAAAAAATAAAAAATATTAGATTTTGATATTCTTGAAGTTTACAACGGATGAATAGTTTTTTGGGAAACTTATCAGGATGACCTATTGATTTTATCTGTTTAATTGAAAATAAGATTGTTTGTCTGATTATATTTTACATTCAAAATGATTAAAAATAATGGTTCCATTTAGTTCACTTTCTTTTAACATCATCTTGTTTTTTGTTGATCCGCCAATTGTTTTGATATGTTTAAATGATAAAACATATATTACTACATACATTTTCACCTGTTGAGGACCTGTCAACATTACCGTTTACTTATTATTGAGGGGTTTAACAGGGATCAACAAAAATATTAGATTTTGATATTTTTGAAGTTTACAACAGATTATCTACTCATTAATCGGCTTTTGGAAAGTTTATTATCCCATCGAACGAAGTTCAGTAGGGATAGAGTGAAGCCCTCCGTCCGTCAGTCAGTCAGACAGTCAGTCCATCCGTCCGTCTGTCCGGAAGATAACTTGAATACTAGTACACAGATTTTCTTCATATTTGGTGGAAAGATGTATAATGGTGAATAGTTATACGCAAAAAATTTTTCAAGATGGCCGCCAGTTTAAAAATGGCGGGAATTTTTCGAAAAAATCTTATGTTTTTCATTTTAAACCAAAATAAGAAACATTATTATTTAAAATATTGGTAGTATATCAACGGTATCTATCTATTTCACATATATCCTGGATTTTTCACCCAGGGGCCGTAAATGGGGGGGGGGGGGGGTTGGGAAAACACACATTTGCATTAATTTTGAGATGTTTTTGAAGTGTAGCTTTATTATACTCAAATGAAAGGGAATTTAGAGTAGATTGCAAATATAGCGTTTTTCTGATTCGGGCCTCAAAAAATTCAAAATGGCTGTCTAATGCGGGATTTTGCAATTATTTCTGATCTCTTAAAAGTATGGCTACATTATACTCAAATTGAAGGCATTTCAGAGTAGATAACAATGATGGCAGTGTCTTTCGGATTTGTGCCTCTGAAAATTCAAAATATCCGACTAGAGCAGATATTCGACATTACTTAGAGTCATCTTTAAAGTATGGTTACAATGATCTAAAATATTTATTGAAGGAAAGAGTAGATGGTAAATATTACATTGTGACTGTACAGATTGATGATTTATATGGTTTTCGTTGGGCTACTCCGTGAAGTTGCCATTTTCTAATTAGTATGACGTATTGATCTTATCTGTTTAATTGAAAATAAAATCGTCTATCTGATTATATTGTGCATTCAATATGATTAAAAACAATGATTCCATTTACAGTTCATTTTCTTTTAACATCATCTTGTTTTTTGTCCGGCAATTGTTTTGATGTTTAAATGATAAAACATATATTCCTATATACATTTTCACCTGTTGAGGACCTGTCAACTTTACCGTTTCCTTATTATTGAGGGGTTTAACAGGGGTCAACAAAAATATTAGATTTTGATATTTTTGAAGTTTACAACAGATTATCTCCTCATTTATCGGCTTTTGTAAAGTTTATTAGTATGACATATTGATTTTATCTGTTTAATTGAAACTAAGATCGTCTGTCTGACTATATTTTGCATTCAAAATGATAAAAAATAATGGTTCCATTTAGTTCACTTTATTTTAACATCATCGTGTTTAATCGTTGATCCGCCATTTGTTAAATGATATGTTTAAATGATAAACATATATTCCTACATACGTTTTCATCCGTTGAGAACCTGTCAACATTATCGTTTACTTATCATTGAGGGGTTTAACAGAGGTCCATAATAATAAAAAAGATTAGATATTGACACTTTTGAAGTTTACAACGAATTATCTACTTATGAATCGGCTTTTGCATTCAAATTATAATCTAAGATGAATTAAGAATGTATTCGCGCTATTTATAAAATTGGATTTTAACATCAATAAAGCATATGATATGATGTGGGGTGAAAGGATATATGATTTTTGCGATACAGGCTATCTCTGCAAGCACATAACTTTAGTAATAGATTATTTTATTTAGTAGAAAATAGACTATCCCATGAGGCAATGCTAGAACCCGAACGCTCTATATTGAAATTAATAAATACCGCCTCGCCCAATATTTTTTTCTCAAATAGGTATTCTGCCATATCAAGCTCCTGATCATCCAGTATTTGTTTAATATTGCCTGCAGAAATGAGGTTATTAGTATTACCACAGTTAATGCCCAGGGCTGAAATAGCAAAAATTATATGCATTGAAAGATATGTCATTTCCCGGGGAAAATTGCCGGGCGTTAATGCATAATTGGCCCGCAACTATGGCCCGCCACTATGACGTCACATATTGCTCAGATCGATAAAGTAACATAAATGCCTTCTAAACTAGCACTAATACCCCTATAACATTCCCGGCAAGGTGGTAATAATAGTAATTGATCTGAGTACTATCCACAAAAATATTCATCTTTTTGAATTTGACTTGAATTAAATCTTCAATAAATGAAAATCTGAACCATTTTAAGATATTCGAAAAATTCAGAAACTGCAAATAATTCAATTATAACTATTTAAAACTATTTAAATTGCTAGGATATGATAATAACCTTAAAAAGTAAACATTTGATTAGTTATACCAATCATTGTGATTTTAGAGCCCAAATGTTATCTCGTTTTACAGTTTCAATTTTATAAATCTTCTTGCTGTCAACGTTTTTATAATACTCTACACTTATTTAGTGCCTGTTTATAATGATACCGACATTATTGTAATATTGAAATCATATGAGTAATAAAGATCCCCAAATGGAGGTCAATGCCCCCCCCCCCCCCATTTGACATGGCCTTATACGAATTAGGTTGTAGACATCAGGATGAAACCTGTTTTTATGATTTATACACCTTAATGATGTAATTTAATCGTAACAATGTACTAGCTTTCCATCTAAGAACTATCCGGAAAAATATTTAATTTTCGTAAAATAGACCCCTGCTGAAATCGTTCATAAATGAAGTTCTGTAACCTTGTATGGTTCACAAAAATTCATGAATGGTCAATGATATAATCCTAACTAACAAAAGCAAATTAAAAACATAAGGCTGTAACAATAAGTTTTAAAAAATTATACAGTGTTTGATGAGTTATACCCCCTACTGTGAATTTGGATTCCATTTTGATCTAACTTTTCAGTTGAAATTTTACATTATGCTCTTGATATATAATAATTCATACTTTTTGCACTTATTTATTATCTATTCACAAGAAATCTTTTAAAATGATTATTTCTTTAAAAAATGGACCCCTGCTTAAATCTCAAATAAATGAAAAATGGTAATGTTGTGTGGTTCTCAACAAGCAATTCCATATTCAGTGATATTAAATCTATCAATATAATCTATAAAAATGATTGCAACTTGAACAGGAGGTAATTTTAAAATTATTGTCAATTCCTTTAACACTATTAGACTAAATCTGTGTTGAAACTAGCAAGATGCTCTGAATAATATGACTAATTGAGGTTTTGCTGCTTTGAAATCTTGTAGAATCTCATTTTAAAGAGACTTAAAAGATTTACATAATTAAGTATTTAAACATTTATCAACTTCTCAATATAAAGAAATAATATACTAGCTGAAGCTGAACAATGCTACCATCCATCTATTTTTCCATCCACTGCAAGTCTTCCATTGAGTTGAGATTATTAATAAAGAAGTTAACACAATGACTATCAGATATTTTTTCCTGAGATCACACACTCCCAAGCTAATCCCCCTTCTAATTAACCCCCCCTCCCATCTAATCCAGCCCCATACATGTCTGGTCAATCACCATTCTATTATGTTGTAGATATTGCCAGGGCTCTACGTGGGAAACATCCGTGATGCCCAGAACAAACAAAAACTAGATGACCATGGTATAACTCACGTCCTAGCCATTCATGACACTGCAAGGAAAATTCATGAGGTAACAATCTCATTAGTCATAAAAGTAAAATTGCTCTGTGATTTTGAGGATTTTTATCAGGATTTGAACTTTGCGAGGTTCAAGAACAATCTTTTCGCAAGTAAAAAGTTGTTGGCTTCCTAGCCCTGATGTTGTATTATTATACAACCATTGAATATTTTTCTACTTTACACCATTTTCAAATCTGAGTGATTCGCTTTACTAAACTCCATACTCAGCATTCAGGCATTGAATGATGATTTCATTTAATTTCTAGTTTGATTTGCTCAAGCTGAAGCTGATTTGCCCCACGTCACAGAAGTCATGGCAATAATTTCAAAATTCTCCAATATGTTCTCACTACTAATATCAGTTAGAACCATTAAATATACCAGTAGTAATGAATAAATACATCTGGCTCTGCATATTTAACATTATGATTAATTAAGAATAATTTCCATGTATTATGTTAATGTTTTTATTTAAAGGACAAGACATACCTGTTGATTGAAGCAAGTGATAATGCAAGGCAGGAGTTATCACAGTTTTTCCGACAAGCCATAGACTTTATTCACCAAGCAAGGCTTGATGGAGGGACTGTACTCGTACATTGGTAAGTATAAAAAATAATAAAATCGTGTTTATTTCATCAGGACAATGGCAGCCAGGACTCGTATAGATGGCAGTTCACTCATTTTATCTAGTGGGTTGCTCTTCACACCTCCCATTGGTTTCTGTGTAAATATTGGGGTATTAAAACTTAATGTTCATTGCATAAGTCAATTAGTATTGCATTTTCTCTTCATAATTATTTACAAACATGTTTTAGGATTCAATATTATAAGGTTTTGGAAATGTTCATTGAAATTTATTTTAGGAGATTTTTGAAGCAATTTTGACATGTGAAAGTATTCAGTTAAACCCAGTGAATTCTTCTGACGATCTTAAGACCATTAATTTAGGCATTCATGTAAAAAGCTTTTCTTGAATCAAATTGGTTTGGTCAATAATGGAAACCAACTTTTACATTCAAAGTATAGTCAACATCAGACCCTAGATATAGATTGATCACTCTTTTGTATATTGAAGTACAGATTAGTATTAGTTTTAAAATATATCAGGGTAATTAGCAGTTGGTTGGATGCTACATCCTGTAAACAATTGGCTTATCTTAATCTCAATCATATTAATCCAAGCTTTTCAGAATCAGATATTGGATTTAGATTTTTACACCTCTGAATACCAATGGAATATGCAGTGTCACCAATATTTCATATTCCTTGTTCACAGGTGAATTTTCATGATTTGCCCCAAAATAGAGTTCCTTGTTCCCTGTTCACAGGTTTTCCCTACAGAGAGGGTCCGTCAACATGTAAGTGAATGGAAAATAGGATAGTTTCTAAATAGCAGAAAAAGCAATGAAATCTAGTGCTGCCATCTTTTATTCAGATTTTGATTTGGGCTAGAGTTCCATTCACTTACATGCTAAAATCTTGGAAAAGTGGCTTAATTTCATGATTTATCAAAGGGTGTTAGTCGAATCTGTATTAAACTTGAATGATATACCACATGATGACCCTATTTATGTACATGTTGTGATCAAACATGCAAATATTGGTTGACATACAAATAATCCAAGGTTTTAAAGAATTTTAGCATTGCATCTATGGAGATTTGGCCCAAGTTTTTTTGTCATTGTCATAGAAAATTATTCAAATTACATAAGTTACTGTGTAAATCAAAGCTATTATAGGAGAAAACATTTCCCTAAATTCAAATATGCCATTTAAAAGAAGGTAATGGAAGTCATTAGGGGTTTAATGTGCAAATCTCTTAAAATCTCACGAAAAACGAGGTTTAGCGAGATTTCAGAAGCTATATGGAAACTATACTATTTTTCGGTTCTTTTGAAAAGCATTCCTTGTTCATAGGTTTTCCCTACAGAGAGGTATTCCATCAGACAAGTTTTACTGTATGTCATACTTAAAAAGACTAGATGAAAAGTCAGATAGGTCAACCAAAATTTTTAATTCCAGTTTAAGGGACTTTACATGTTCGTGTATGCAAACAAGTTAGTCACCTGATAGTGTTAACACCTACATCTTGGTTATTACAGCAAAAGTGATGTTTTGCTGTTAATATGAAATTAACAAAATGTCTGGCAGGTGTCTCACGCATTGTTACAGTAAGAATAATTGTTTTAGTCTGGCAGGTGTCTCACGCAGTGTCACAGTAACTGTGGCTTACATTATGACATCAACAGACCTGGGATGGCGTGATGCATTAAATGCAGTTAGAGGGGCCCGTAGGTGTGCTAATCCCAACTATGGCTTCCAGAAACAGCTCACTGAGTTTGAGAGTGTTACTTTAGATAAAGTAAGTTATTGTTTTTTCTCATCAGCATAACTTTGCTTGTTATATCCAGAAACATGTTAAATTGTTCAAAATTCTTCTTGAATCGGTTGCTCTCTTCCCTTGGTAAAGGGTAGGGGATATAGTACACAGGCCTGTAGCCAGGATTTGCCAAGGGGGGGTCACTTTTTGAAAAATTCCAGGGGGTGTTCACTTTTGACAATTTTGGTTCAAAAATGGCCCAAATCACTTAAAAGTGCTCAGAATGATGAAAAACTGCATGATTTTGAAAGAATTTTTGGCCAGGGGGGTCCCCTCGAACCTCCCCCCCTGGCTATGGGCCTGGTACCGTAACCCACCATTCATTTTATTCACATGTAAAATTGTACAAAATTGTCATTGTCCAGTTGAGCAGATTTAAGCATCTGTCATATGGTTAAGAATTCTATTGTTCCTTTGCTATGATGTCATAATGTCCATGATATTCATTATATTCAATGTCAACTCATTGATAATTTCAACAAGGCATTAACATGGAAAATATCACCACCTGCCATTTGTTATGGATTCCTGATGCCAAGCCAAACACCAACCACTGCCACAAATAAGTTGGAGACTACAAGTTCGTACATGTATAACAATATGTCAACACTTGTGGCGGGGATATAAAAATGATATCACACAAAATGATCTGATATCATGGAGGTCATTTTTATTTATTTTTAATGTTATTTCAGGAGAGAGGGAGGTTCAACCAGAAGTTCCCAAACAACCCATTTTACGAAAGTGACATCAAGAAATGTCGCCAACTGCTTGTGATTCATAGAGATTGGGTGGTTCATGGTGACAAACCCCAACAAGCTGATTATCCACTACCTCACAATGCATACAAACAAAACCCAACTCTTGACAAAATTGAAGAAAAAATGAGGCCTGGTTCATCTCAAGAATCTCCACGTTTGTTGGAGAAATTAGAAAGAAGTATGAAATCAGCTTCCTCTGGTCAAACTTGGAGCGGTCAAAATATGGATGGGGGAAAATCTCAAAATCCTCCAAATTCAGAAAACTTGGACCAAAATATGAAACGGGACCAAAACTGGGCAAATCAAAGAGTGACGTCTTCAGATAACAAAGTCAATACAACTACAAGACCAAAGGGTGTAGTTTTCTCAGACCATGACATTCCAGTAGACAGACTAAGTCTTGAGGCAGATGATGCATATAATGATAATTTTGATAATGTTGCCTTAACACCAAGGTTGAATTTTGACTCTTCCTCTGCGGATTCACTTAACGCGAACCAAAGTGAGGTTGATCAATTTTTTGAGATGAAGTGAATTGTGTATGGCACGTCATCGCTAGTCATTATTACAATACGAAGTTGATAAATGTTTTTGGATGAAGTAAATATTGTTTGGCATTGCTAGTCATTATTATAATAATGTGTTTTATAGAATATCTTGGAAGCTTTAATTCAAAATTAGAAGCAAAAGATATGTATGTCATATTTCAAGTTGCAGGTAAACATTAGTTTTTTGCCGAGTCTGAGGTTTGTTGCTTTTTTTGCATTTTGTGTGGCATTATCAAATTACAGCTGTGAGCTTATTTGAAAGTTCTCGAATTTACCATGTATCGAAAATGACATTTATTGATACAATGTAAATAAGACAATAAATAATCCTAAAATCAAATGTACTAAAATTAACAGTTAAAAGTCAGTCTTAAAAACCCATTCGTTAAAAGTTAGTCATTCGATTCGGCGTCAGTGCACTCTAGACATGCTAGATTATGCCAGCCTTTCTCCAACCACATGATATCTCCTCCTCCATACATTTAGAGGCATTAGAGTTTTAACTTTTAGATCCACAGTCAGTCCTTGGAGAATGGTACATTAGTGGCAGTGATAAACGTAATGTCCTATTAGCACTAGCATTAGCATTAGCTACAGATAATATCCTTTCGTTGGATAGTCAGAAGTTAACATTAATTCAACAAAAATCCTTGGGTTAGCAGAAATGCATATTAGAGCTGCAGAGATACGGCACCCAATCGCCTAGCCTGAACGTGCTGGCGCTCAAGCCGTCTCCGCCAACTCGACAACCCCCCCAAAAATAGACAAGTGATGTTCTATTTCACATAAACTCATATGATCATGTCCTTTTATAGACAAATTTTGTTACATGTTTGTGTGGTGTATTTTTCTAGATTATTATATTTTATAGTTATTTATAATTTCTAACAGTTTGACAGTCTAACAGTTTTCCTGCTTATACGGGAATAATTCTACAATAAACACTGTAAACTGTCTGAAATATTTAAGCTTTTGTAGTTTTATAAAGAGTGTATAAGTTGTGAATATATAATTATATGAAAACTGTTTGTTCTGTTTGTTATTGGATTGGTTCCTCCTGGGCAGCGATATCTTTCTTTGGCTCATTGGTCCTTCATATACCCTATAATGATAGATAGCCTGCATTGCAAATACAGTGAAACCTGTGTACAGAGAACTCTCTCCTTACTGGCCTAATTCTTGTTCATAGTTGTTCCTTATAGAGAGGGTCCATATTTTGCACTAAACCCATAAAATGGAAATCACTCAAAATCGGTAGGAAGACTGTGACTTGTACTGAATCAAAAGGCACTTATATAATTTATTAAAAGTTTATTTTATTTCACTAAATCCTCAATTTTATAACGATATCGTTAACATTTTGGCTAGAAATGGGCTTATGGTTCCATTGCCGTACCTCGCTATGCATCCTCCTAAGCAGGTGTCCAGAATCCGAACCTCCTTCTTAAAGAATAGATTCTGGATTTTGAAGCACTGTGATTGGAGGATGCTCGCCATGAGGCAAGTAAGGAAACTGCCACACCAACATATTTTGAAACGTTTCGTAAACTGAAACTGAAAATTATGTCGTATTGTAGTATTGCATTCTGTTAGCTTGAGTTTTGCCTCCTGGCTACACATTTTCATTTCATTTATTTATTTTCAAACATCTGGTGAAACATCCGATAAGGCGGATGACACCCTAATGGGCATATTATCCGCACAGAGAAGATGAACATGACAAGCAGTGTTGTGTAAATTATGTATCTCCAGCCTCGCACTCCCCACCTCCATCCCCCACCCGTCAGCATGGTCTTAACAATATGGAAAGTAAACTGGGTTGCCAGTTACAGTCTCTGAGCAGTATATTCAAATAAGGTTAAGTGCTTTGAAAAATGATAGGCGATGATATATGTTGGCTACACCCCTGGGGTCTCTTTGGTTAAGTACATATTTTAACACATTTGAGGGATAAAACTAACATTAGTTAACTAGCATTACCTACACTGAGAAATAGGCACTGAATTCCCGAGTTATGATTACGTAAAGCATCATGACTTATTCATTCATAAATCATTGTAAAAACTCCAAACAAATCCGTAATAACAACTTATACAAATTTCTTTGAATTTGACTGTAATCCCATTGAAATAGTTCCATGAATCAAAATAGCGCAAAATGACATAAATCATATAATAAGGCACACTTCCGTGCTACTTGGTTTTACTTTAAATATTACGCAAGCTCACGGTTCCTACTGAAATACTCCTAGGGTCAAAAAATATTATACTAGGCCTATGGTGGGGGGGGGGGGGCTTGCCTCAGAAGAAGTGAACGAATTTTTAAAAAGCTACTATATACCTCATTCATTCTTGGAAACTGGGGTACTGTTAACGGTTAAGTTCATAGGATAATTAAGGTCAATTTTCAAAACGTGCATTTTCAGTAGGCCCTCTCAGTAGTAAAATCTTTCAAACTCATTTACCTCTCAAACGATTGACATGCATTGCTCTCACATGGATTTATACAAAAACCCGTTTTTCTTTAATATTTTTCTTAAAGGTTAATTCACAAGCTGGCCATGAAAAGTATACCCACGAATTACATAACGCCATTGTACACCAAACAAAAATAATTTATTTTCATCCGCATGTAAAACCAAAATATGTAAAATCCTTAATCCGCCCTCCAACTGACGGATACAAAGCGGAACAGCTCAGTTTACAATAGAGCAAATATAAGCAATGTTGGTCAAGCAAATAGAATATTAATGTGGAAACACCTTTAACTTCTTGGAATATGACTAAGCTAAGTATGAGAGTGATATCTGAGCTTTATTGAATCTGTTTAACTCACCAAAGTACCATTATTAGGGGCGTGTAGATGGCTTACTCATGAAACAGAAGGCGATGGCTTAATTGAAGAGAAACGGCCAAAATGAATCATTTTTAAGGATATGAACAACATAGTGAGTGACACAATATCTGAATGTTTTGGAGTGATACTTTGAACATTCGTAGTAACGCGGATAACTGTTTGGATTTCACTTGCTGCAAATGATATGACATTTGGATTCTATGTTGTGACATACGTTGTGACATTTGAAGCCTTTGTAGTGACATTTGAAGTATGAACGAAAACTGCATAAGTATTTGATGGTTCACACGGAAATCGGTAAATAAATCATGGATGGCCAGTCAAACAACATATTAATTACGTTTACTCCTCTTGAAATCGGACTTATTTCTGCTGGAATAGTTCTTACTTTACTTTTTCTGATCACAATCGCCTGGGTGGCTTATTACTTTTGGAGTGAGTATTAATGCATCATAAATGTAATGTAACATTTGTATTCAAATTCTTCAATCCTCAAGCAGCCCTGTAATTAAAAACTACCAATAGATGGCACAAAAGTCAGTGGACTAAATCGTGGGCTTTCTTCATCCCCCTGATAAAAACATTTCTAATTGACAATTTTAACAAATACTGTTTAGACTGACTTCAGTTTTTTTCAAAATCATCTACAAGTTAACAGAAGTTCAAATCTGACTTTTGATTTTAGACTTGGCCTTCATTGACCTTCTCAAGGTAAAAAAAAATGTCAAAAAGGTATTTTTTCAACTTGCTTCAAATTGACCAAAATTACTTTTAAATTCATCTACAAGTTATCAGAAGTTCAAATCTGACTATAGATTTGACCTTCAATGATATTCCCAAGGTCAAATAAAGATTTGACTTTCAATGACATTCTGAAGGTCAAAAAGGTATTTTTTCAACTTTCTTCAAATTGACCTTTTTTAAAAAATCCTCTACAAGTTCTCAAAAGTTCAAATCTGACTTAAGATTTGAGATTTCACCTTCAATGACCTTCTCAGGTTCAAAAAGATTGAACTAATAATATTGTATATATACCATAGCATCCATATATACAAATATAACATTTTTATCAAGGCAAATATCTGGTAGGGAATCTGTGTTGAGATCGGTTGTCACGTGGTTTGCATGATGACTTTCTAACATGTATTTTTTTTGATTATAGGGAGACAAGATAGGCAACAATACTTAGAAAAACAGCTTAAATACCACAGGTCACCACCCCAGCCCCAAATAAATATACCTCGTCCTCTTAAATATCCACCAACAAATCCTGCCGAGGAGAGTGAGAATGTGACCAACAAGAAAGGATATCCCGTGCAACAATCCTTCAACGAGGGCAGTGAGAATGAGACCAACAAAAAAGGATATCCCGTGCAACAATCCTTCAACGATGACAGTGAGAATGAGACCAATAAAAAAGGATATCCCGTGCAACAATCCTTCAATGAAGTCCCGTCGCAATCCCTTCAATTTTCCCATAGAGAATCGACAATTACGGATGTTGCCCCGTTGTCAACGGTTACTCAGTCAGGACCAGGGCAGTATCCCTACCGTGACTATTATACACAGCGGGATGGTATAAAAGATGGCCGCGTGCATGCGCAGGTTGCCAGCGATGGCTTGAAATCAGCTACAGAGTCGCCACCTATAAGCAGCCTCCAACACCTGAGTCCGTACAACTACTATAATGCAAGTGAAATCAACGAACAGATTGACGCATACATAAACAATCAATCCATAGGAGACTCAACCCCTTCATCAGCCATGTCATCGGGCATCAAAGTGACACGCTTTCCAGTGGAGGTTAACACACGGCCTAATATTGGTATTCACAAGAAAAGACTGGGTTAGTCAAGTGAACAAAGTTAATTGACATTGAGTGCATTTCCGAAGAATTAGTAAACTTAAAAAATATCCGAGGCTCAAGAATATTGAGATGAAACGTCACCTAATGTACTGACGAATTGTATATTCATGAACTGATTTACACTGCTACTTTCGACAGGACTTGAAATGGATATAAGTATACAAGATGAATATAAGTATACAAGAAATGTAATATTTTATTACTGCATTCCCGGACTAAGGTTCTCTCCCTAGATCAGTAGCTAGCTGAATGTGCGCCCTACATGAAGAAATTGATTATTGTAACATGTAAAACTATTAACATACAGGTGGACCAATGACATCATAGTGGTGCTCTAAAACAACATTTATTTATCTATTAGTGAACTACATATGGGCCTGTTACCGTCCTATTATATAACATTTATATATAATAATAATACTATAAAGGGTTATGTACTGGGAGGTTTTGGATATGGAGTTTACCCAGAGGGAGATATGCATGAAGTACCTGAGGGACCGTAGGGACTGAGAGTGGATGTGCATATCTCATGAGGGATAAACCCCATATCCGAACCGACCGTACATAACTGCTTTATCCTATTCCCAGTAGAGTTTTCTCATTTTTTCAAATTTTGTTTTTGTCAATTTTTTTTTCTTAATTTTTTTTCACTAATTTTTTTTATTCAAATTGTTTTCAAACGTTTTTTCTAGCTTATTTTCCCCAATTTTTTTTCAACTTTTCACATCATTTTCAAAGCGGGAAGATATGCCCTGGAGCGGGAGATATGTAGGTTGGATACAACCTCAAAATCAGGGTACGGGACATATCTTACCAACTTATCTCCCTAAAACTCTACTGGGCATAGGATAAGATAAGATATATGCTATTCTATTTTTTATTAGAACAATATACCAGGGTACTCCGTGTAGTTTTCGCCCAGATAATATTTTCTTCGTGACATCCATATTTCATAAGAAATTAAATTACAAAAGAAATTAAAAATTAAATTGCATTTAACAATTTTAATTTACACTTTGTGAGCCCAATCATGCATTCTATTTGTCATACAACATTCTCTAAAGCACCTTAAAAAAGTATTCAATTTAGGTTGAATTGGCCTTACAGCCAAACTGGCATAAAGAGTAATATTTTTGGAACATCTTGACATTAAATCTTATTGTCGTGATCAAACTTAGTTATAAAAGCCAGTAAACACGAATGCTAAAAATACCATTTCCTTTCTTTTCATAAACATTTCTTTCAAATATATTGAACAGAAATTATTAACGAGTGAAGTACTAATATATACTTTCACTGTATAGGAATGCTTATAGAGCCTTTATTCCTGTTTTAATCAAACACGTTTGTAGGGTCATATCTCAAAAGAACTATGGAATTCTCATTATTGCAAAAGGTACCATGCATATGCAAGGAAGCAAGGACGTGTAGATATGCAGTTTAAGTAGATATCCATTGGAATAAAGAACTTGTTGAATGGACAACGCATGTATTTGGCAAAAATCATCTTTATCATAGCGTTAGCAAAAACTGATCATTACATGAAAATCTAGGATGAACGTGGATTTGACACTGAGTCTTAACTTTCCGACATATGGGGAAACAGTGTTGATTCTTGTCGTATGTATTGACGCCCCGATGATCTGAAGTGATATATGGAGTCATAATCGTGTGTAACTTCTATCTGAACCTATATGTGTCACATGGTACAAAGAAAAGGAGGTTATATATCATGGATAACCAGTCCAACAACACCCTCATTACATTTACTCCCCTTGAAATTGGACTCATCTCTGCTGGGATTGTACTTTTATTACTTTTCCTGATCCTTATTGCCTGGGTGGCATATTACTTTTGGAGTAAGTATAATGACATTGTCTGCTTCTTATTCTATGTGGGTTAATTGTATTTATGAATCAGCGATCGGTCGTTTTAGTTTAGTGATAAACATGTAAGGATTGTCAGAAGATGTCGTAAGTCTTCATCCTTTATCGTAGATTGACTTCAACTTAGTTAAATCACGGAAATCCTCGGTGCACATACTGCATGAGTGGATCTGATAATCGAGGGACCAAATTTCAACATTTTGGGCCATTGTAGGCTTACTACGCATATGAATGTACATGTAGCGCATATCTTTATTTTAGGGAGACACAATAGGCGACAATTCTTGGAAAAACAATATCTGAAAGAGCAGTTGTCATTCATCCCACCTCCATCAAATGAACCTCTGAGATTTCCTCCAAAGCCAGAAAGTGAGAATGTGGCCAAAAGAGAAGGGTACCATGTACGACAATCTTCCGAAACCCAAACGGAAACCTCTCAACCTAGCTTATCGGAAACACAGAGCGTTGTTCCGTTATCGACGGTGCCTCACACAGCACCAGCGCAATATGACTCCCGTCAGTTTGCATCCCTCAATGGCGAGAAAGAAGACAATGCGCATGCGCCTGCTACACCTGATGGCGCAGAATCTGCTACAGAGGCGCCACCTATAAATAGCGTCCAGTACCTGAGTCCGTATAACTACTATAATACAAGTGAAATCAACAAACAGATTGACGCATACATCAACAATCAACCTTCAGGGGATGCAGTCCCCAAATCAGATGGCATCAATGTGATACGATTTCCAGTGGAAGTTGACTCACGATCTAAAATTGGAATTCTTAGGAAAACCTCTACGATTCAAACCAAGGATACAGAGGGCATTAAAGTGGTACGCTTTCCTGTGGAAGTTAACCTTCGATCTAAAATTGGAATTCACAAGAAAAACTCGACGTTAGAAACTGGAGCGAAGAAAAAAGAGAATACGTTACACGTGATGGAATCGGGCAATCTTCCCGTGACTGAATTCATATTGGTTCCTCGCGAATATATGTATGCTAATGTAGGTGATAGATAATACAATACTTGGTGAAACAAGGAATTTCAGATCAGAAAAAGTGTTTTAAACCCCGTAGTCATAGGACTTGGTGAAATCAACCGAAGGCTGTCGTGGAATATCATTGGCAGGTATACTGTACCCCTCCGCAACCCTAGTTTCAGTCAAGGAAGCAGCAAACGGGGAGCAAACGTAACATCCCTGACAGATCTATGTAACTTTTTCACGTGCTGCTGCATATATTCTCCTGCATATATTATAAAATACATGTATTACACTCTAAGGTCTTACCCTCATGGACTTTATGATTGTAATTACACACCGGAATAGCCTGACAACGGTAAAGTCAGATACTGTTGTCATAAATGGCGAACATAACCGTCGCTTCAACTCTTCAATCACTTGGTCCTCGTTTCACGGGGCTTTATCGTCGCATATGCCGTTGTCTTTGTAAATTATCCCAAATTCACGATATCGAAGACGCTATATTGTGGCCATTCACGACCCAATTTGATCGAAATTGGGATTTCATATGATACATCATCACAAGAGCTTAATACATGTACAGAATTAGCGACGATTAAGTCCCGTGAAACGAGGACCAAGTGATTGAAGACAACGGTATCTGACTTTACCGTTGTCAGACTATTCCGGGGTGAATTAATCACCTTATATTGGCTATATGATGCTCTTATATTATTCATTATATTTGGAAAATAAATAGACCTATATATACACATAACATTTGTCATATATTATCCAGAAAAAGCAAAAAACAATAAAGCTGCATGGCACCTAACAATAAATAATTAAATATACTTAATCTAATCTTAGGTTTGCTTTTTAGCTCGTTTCAAGTGAATACATTACGTAGGACACTGAAAACGGCTTAAGTGTGAAACAAATTTTGTTAAAAATTCAAAAAAAGCAATAAAATGATTTTTTCAAATAGACATGTAGTATGTATCTGTATACATTTATACACACGTTACCCAAAGCATTGAAGTAAACTCCGAGGAACAATAGGTGGAATTTCAAATTGAAATTAGGGCCCGTCTCAAACGTGACGATTTTCACAGTTTCGGTCCGTGATTATATGCCAAGATATTCACATTAGAATGCAACATTTTCAAAAAACCAAGGACTTTTCTCTTGCTACTCTCCTGTCCTTTAAAATCATAAATGAATTTGGACTTCAAGTATCATGAAACATCCGAATCCATCATTTTTCTCGATTTTTTTCATACATGTACGTTGTGTTTTTAATTTGAGTAAAATTGAAAGGGGTCGATCCTATTTGAACATGAATCGATTCGGTCATGAAAAATGATGCTTTAGACGAATAGAAAATGATAAAAAAATTATTTTGGGAGCAATGATCATTCGACTGGTTCACCAATTTTCCGCGTGTCGTTTTTCACAAGAAAATTGGAAACAAATGACAATGAGTTACAATGTATATGTTCACTTAAGAGAAGTCTTAATTCAAGAATGGTCATTTTTGATGACTATAGCTAGGTGAATTGAGAAACAAGTTTGTATTTTTGTCTTATATTATCACCTTTATGTTTAATTTTCCCTCAAAACTCGACATAAAGTCCAAGGAAAAAGCAGTTACGTACATGTTACATATGTGGACTCGTATGCAATCATAGTTTATATGTACTGAACACCTCTTTTCTATTTTCAATAACTATGTGCACACCGCTTTATTTATCTTTTTGAATCAACTTCACCAAAACTTTTCACTGATTCAAGAAACCAGCGCTTTTACACTTTACATCGATGGTGCAAATGCCATGTCGTCAAGCACCTAATCGCCCTAGTTCCCTTTTAATCTCTTTTAGTGTTTGAGGTAAGACACTTTAATTTGTTTTTTACAATTTGAGAAATTTTTACTATGGGTGTTTACTTGACAACTGCAGGGTGACGTAGTGAAGTCTTTCCTGCATGCGCCACAAACAGCAGGGCAGCCATGTACATGTTCATTCCAAATGACATTAAAGGCATTCAATCATGCATCAGAAAAGTCCCTTATAAAGATTTCAAATTTAAAGAGAAACTTTTTCATTTAAAATCTGTTAAAGTGTGCGCCTGACCCGGCTACGTATAGACTAGATATAAGAATGATATTGCATAAAAATCATCTGCACTGTGAATATGAAATTTTCTTTTGGTCTGCGGAGCGCTTCATCGATGCCCCGATCTCATCACAAGGTCATTTTTCATGGCCACTGAAAACGTTCTTATCGTTATGTTTTGCTTCTTTCGAGCTAAGTTAAGTCGCTAGTCCTAGAACGAATTTTTTGTCAGACTCGATACTTTTTCAACGGTTTCTGATATCACATAGCAAAACTCTCAGCATAAACTCAATTCTTTCCTGTGATTTTCATTTTTTCTTTGAAGTTCTGGAAGTTTAATATTCAGTGCAATGAGTTATCCCGGTTTTGTTTTAGAGAAAGAGAACATTGAAAGAATTAATCTCGCTTTGTTGCCTCCATTCTCGAAGCGTGCATTTTGTGCTGATTTCTTTTTGCTAGTCTGTTGGCGATATATTTCAGAGAGGAGTGTTTTTTGCATTGCTTGCCTTACATTTTCTTTAATATTCTCGGGGATTGCTTAACGAATTGCTTTTCGCAAAGGCATATTGAATATTACAGATCATATACAGATCGTACAAATGGAATTGAAATAAATAAAAATTAATTATAACACGAAAACATCGTTGAAAAGCTGTAATCGCTCATATTACTTAACTAGAGTTTTCGGTTTATGCTGTTCTCCATTAGTTACAATTGCATTCATTGAAAAGAAAACAGAATGCAAACATTAAGTGACTTTATGATTGAATTCAGCGATCCCCGGGAATACACTGAACGAAATGTTATTTACTGAGGGTCAACTATTTTGGGCTTTAATGGTCTTCATATAACATTTTTTCTTATGACTTTTCCGATAAAGTATGCTTATGGAATTTCCAAATAACTTGTCATTTGCTTGCATGTTACGTATTATTGTAAAGACGTATACAATGTAAAAAGCACATTTACAAAAGTGCAAATTCGTTAGGTGTTTCCGTTTCCTTGCCTATGGGTTGATCTTTATGCGTAGTCTCTGAATTACTTTTAAACATGTGTTTTTAGAATATGGGTCATAATATAAAATGAAATCAATCTATCTGGGATTTATAGAAATGGCTAATTACTGCTTTGAGTTCAATGCTATAACCGTGACGTTTTTCACGCGTGACGATTGTCACAGTTTTGCACAATATCAGTTCATAGATGAGGTAATGCTTGTTATATCGAATATCCTTTTATGTTATGATGGAGTGGTCATATTGTTTTTCTTGAAAATTGCCCCATTTCCAACAAGACTACTGTCAATATATGAGTAACATCACGGTCGTTTTTCACAAGCAAAACGGTGAATTTTCAGAATTTTTCAGATCATGTTCATTATAATTCAATCACAACTATTATCACGATTTGTAACACTTTGGTCTGATAAACTGTACTAAAGACTTTATAACCACGGATAATTAATCTATCTCGAGTTTCCCTACTGTCGTCTGGGTCTGTTTTAACGACCGTGACGTTTTTCACAGAATAAATTGTACACTTACTATAATGGGTATATATAATCGGTAGTAGGTGAGAAGCAAATACACTGCTGTCATCACACTCTGACTGAATGTTTTCTATGCCAAAAAAACCAAAATGAAAAGATGCGACCATTTATAACTGAGATATGACATGTTTTCATGGGCGTGTTGTCCTGTTACATCAGCAAATTCACGAAATTCACAACTTATTAGCGAATTTTCAAAGTTATTTACAACCGGACTGATCAATAAGTATGCTGACCGAATAAAGATAAAAGCATATTATTTTAAAATACATAAAACAATTAGAAAAAATCATTTTAGTTTTAGCTATTTTCAATTACATGAAAAATTCCTATTTTTAACATTTATTGGTTTTGAATGAGGATAAGATTCACCTTCTTCGAGTTCTCTTCAAGATATGTTGTTCGAATACATAGTATGCTAACATAAGCAATGATAAGTTCGTTTTAGGGGAAATACAATCGTTTAATCTATAATTTCAGGCCCGTAGCCAGGGGGGGGGGGGTTCGCAGGGTTCGGGCGAACCCCCCCCCCCCTGGCCAAAAATTCTTTCAAAATCATGCAGTTTTTCACCATTTTGTGCACTTTTCAAGTGATTTTAGCCATATTTGGGCCAAAATTCTCAAATGTGAACCCCCCCTGGGAATTTTTGAAAACTGAACCCCCCCCTTGGCAAATCCTGGCTACGGGCCTGAATTTAAACCCTTAAAAGTAATAAAATGACTATGTATCATGTATAAAAGGATCAAGAAAATGTATCTGGGAATTGAACCCGCCACGCCTGAGTAAAAGACAAGTATGCTGACATCTACGAAATGTCCGATGATCATGCTTGAGTTATTTTTCAAATATATTAATAATTTCAGTAAAAAATCGTATCACCACACTACAATTATTAGAAAATAGTCAATACTCATACCAATAACATCAGATTGCACTGTCCTGTAGCCAGGAGGTTCAGAGTATGCAAACCCCCTTGACCAAAAATTCTTTAAAAAACATGCAGTTTTTCAATATTCTGATCAGTTTTCAAATGATTTTGGGCCGCATGTGTCAAATGCGAACCACTGGCAATTTTCGAAAAGTGAACCCCTTGCCAAAAGCTGGCTACGAGCCTGTTATGTTCCTGTGTAGGTATTCTAACCAAACTTAGAACTGATGACGTTTTATCCAGTATTCATTTTGAAAATCTGTTTCCTGTCATAGAAAGTTCAAAATACAGGACTCAAAAATCTTCCGTTTCGATTTCAATCATGAAAATGATGAATAAATATGTGCAATTGGATATGTTGTTTCTGTAATGGATTAACCACGAATGAGCGCTGGGTATTATTAGTGAAATGGTTGCCAAGGCCGAAGACCCATGGCCATTATGTCTTCCTTAGACCCGATACGAATGGTTTATCTTTCTTTAACCCCACACCGAGTCTTATGAAAGGTATATGGTCCATGATCCAACTAAAAATGTGATTTCTTTTGCATAGACTATTCAACAAGAGGCAAGTGAGTAAAACAGTGAGCGGTTGAATTACTCCAGGTTCATTGCACTGCATGTAACAGACTAGGTCAGGTACAGAGTAAAATTTGATTTCTTTTGTATTTACTTTTGAGTGAGGAGTGAAAACGGTGTAATAAGTTCAGTTTTTGGTGCACTGCATGTGACAGTCCAGGTGTAAACAGAGTTCAAGTAAGTTGGGTTACAATATAAGCAGTTACATTATAATATGTATTTTATATGGACGTTTTATTTTGATTACTATATTCTAGTAAATAAATAAGTACGATTTCGTTTCTAAGAATGCTTTTACATTTACAGATCAATCTTTAACGAGAAGCTTTTATTCTGTTTCATATTTATTTATTTATTATTTAGACGTACACTTTTAAATCAGTGGCACACTAAAAATATTTAGGTGCGTCTACAGTCAAAATACATACATGATCATTAAAATATCTAAAATCGTTCTTATAAGTCAGGTTTAAAAATCTTTGTTAAAAACTGTTTTACCAGTCCATCTACAATATAAAATTGATCGTGCCCCCATTGACTGAGAACATCATCACCTAACATAAAATAGAGTTTATTTTCTGAGGTACAGGATATAAAATAATTAAACACATTCTCATTGCATTTGTCTAGTAACTTACAATAGAAGTGTGTTCTTTCTTTGTTAAAGAAAGAACATTCTACAAGTCTGTGTTGGATAGAGTCATCTACATTATCTTTACATAATATGCATTTTCCATCTGTCTTTCTTTGTGATTCATAATTGGAATATAGAGCAAATTTGTTACATCTTGCTAAGAATTTGAGCTTTGATCCATAGAAGTCATTGTTTTGTTTCAGGTAGTTCTCTAAATTAGTGTGTTTCTTGATTTTTGAATAAAATTTTAAGGAGCTATATTCCTTAATACTAGTGTGAAACTCATTAACATATTCATCCTTGCAAATAGACAAATAGTTGTCATACCAATCACAATCTCTTCTATAAATTACATCATCGAGACCTCGTTTACACAGTAATTCTTTAACATTAGATACATACTTCCACGAAGCTTCATTATCTTGTTATAATAAGTCAAGTGTAATTTGCAACTTATATCTGAAGTTCCACACATAGCAGCATACTTCACTTTAGAAGCTGATTTTGTGAATAACAGTTGAAAATGGAAATCAACACTACAAAAGAGTGTAACCATGATGACAATTCTAACCACGGACTTGAAGAAATTCCTGGCCCTGGCGCATCGCCTGTAGAACTTACGTTGCATGCTGAAAAAGAAATAAAACATAAGCACAAGAGCCAGGTTACTGAAAAAATGAAAGAGCTAAAAAGTGAATCTATACATACAAATTTGTATAGATATTCGGGAGTTTTGAACAGTTTGATTTTCATATTTGTTGAAGCAACTGTCACCTTTTGAATCAAGACGACATTTTGGGACCTGGAAGTCTAAACGTAATTTGTTGCCACTCTACCCACCCTTTGTAAATTATAAGAAGTTTGACTTTGCATTCCTTCATCATGATAAACCGTGACATCTCATTTCTTCTCAGCCCTGAGATGTTTCAGGTGAAACAAAAAGATGCTATGGGTATCAGAATGGCATTCCTTGAGGAATCTCACTTCTAAGCTCAAGATACTTTTTCGTCGGTAAATATCACTCTTTTTTTTCTTATGCTGCAAACTATAACTTACGTGTGCCGTGGATGTTTGATCTGAATTCATCAAAACTGGCGTGGCATATGTCTTTGTTAATGATGTCATATACGCGTGTTTCATCGACAGTTCTCAAGTTTGTAGTCCTACTCAAAACACGAACCATTGGATCAGGAAGACATGTCCCGTTTGCGTATAATATGCTCCCCCACGCACACGTTACGATCAAGGCATAGTTGTAGAAGTCTGTGTCTACCACATAATACTCCCGGTCCACTAAAATATCGATCAGAAAGTATTGGCAGGAACATTCGAAAAGAAAAACGATGCTCAGCATCAAGTTAGATTTATTCAAGAGAGTTTTTGTAACAACATTAGATATGTTAAGCTAAACACGTAAATGGGAACGTGTATAATTACCACACCCGGTGATCGTGAAAATGGGACGGAGGGGGAGCAGGCAATTTCCGCTAGAAAATTCAACAAATCTGGTAAAATTATTTTTTCAAGACAGAGTTTACGATTGAATTGCAAATTGAATAAGCGCACGGTATGATAAAATATGTTAGGTATTCTAGGATTATTTTTCAACCGATACTCTTTTAAGATATAAGATCTATTAAAAAAGGCGCAACGCAACCAACGTGCAAAAGTCAAAGTTTTTGCTACAAATCAAGCAACAATGGACTACACGACCTGTAATAAATACTTGTAAGTGATGTTATCATAACTAAATTAATGTCATTGCTGAATTTATAAAATAAGTTTCCATACGTAAAATAAAAAATAATCGAAAATAATTAAAATGGGACGGAGGGGGGGGGAGGGGACGGAGGGGGGGAGTAATAATTCTATAAAGTGAAACAACTTCACACGAATTCTTGTGTTTGAAAAATGAACTCATTAACTTAGTAAGAAACTGGATGATATACCCCTGGAGACTGAAAAATGGGGACATTTGGAGTAAAAGGACTTAAAGTCGCGAAACATCCCTAATCATGTCTTATATACATATTGCTCCCCCCCTCCGTCCCCTCCCCCCTCCGTCCCAAATTCATTATTTTCGATTATTTTTTATTTCACATATGGAAACTTATTTTATAAATTCAGCAATGACATTAATTTAGTTATGATAACATCACTTACAAGTATTTATTACAGGTCGTCCAGACCATTGTTGCTTGATTTATAGCAAAAACGTTGATTTGTGCCTGTTGATGGCCTTGCGCCTTTTTTAATAGATCTCATACCTTAGATGCGTATCGTTTCAGAAAAAATCCCAGAAAACCTAACATATTCTACCATACCGTGTGCCTATCCATTTAGCAATTCAATAGTAAACTTTTTCTTGAAAAAATAAATCTTCCAGATTTGTTGAATTTCCTAGCAGAAATTGCCTGCTCCCCCCCTCCGTCCCATATTCACGATCACCGGGTGTGATTACGATTCTCTGGAATTAGTTCTTCCCTTCGTGTTATTTACCCATCGAGTATGAAGGTATATGTAAAACAGTTGTAATGATTCGGTCGCTGGCAGAACAAAATTTGAAAAATTCAAAGGGAATCGTATTACGTATACGTTCTCTTGAAACATGTAATGTGAAACGTGTGACTTAACCTCTCCGATGTACGCAGACACCTAATCCCAGTTTCGAATTTTTCATTCGTGCTAATTACAAAATATCACGAATATGTAAAATTACAAGGTTATTAAATGACTTAATAACTATGACCTATTATAAGTTATGATAGGTCATATTTACGAAATCAGTGGGTGAGTGTCTAATCATGATTTTTTATTAACGGAGAGAGATTAGCCTTTGATTGGTTATTTTATAGGTTGATTGGCGCACAGAAAGGTGATTCGGACTATCTATAGATGACGTCTTCATCCTAGTGTCGGGATATCGATCTCAGACTTACCGAATGTGCCACTGGATGTATTTGTGATTCTATAGGCAAGTCTAGTCGGATGGCGTCCGCTACTCGAAACCAATTGCATCTTCAGCCCCGATCCAAACAATGGCAAACATTCAGAACTATACAAGAGAATATGTTGCGTAATATTTTTAAGATGGTCATTTTTAGTTAAAATATTATTATTGTAAAATTTGTAAACATTTTTTTTGTCTTCAAGGATACATCTAATACCTCTTCGCAACTCTAATTTTTTCTCGTAATTTTTTCGCAGAATGGATTCACTTGTTGACATGCTGTTTTGAATATGTCGGTTCTAGCATAATATGTTACGGATCTCTTTGATGTTTATATATCTACCTTCGATTGATTTAATGCTTACCCACCTATTTTTCGGTGTACCCGTTGAAAATATATCAGCAACACCAGATGACTGCTTTGTGTATATAATTGAAAAGTTATCCAACAACGAATCAACATCGATACCACGGCCAATCCATGCCTTCACTTCGAACCATCTACCCATATACTAAGGAATAAATAATGAGACATATATTTGAGAGTTTTCGTCCTGCCTGCATGGTCGTTGTTAGGATCTATAGTAAGGTGTTTCATTCAACTACATTGTACCTTGAATATAATCGATTGCGTAATGGTTTTAGTGAGGTGTTTCATCCACTTACTAATACCATGAACCTGATCATTTGCGTAATGGATTTGGTAAGGTGTTTAATTCACTTACCTTGAATGTATTCGATTGTGTAAGGGTTTTAGTAAGGTATTTCATTCACTTTCATTGAATCAAATCGATTGTTTACCTGTTTTAGTAAGGTGTTTAATTCACTTGCATTGAATCAAATCGATTGTGTAATGGTTTTAGTAAGGTGTTTCATTCACTTTTCATTGAATCCAATCGATTGTGTAATGGTTTTAGTAAGGTGTTTAATTCACTTTCATTGAATCAAATCGATTGTTTACCGGTTTTAGTAAGGTGTTTAATTCACTTGCATTGAATCAAATCGATTGTGTAATGGTTTTAGTAAGGTGTTTCGTTCACTTACATTGAATCAAATCGATTGCGTTATGGATTTAGTAAGGTATTTCATTTACTTACATTGAATCAAATCGATTGTTTACCGGTTTTAGTAAGGTGTTTAATTCACTTGCATTGAATCAAATCGATTGTGTAATGGTTTTAGTAAGGTGTTTCATTCACTTTTCATTAAATCCAATCGATTGTGTAATGGTTTTAGTAAGGTGTTTCATTCACTTTCATTGAATCAAATCGATTGCTTACCGGTTTTAGTAAGGTGTTTAATTCACTTGCATTGAATCAAATCGATTGTGTAATGGTTTTAGTAAGGTGTTTCATTCACTTTTCATTAAATCCAATCGATTGTGTAATGGTTTTAGTAAGGTGTTTCATTCACTTTCATTGAATCAAATCGATTGTTTACCGGTTTTAGTAAGGTGTTTAATTCACTTGCATTGAATCAAATCGATTGTGTAATGGTTAAGTAAGGTGTTTCATTCATTTACCTTTGACCTAATCGTTTGTGTAATTGTTTTAGTAAGATGTTTCATTCACTTTCATTGAATCAAATCGATTATGTTATGGTTTTAGTAAGGTGTTTCATTCATTTACCTTTAATCTAATCGATTGTGTAATTGTTTTAGTAAGATGTGTCATTCACTTCCATCGATTGTGTAATGGTTTTGGTAAGGTGTTTCGTTCACTTTCATTGAATCAAATCGATTGTGTAATGGTTTTGGTAAGGTATTTCATTCACTTTCATTGAATCAAATCGATTATGTAACGGTTTTAGTGGGATAGCCTAGGGGAGGTCATTGTGAAACACCCTTTATTTATGTTTATGTATATCTACTGTTGTCAGGTAAGGTCGGGAATGTCTCATTAAAGAGGTGTTATATATTTTCACGTCATTTGGCCTAGGAATTGAGCACTACCTTCTTTGGAATGGCAGGTCGCTTGCGTGTTTCATTCATTTACCTTTGACCTAATCGTTTGTGTAATTGTTTTAGTAAGATGTTTCATTCACTTTCATTGAATCAAATCGATTATGTTATGGTTTTAGTAAGGTGTTTCATTCATTTACCTTTAATCTAATCGATTGTGTAATTGTTTTAGTAAGATGTGTCATTCACTTCCATCGATTGTGTAATGGTTTTGGTAAGGTGTTTCGTTCACTTTCATTGAATCAAATCGATTGTGTAATGGTTTTGGTAAGGTATTTCATTCACTTTCATTGAATCAAATCGATTATGTAACGGTTTTAGTGGGATAGCCTAGGGGAGGTCATTGTGAAACACCCTTTATTTATGTTTATGTATATCTACTGTTGTCAGGTAAGGTCGGGAATGTCTCATTAAAGAGGTGTTATATATTTTCACGTCATTTGGCCTAGGAATTGAGCACTACCTTCTTTGGAATGGCAGGTCGCTTGCGTTTTCTCATAGTTTTCTAGGATTTATAGCAGTTGCGTTTGTGAATCGTGGTGCTGTGTGGTTCAAGGTAATTATAATGATAAATTTTGATATATTTGCGAATTTGAATGGTTTTGTTTAATTCAGATGTGAAGTTTCCACGTGTGATTCCAATGTATTTTCTGCCCGTTTCTGTAATGTTGGATATGGAATAGCTTGTTATAGCTCTAAATAGCCTGTTCTAGCTCCGAGTGACGTCACCACTAGCCCTATTGCTAGCCAAGCTTTAGTTGCAGCCCAGGGAGGATTGGCTCCCGAGTGCAACATCGACATTCTGTCCCATATATGGGGATGTCGTGCTACATAATTCGAATTCAAACAGCCGCCATTTCGTCCACTTCAACTTTTTAATCGTGAATTTTGATCTTATTTCCTTACGAAAAATTCACAAAAACTAACAAAAATGATCGAGATATTGGTTCGAGTCTTTTGAACTGTTTTCTTAAAATTTATAATCGGTTACGATTTCAGAAAAATACGTCATTTCGGCGTTTTCATTGTTGGAAAATATCGACTTCGATTCTGGGAGCCAATCCTCCTTGGTTGCAGCCTGTTATTGCTACATTACTTTACTGTGATTTAAAAATGATCCTCGTGGTAGAGGTTTGTGTATCTTTCAGGCGAACCGTTTGAAGAATTTCGGTATGATTCTTAGTATGCAAATCTCGAACAGTCTAAAATTTTGGCATTCTGGGTAAATGTTAAGGCGGCAATTTTGTATTTTCCATGCTAAAATCTTGTATGTAAAGTTTTGTCTACGCGTTCTCAGGCATGCTTTTTTATACGAGGGGTGATTAATAAGTAATGGACGCTTTTTTGCACAGATACTTTTTATAGACCAATCCCTTTGATTTTCCTACCAGTGATAAATCATTCAATTATCTATCAATTCTGAAGATTTGAAGACAAAATATATAATACATGTTGATATATCCTTATTTCCGCGAAGGAGGTACAGGTACCCCGGGACCGACATTTACGTCACATATTCAGTTTTTAGCCAGTTTGGCAAATTTCAGTTTGATTTGAACTTTTTGATATGCAACAAGTGTTGTGTTGTTTGAAATATTTTGCTGATTGGTAACACATAAACAGTAAGTACTGTGATGTCAGAGTGTTGCATATTTGGGGTTTGCAGGTCAATTTGAGAAAGCTGCATTGTGGAAGAGGGGATTGGTGAGATAAGGGAAGCCCTACTCCACATGGACAATGCACTTGTCCAAAGATCTCAAAATGTTCAGAATACAATATCCCTGGACCTCAAAATTGAGCCCTTGGCCAATGCACCATATTGTCCAGATCTGCCCACATGTGACTCATTTATTTCTATATTACTTATTTATATCGAGGAAGAATGCATGTTTATTGACATTGATGGAATAATACAACCCGTGCAACTGCATCTTGCTACCATGTCAGAGAATGGATTCAGCCTTGTCTCACAATTTTGGGTTAAGAGGATGAGGAATTGCGTACATGTAGCACTTGATGGAACGTACCTATGTAGAGGGCCCTGTAGAATGAATGTGGCATGAATACCACATAGTGATGATAAAATATTCAAAATCAAATATAGCATAACAAAATGGGGTAATTCATGACCATCATGGTTTGTTTTGTTCAGCCTGCATTCAACTGAGTTGCGTGTTAAACAAGCTAAAATAGCTTCGTCATGTCGTCATGTCGGCCTCGGGGTACCTATACCTCCTTTACGGAAATAAAGATATATCAAAATATATTACATGTTTTGTTTTCAAATCTTCTGAGTTGATAGATAATTGAATGGTGTATCACTGGTAAGAAAATCGAAGGGATTTGTCTATAAAAAGCATCTGTGTAAAAATGTGTCCATTACTTATTGATCACCCCTCGTATATCTCGAACTGATTAGTTTTTGTGCATATTTGGGTAATTAAATGTTAAGGAGGCTATTTTGGATCTTTAGATCAATTGCCCATGGCCACAGTATTATCATTATATTTAAGTATACTCCGTTTACATATACATTCATAAACCCTCGTACAATAGTCTTTTCCTCTGATGTTTTACTTACCTTATCGAAATCAAAGTTGGCTTGGAGGTCTAAACTTGTCATATTTAAGACACATTTTTCAGCATTGACAGTAGTTAACAAGAAGAATATAACATATTTCACTCGCTGCATCTTTCCCGGGATCCTTACTGCATCCTGTGTAATATTACACAGGTTGACTTCCAGGCAGAACGTGAATAATTTATTTGTTTGTTTGTTTGCATTTGTATCCTTAGCTTTATTATGCCGCTTATTAGTCACGTAAATAACTAGTGTTTTGAAGTCGAGTGTACTAGAAATGAAATTTGAGCTATATTCATCCCAAGGAACAACCTTAACGTCAAATATATACGAAAATATACTATAAAGATCAATGACTGCAAAGTCCCGTTGCAAAGTTCACCTTTATTGTCAAATAAAATCTCGTAGGTATGTACGTGGACGAAGAGATCTTTTTCCGTGTGTTATTCAGTTATCATACAAAACGTTAACTTACGTGATCTCGCTTTTCAAAGCAAGTCTACTGTAAATGAAAGATATATGCTGATTTTGTTTGTTTGTATCTTTATTTCCTCCAATTCTGAAGAGTACAATTTCTTATAAAAGAAAATAAATTAGCAAAAAGTTATATACATTATATACATATAAGGAACATAATCAGTAATCACATCACATCCAGAGCACCCCCTATTAAACGGCCGGACGCCAGGCTACCGCGTTGACCCGTAACCGCAACAGGCCCAATGCTCTGGAGTTATTTTGACTATTTGAGATACGCAAATTACATTCTGCTTTCACATGTATACATTTTATGAACATTCTTCGCAATTAATATGTACTGATCAGGTGCCAATTGTTCATTTTCACCAAATATTAGTCTTAGAATTTGCTCATTACTTTGATTCAATATCAGCGAGTGATTTTTAACTATATCTAGAATGATTTTTCGTTCGGCTGAGAAATATTTACATTTTAACATGAAATGTTCCAAGGTCTCATCCTCTTCACCACAAGCTTTACATAGTCGCCCGTTATGCCTGTCTTTCATGTCGCCCCATTTGCCTGTGATAGCACATAGATTACTCCCTCCAGTTAGTAGGATCATCATTGTCTTACATATGCGAATATATTGGCATTCGCGAAATGCAATTTTCCACCACACTATTGGTGTGCCAAAGCGTATTACATTCCTATATAGGGAAGCGTTGTGATTGAACATACACTGTATTTTCCACTGCCACATTGCATATTCTCTTGTATTATCTGACACCATCTTCTTCCATTCGCATTTACTTGGTACCATTCCTGTATCTATCATATCATATATTTTGTGCTGAATGCCTAGACGTTCAGCTACTCTCATGCAATCACCAATAGGGGACACTAAAGCTAGATCACGTGTTCTGTACGCTATGATTCTCATTATCGCGATCATCTTATATACATTGTTCATTGGTAGAGATAACAATTGCCACACTAACATGATTTTGTCTACTACGATCTTTGACGTTACGTCTCTCCAACCAAGTTGTTGTATGGTTGCCTGGTTGCTGGTCGTGATAGGAAGCCCTTGTATCTTCTTTGCTATTCCCCTGTGTGCTGTCTCTAGCCTGTCATAGTCAGTATCTTTAAGAGGCAAAAGACTCATTCCATACGTCATAGTGGGGAAACATATTGACCAGTAAATCTTTGACGCTGTTAGAGGATTTGTTGGATTGTTATTGCTGGCTGTAGTTCCTAAATAGGCAATCATTGCTCGTCTTCCTTTCGAGATACGTGTGTCCATGTATTCTTTTACTGAATTGCTATTTGTAAGTGGCAGCCCAACATGATCTATTGAATTCTCGATGGGAATAATGTGATTCCCTAATTTCAGAATTGGTTTTGGGGGGTTTCTCTCTCTACTAAACACAACGGCCTTACATTTCTTTGGGTGAAACTGAAATCTCCATTTGCAGCTATAATCAAAAACTTTACGCAGTAGAACCTGCATTGTATTACCATGATATGCTAATAAGTTCATGTCATCAGCAAACGTGGGGCAGCTACATACAACATTTCCTATAGAACATCCAGTCATACTATCACATATCTCATTTAGGAGTTCATTGGTGTACCTTGCGTATAATTCCATTGACCAAACACCACCTTGGTGCACACCCTGCTCCACAGGAAACAGATCTGAAATATTTGCATTTTCACTTAGAAACCGAGATATTGCTTGGGGAATATTTAAATCCTCTTTAACTGCTTTAAACATTGAGTCTATGTTCACATTCAATTTAATAGCACATTTATATCCATCATAACAATTTCTTAGCATTCTCCATAGTTTGCCGTTTATTCCCTGTTTATACATTTTATGATACAACCCAATATGCCAAACGCCATCAAATGCTTTTTTAATGTCTAATGACGTCACAATGACATTATTACCGTTTTCTAAACCTGTTGCTATTGCTTCTCTTGTAACAAGAGATGTGTGTAGACTAGAACATTTGGCCTTGTTAACACCTTGCATGTTTGAAACCTCTTCTGTTTGTGCACATAATTGGCTTCTTGACATCATAATTCTCTCGAACATTTTCATGTACGTGGTCATCAATGTAATGCCACGATGGTCATCTTTTGATAAGATGTCCTTGTTACCACCCTTGAAGAGAGGTATGAGCAGTCCTAGCTTAAAACTTTCTGGGACATATTCAGTGCGTACCATCTCATTGTACAGAAGTGTTAGAGCTTGGATTAATAAATCTCCCCCATTCTTAATGTGCTCCGGTGTAATTTGATCCCACCCGGGAGCTTTCCCATTTTTTAACTTGGATGTGATTAGATGTACTTCATTGCACGTTAATGCCTCTGTGAAAGCTCCGTCGTCATTGTTAAAACTGTCTCGTTTCATTTCATCTACTTCATTATTAATCATCTTTTCAAATTCGCTGTCATATGGTGTATCTTTCTTGAGGGACACTAGCTTCTCAAAATAGGACTTCCATTCCATTAGTACTTCATCGGGCTCAGTGAGCACTAGTCCTTCATCATTTCGTATTGCGATGGATTTACACGAATTACCCTTGCGTTGTTTGATCAAGTACCAAAACTTGTTTAAGGATAAATCTGCAGCGTCATCAATTTCCTTTTGACACTTAATTTCAAAATCATATTGAGCCCTACGGATTGCCTTTCTAAACATTCTTTTTGCGTCCTTGTAAGCCTTCCAATATGCATTTTCTGGCTCTCTAGATTTTCCATAGAACTTCCATCTATTCCACGTCATTTTCTTTTGTTTCAAGCATTCTTTTACAGTCTCCGTCCAATATGGTTTTAAATGTTTGTTGAACCTTGATTTTGGTAAGGACTGGGAGGTTACATCATTAATTATATCGGACAATTCATTAAAAAATAGTTCAATGTCCATGTTTGACATACTGCCACTTTTTTTCATATCTCGTATCAGGCTAGAAATTTTCACATTCATCAGTTGCTTATATTGTTTCAAGTGCTCATCTGTAGCTTTATTCCATGCGGGGCGTGACTTATAAGAACGAGACTCGTTTTTTCTCGCTGCTGGTTGAGTTTCAATATTTAGAGTTACTTTAATTGGCAAATGATCTGACATATTTGTTAAATCTTCATCAAACACTTTTACATTTAAGCATTTTGAAACAAGACCGCCGGTGACAAGAATATGGTCAATGTACGACTCACCAGTATAATCCCTAAAGAACGTATATGTTGGTCCCGTACAAATTGGGAACATATCTATAGGAGTCAAACCAGTTCGTTTACACATTTGATTCAGGAGTTTACCGTTATTTGAGATTGCACCTGTACCACGTGTACCTACACTATCGCCAAAGTGAGCGTTCATGTCTCCAATTATAACACAGTTACTGTTCTGAGATGATACCTCTTCAAGAACGTTCTCTAGATAATCTAATACCTCGAGAAAATTTTCCGTTTTACAGTTTGCATGGGCAGATAACAACATATGACATAAACACATTTGTAGGGGGGCTGTAGAACTTTGATTACAATCACTCGATCGGTCTTGTATTTCACTACTGGAAAGATGCAGTGACTAAGTGACTTCCGCCATAGTATTGCAACCCCACCATTTCCAATAACATGGCCCTGATCTAAGGGATCCAAGGATTTACTACTAGCAGCTGTATAAGTGAATCTGTCATGAACATTTTGTAGTTCGTTAAGACTTCCTTCAAATAACCAATGTTCATTTACACATACAATATCCGAATTTTCGCAAAGCATATGTAGCCTTACATTCGATGCATTCAACCCGTTAACGTTCCATGCGGATATAACCAATTGTTTCCCAGTTGAATCTGTTACATGCATTTGAGAGAAAAGTAAAATAACTTAAAGATGTAATAAAATGTCAGCCAGGATCGTATTAGCTTGAACTTAGCACACAGACCAACTATTTTATATTTTAACTGCAAAACTAGTGATATTTACCCACAAAACACGATTTATTAATTTGAGACGAAATTGTCAACCCCTGAAATGTTATTTTGAAGTTATGTGACTTTGACAGTTTTGTCGTGCCATGTGTCTGAAGCTATTTTGATACCTTTGAAAGGTGTTGTCACAAACTACTTACACCATCGTAACTTGGGGTTTATAGCCATTCAAGCGAGCCACAAAAGTATGTAAATTGGTTGTTATATTGTGTTTATATTCTCAATATTCCATGATCCACCTTCAATAAATTCATTGAGCATAAGAATAAAATGTTTTTATTTTTATCATTTTATCTGAATAAGCACTGGTTCAATATTTCATACAAGTCAGTCTTTGGTAAAAGCAATGGATATACGTTCCTCTGCGTATAAAAAATGAATAATAATGACAAATGAGTGAAAAAATACGTAGCATTGTATGTAGTTAAATGAGACGAAATCGAGTGTTTCGGCTGGTAGACCTATACTCCCCTCCCCTTGTAAAAATCTCAAAGAAAATCATTAATTATTCAATTCAATTACAAGTAATTAATTCAATTACAAAGTCTCCTCAAAACATCTTGAAAAATGCAATGTTTTCATTTTGAGTGGTGATTCAATTCAGCTTTAATAGGTTAGTCTCTCCTCATTTTACAGTATCAATGATTTCGAAGCCAAAAATGAATCATAAAAGAACCACTCTTCATTTTGGACATGATAATGCTATTAAAATTAAGTATGGAAGATTCTATGCCAGACAAACGTCGCAATCAGTGCCGTCGCAATACTTGCAGCACAAATAGTTCCTTTATTGAGAAACCCCTTTGTTTCATTGGCATATTGTACGGTTCTCAGTGGTCTCATCAGGTTGTCCTCACTCTCCATAATATATTTTCTTGCTTCATCCCAATTTGAATGAGGTCCATAAAGTCTAAAGACAGGAGCGAGCGGAAACCCGAAGAGGAGCTGGTGTGCAAGTTTTGGATCTGTGAAATAGAGGAGAAATATCCTCCAAGGTGTTGGTCTGACATCAAGTACGTCAGCGATACTCTCAATATACTTTGGATAAAATTCCTGAAATAAACAAAAACAATCACTCGACACCGAGTAGTGCAAGCTTAATGTACGTATTTAAAGAAATATTTAACTACATCATACAACGGGGACAAATTTTCCGTAAGCCATTGTTTAACTAATGACTAGCTAGGACATGAGATGACGTGATGGGACAATCCTTTCCCATAATCTATTGTTTTATCTTTTTATAAATCGCTGCAAAGGCGTTTTGGACTATTGCCGGTCTTAAATGTTATTGCATTTTGATTATAATACAAAGTTGACATACCATTCTGTTGTTGTATTCCACCTCTTGGAAGTTAGCCTTGATCTTTCTCAGGTCTTCTTCATCACGTTTCTTCATAATCTCCTTTGGTGGTAGTTCTAATTTTTCAGCAATAATTCTCACTACCACGCGTGCCTAGCAATAGAAACAGACTTGTTTAATTATCACTATCCTCATGATTCTTTTTTACCCATTAAGTGATAATCTGTTTTGACGTTGGAAATCATTCCTATATAATTTTCTTGATGGGGATTTTTTTTAATGTTGATCCCTGTATAAAATTTTTAATGGGGATTTTTAATTTTGACATAGCAAATTATCCCAATATAAATTTGAGATAGAATTTGAATTGGATTATGTGAGGTTTAATGGGATTTAGAGGGGGATGAATGACATCACATACCATACATTAGAATATTGAATATGGCTTTATCTGGATATAATGCATCATGTAAGAAAGCACAAACCGATGCATAAAAAACACACGAAAATCATTTCATCTTGAAGGTTTCAAAACCTTTGCAACTATTTCAGTATTTACAATTGAACAAGCATACAAGTTGCACAATGATTATTTTCCATTGATATCTCACCTGAAGTTCGAAGCAAGCGGTTGTTGCTCCAAGCATGTCAAATTGTCCAATGAAAAACAGAGAATGCGATTCATCTTCTACTGGAATTATGTGTTTGTACATATCCATAGCCTCTATTCCTCTTGAAACTGAAACATTATTATTTTGCATTGCATTGTCCTATATTTACAGTCTACGTTCGTTATAACTATTATACATTCTTAACCTTCAGAATAAAGTTCTTATTCTTATTTTCATAAATACTAATTATAAATCATAAATTTTCATAAATGTATATATTAAGAATAATGTTGGTCTTATATTGCACCTCCTGTCGAATGGTATATACCACAATGTAGTTTAATTTAGGATCATAAGCCCTATTTACAGTACACACGACATTCCAAGACGTCTTGGCTAAAACGTTTTAGAAAAAGTATGTTGCGTTTACACCACTATTTTCAAGACGTCTTACGAAATATGATTGAGTTTACACCTGTTTTTGTAAAACATCTTAGAGATATGTAGGTTAAAGCAGTTCAGTACTGGTTGAAGGACGGTTCACTCAATATAGCTATTCCTTTCCCGCTTCTATACTTTGTGCTAAAGAATTCATCGGTTTCACAAAAATATGTCCTAAAGACATATGTTATATGTTATGTGTTAAAAGCATGAAAGAGAGCAGGTAGATTTTGTGCATATATCAGATAGATAGATAGATCGCCAGGCAAATTAGTTCTTCTCGATATTTTTGGGATGATATTGGGAACATGGGATAAAAGAAAAGAAAGGACCATGCCACACATGTAAACATAAAGTTTCAAATTTTTCGTTCAGCGCAACGCAAAAAACTGGGATAAGAGCTCTTAGCTAAAACCGATGGATTTACACTCGCTTGTAAAACGTTTTAACGCTAAGACGTCTTGGTCATGGCTATGACTAGGGTCCTAAAACGTTTTAGCTAAGCGCTCTTAGCCGAGAGCTCTTGAGAAAATCTGGATTTAGGGCTCTAGTGTAAATCCAACAATTATGTTAAATAATACGGTCTTAAATATCGCACAGTTTTTTACACATGTACACTTGCTGTAAATGACGCTAACGTTCATTATGGGTGTAAAGATTAGGCATATACTGACCGATAGGATCTTCCAAAAAGTCAATACAAGGCCTGTAGCCAGTGGCAAACACAATAGCATCAATGTCATCAATTTGACTGCCATCTTCAAACTTCACTCCAGTCTCTGTTATCTCCTTTACACCTCCTTTCATCTAGTTCATTTCACAAACATTGTTAAAAAGTACATAAAGGCGTGCATTGCAAGTCTCAATTTAAAATGAGTACAGTAATAACAATTGATCGTTTTCGTAGGAAATAGGCCTAGTCTTATAAGATAAAAGTATAATTAAATTTAATGTTAGTACCGTTGTATCTTCAGGAGTTTATGAGAGATGAACACACAATTATACCGTATGTGTCATGTTCCGACACATACCTTCAACGCTCCAGCTGATATTCGGAATTCAATGTCATCGCAAATCGCTACAGCCATTTGCAGCAAGCCACGTTTTGGTTCCATGCTATATTCTTTAAAGTTAAATCGTTGACGAATGCCTGGCCCGAATATTTTGTCAAACTTCCTAGAATAATACAAACAACAAAGTCACACTAGTATATAAGGACTGGTCTTGGACTGTGAATTCATGCATGAACTTCTATTCTTTCTTTACTTCTCATACAGTGGAGTATCATAATTGAAATTATATTATACAATAAATTACTGTGAAAATGTTGAAATGGACAGAGTGATTTGACATAAATGTAAAAGGTCCAATCATTCACTGGACAGTTTTTTGTTTGTTACAATAAACCATTGGATACGGTTTTCCTTTTCGGAAAATTAAGCCAAAATGTTACATTATATTTACTTTAATTTAATCTGTTTCGATTATATTCAATTTATTTACCTCAAATCATAGCGCATAGTGGCGTATCTTGACCATATAGGCATTAGCTGACTGGGGACTCCGCCAGTAAGACGTGTCAGTGGCCAGAGACCATGTCGTGCACTCAGGTAAGCCTGGAACGAAAATAAGTTTCATTGAACTTAAAATACCCCTCAGAAGCACTGTTCATTTCAATAATAACGTACTGACGTTACGGTATCCCGAATATGATAGACATTATGGTTTCCAAATTGAATAATGTCGTGAGGATTGTTATCATTAGAGTTAATTCATAGGTAGGTAGGCATTCTAATTACACTTATTGACCAAAACATAGTATAGCCATATCTTATAACGGATAAATGGTTATTTTGGCCTTGGCCTACATTCAGGGAAATTCGGTCAAAAGTTCAAGGACAGTTGTGCAGTCTCTCAGCATAAGGCAATCAATCGTATTTTAAAACATAAAAAATAATAGCTGCGCCTGGATTTATTAATTATTTTTTAAATATTATTTAAGGTTTGCCAATTTGAGATTTTCTTCTGAAATGGAACACCATGGCAGGTGATAATGAAAATAAAATTTGAACGAGAGAGAGATTAGCTATAAATTACAAATATATAATACAAACCTGGTTAGATTCCCTGCTTATGTCACAAGCTATCTCTGAAGCTGAATTACTCCCACCTGAAGTATATTTTGACATATATTTCTAGGCACTGGTTTATAAATGTGGTCCGTACAGACTTTCGTAATAAAAGAGAGGTTGATGTTAAGTTACACGAATTTGAGAGAGAACTTGAACGTGTAACATTATGACCCCAGGAATTGTTGTCCATCTCTCAATTGGTTAAAACGAGAACCTTATTACAACTTTTTTCCTAGTATCTTCATACTAAATTGGGCAAATAAAGGACAGTAATGTGAAAACAGTCCACTATTCACTTAACCTCTTTTTTAATTTGATAATTCAAACCCGAAATCAGGGGCTAGTACTAATTACGGCAAATTAATTTCCCTTGAAACCAAACTGTTGAAAATGATTCGAGGCAATATTTGAAAAGCAGAATTAGTCAAGTCATAAAGTAAACTCACCAATTATAAGTACATTTTTTCCTCTGAATTCTTCAGGCCTGAAATAATCTCCAGCGTGTATCACCTGCCCCTTGAAAGAACTCAAGCCGTTGATTTTTGGGATGTACTGTCGATGGTAATGTCCAGTGCAAACAACAACAGCATCGACATACGCAGTGATGTTTTTACCATCTGTATGCCCAATGGTCTTCGTTGTTACAGCCCATCCAGAACCATCACTACCACGCTTCACCTTCACTACTTGCGTATTCAGTTTGATATGTGGTTTCAACTTAAATGTATCGGCGTAATCTTCATAGTATTTTCCCATTCTTTTTGCTGATAGATACATGGGTGCATCCTGTAAAATATGAAATCTGTAGGATCAGCCCATAACCAACCTTGAGAAGCGCCTCGCGTGGTCCTCAGTGTCAGATAGATGTTAGGTAAAGTCTGTAGTATGACACTTACCTTTGGAAATCTAAAGTCCGAATATGAAATCACCTCCTTGTTGTCATTAGTAATGCATGATGCATAAGGTCTACATTGAATATCAACTGGATTATTCGCATCTTTGCGGGAATCCTCATCTTCTAAACTCCACAATCCACCTACAGAAAAACTCCTTCAGGTCTAGGTATATATCATTTGGGATTTTAAGAGAAGGGTATGCAACTTCCCATTTCATACATGGGCATTGCCTTGGGATTTCGAAAAAACTCTCCAAGAAAACTTTTTATTTGTACTCATATATAATTAAAAGAAATAACTAACTAGAGATTTAAGATTGCGAGCAATCTTACGGATGCCCTGTAGGCGTTTTTGGCAATTTGAAGGTCAGCCAAAGGTCAAATCTCAAATCTAGGGTCATATATTAACACCAGGCAACTTGTAGATGATTTTTAAAAAAAAGTTTCGTCAATTTGAAGCAAGTTGAAATTTGACCTTGAAAAATTTTGAATTTTGACCTTTTTTCAGTTTTTTTGCTCTTATATCTCAAAACTGGTGAAAGATTTTAATACTTAACCAATTGCTAATATGTGTAGAACCTTTAAAGGAATGTATATTCTGACTTCCATTAAAAAATATTGATTTGTAGTCCCCAACTTTGAGAAACTTTGAAAACACAGTTTGTGATGACCGTGACCTTTCATCTTGCAAATTTTACTTTATTTGACCTCAGTAGGACTTTTGTGATCAAATATAGCTAAATTTGAATCCAGAAAATGGATTTGAAAAATCAAATTTTTTTACCTTTCGAAGGTCACTGAAAGTCAAGCAAAGGTCAAAGGTCAAGAGTAAGGTCAGATTTGGATTCCCGAGGACTTGTAGATGCTTTTTTAAAAAAAGTTTGGTCAATTTAGAGTAAGTTGAGATTTAGTCTTGAAAAATTTCGAAATTTGACCTTTTTTCAGTTTTTGAGTTCTAATATCTCAAAACTGGTACACAATTTTAATAAATAGTCAATTGCTAATATGTGTAGAACCTATAGATGAATATATATCCTGACTTTCATGAAAAAATATTGATTTGTAGTCACCAAAACTTAGAAACTTGGAAAACACAGTTTGGTTTGGTTTGATGACCTTGACCTTTGACCTTGCAAATTTTACTTTTTTAGACCTCAGTGGGTCTTTTGTGATCAAATATACCGAAATTTGAATCCAGAAAATCAATTTGAAAAATCAACTTTTTTTAGTTTTAGCTTTCCAAGGTCACTGAAGGTCAACCAAAGGTCAGATGTCAAAATTAATGTCAGATTTGAGTTCCTGAGAACTTGTAGATGCTTTTTAAAAAAAAGTTTGGTCAGTTTGAAGCAATGTGAAATTTGACCTTGAAAGATTTCAACATTAGACCTTTTTTTCAGCTTTTGAGGTCCAATATCTCAAAACTGGTGCAGAATTTTAATAGATAATCAATTGTTAATATGTGTAAAACCTTTAGAGGAATATATATCTTGACTTTAATTCAAAAATATTGATTTGTAGTCACAAACTTTGAGAAACTTAGAAAACACAGTTTGTGATCTTGTTTGATGACCTTGACCTTTGACCTTGAAAATTTTACTTTTTTAGACCTCAGTATATCTTTTGTGATTGAATAAACCTAAATTTGAATCCAGAAAATCAATTTGAAAAATCAACTTTTTTGACCTTTCGAAGGTCACTGAAGGTCAACTAAAGGTCATAGGTCGAAACTAAGGTCAGATTTGAGTTCCTGAGATTTTGTAGATGCTTTTTAAAAAAAAGTTTGGTCAATTTAGAGCAAGTTGAAATTTGACCTTGAAAAATTTCGAAATTTGACCTTTCTCTACACACTTTTCTGAGTATGAAAAACTGAGAGATGTAAACCGGATATGGATATATGGAATGAGTTCTGAATCCTGAAAATAACAAAATGATCGCTCCAATGAAAATTGCATAAAAAATTCAAACGTACACACTAAGCTTAATATCGCAATAATACTGTCCACCATTTGTGAATTAAAGGAAGTGAAGTTAATTCATTTTGCATACGATTTACATACCTATCAACGGACGTTTGTCGTAACAGATGACATCTAACCCTTCCTGCAGACACCATTTGACGGCCGCTAACCCAGATGTACCTGCTCCAATTACACAAACCTTCTTCTTAGACATCCTTTGACTTTCGAATTCGTTTTGTTCAGCTGATGTCTATGTGCTGAACAGTCTAGTATTGAATGTCAAGGTTGTTTTTATTTTTACGCATTGTTTTGATATAAATCATTTTTTATCATATAGCGTACGCGTTATTTAAGTCAGAGTGTTTTCTACACTTGTAGGTTCATGTAAGTTGTTTGTATGTAGCTATGATTAACAGTAGGTTGTTTTGACATAACAGGTTGAGTTGAGTTTTTTATGGCTTTGTATAAAAAACCTCCTACCTCATACCCACCTACCCACGTACGTGGGATATGATACAGTCTTTAAAGGTTCAATTTTAAAGATCTTAGTTTATTAAATCTAAGTTTATGATGAAATATAGATGCATTTGTAACGACCCTTGATAGCAAGTTGCTATTTATTGGACCTATGCTCGTGGTCGTTAGTTATTTATTCCCCTGAGGCGCCCTCGGGTCATTACACATTAAAATGCATCCATATGCCTTTATCCATGGATCTGTCATCTGTCTAGTCATAAAATAAAGCCGTAATTCTAGAAATGTTAATAATTTGAGATATTTTGAGATTTCATAATCTTTAAAATTGAACCCTTCAATGACTGTATCATGTTCCAGTACGTAGGTGGGTAGGTAGGTGTGAGGTAGAAGGTTTTTTATACAAAGCCGTTTTTTTATCAATCCGTAATGCATAGGACAAATGTGAACCGATGTACATGATGTAAACTGTTTTTGTATGATAAGATATACGGGTTGTGATCCAAAAAAGTCCGGTGTGGGAAGCATACTATTTTTCATAAAAACACTAAGAAAACGTACACAACCTATTTTTTACATTTATATTTTGTTATACCAAAGAAAATTACCTTCTCCATGCAATGGGTTAGTTAATCATTTGCGGGTAAAATTCACTTTCTATTTCAACTTATAAAAATTAATGTTCGAATTTTTAAGTACGGCGTGGAGGAGCTTCAATTGTAACTACTCTTTGAGAAGAGAACGTTCCACACCCCTTTTCCAAATTGTACAGAGATATGCCTTGAAAATGTAATGATACAAAAAAGGCAGAACGATATAACATAGAAATGCTATTTCAATAATCCTGGTAATATAATTTGTGTTTGTATCACATACATGTACGACATACGTATGATACGAGACGTCACAATAGCTAGAACAATTGATTAACTGGTCTATATTTGAGTATGTATGACCGCTACTTAGTCTTTATTGATTTTAGGTTTTTATTCCTTAAACATTTAATAAAAAAAAAATTCTAAGTACTCATGAGTTCATCAAACTTAATTGCTGAGGACGAGGGATGTTTATAAAACTATTTTGGAATGTATTTAAATCTCTGGCCTTTTAAACTTTTACATCGTAAGCTTAATATGAAATGGAACTCATCACCAATTTTCGTCATATAAATCACAATAGCGATTCCCTCTTGGAGTATTTTGATATCTGTCTTTCTCAACTGTTCACCGTGGTGGAACTTTTGACACTTGTCATGAAAGCGGATCCGTTTCAGTCCAGAAGGACATAGTTGGAGAAGGCGTGGCTTACCACGATGTTAGCATATATGGAAGATTCTATGCCAGACAAACGCTGCGATCAGTCCCGTCGCAATACTTGCAGCACAAACAGTTCCTTTATTGAGAAACCCCTTTGTTTCATTTGCATATTGAACGGTTCTCAGTGGTCTCATCAGGTTGTCCTCACTCTCCATAATATATTTTCTTGCTTCATCCCAGTTTGAATGAGGTCCATATAATCTGAAGCACGCGGCGAGTGGAAACCCGAACAGGAGCTGGTGTGCAAGTTTTGGATCTGTGAAGTAGAGGAGAAATATCCTCCAAGGTGTTGGTCTGACATCAAGTACGTCAGCTATACTCTCGATATACTTTGGATAAAATTCCTGGAATAAACAAAATGCAACCAAAACCATCGAATACCACCTTTTATGAAGTGTGGATTTTTGCTATAAGAGTACACCTTCCTCTATAAGATAGTGTACCTGCTAAACAGAGGGGTCAGATAAATTGTATTTCTAGCGAATTTTCCTGTACAAATGGTAAAAGTATAAATCGGGAAAAATCAAAATAGATTCAATATTTCAGAAATTCCTTTCTTTTAACCTTTTATATCCTGAATATTTCAGGGTTGTTTTCCAAGTGTTTTATACTGATTTATCAGGCAACCGCTTAGATATATAGAGAGAGAGAGCTACTAAGCTACCATTTTTGTGGAATACGTGACGTGCCATAATGAATTTTTAGTGATGTTTTATGGTTACGAAAACGGATACGTTTCAGTAATAAAATGGTACAGCCTCAGAGGTTCGATTTTTCCATCATTTTACGAGTTGTGTACAGAATCACATGTTACAAAAAGTTAAGATTTTTACGTTTTAAACGTTCTATTTACGTAGCAAAAAATGAGTAATAGAAAATTCTGGCGGCGTCTCTGATGAACTATTCGTTCGCAGACGCTTAGATTTTCTTAAACATATGATACTGACATATCTACCTTTGTGCGAAAAAAGGTTGTGACGGTCTGCCTACATCTTGTGAAATCATGGAAAAGGAAAACTCGTACCTCCGAGGGCAGGTTGTTTCATTTTGTTATCGAAACATATCCATTCTTGTAACAATGTATAATTATCAACTATGCATGCCATACCATTATTTTATAGCTGTACTCCCCATCTCCAAATATGTCTTTAATCCTTCTCCTGTCGTCTTCAACACATTTCTTCATGACTTCCTTAGATGGAAGTTCTAACTTCTCGGCAATTATTCTCACTGCTACACGTGCCTAGCCAAAGTGAGGAAGGACGAATCAGTAAGTTAGAGTTAGTTAATTAGAGTACTCAATTATATCTCAAATCAATCATTACCAAGACATCAACATCCAAAATGTCACCACCTGCCATTTCACAAAGACGCCGACCGCCGAACACCAGCCGCCGAACATCGGCCACAAAAAACTTGGAGACCACAACAATATGTGATGGTGACGTAAAAACACAATTCTGTTTATGTCCAATGGTCTAATTATACCATGACCCTCTTACATCACATATACTACGTCAAAGTCAACATACATAACATCACATAAACATAAATAAGTAAATCCCCACAGCCCTACCTGAAGCTCGAAACAAGGGATGGCACCACCTACTATTTGTAGGTGCCCGATGAGAAACAGAGAATGCGACTCATCTTCTACTGGCAATATGTGTTTGTACAAATGCATGGTTTCTATGTCTCCAACTGTAACATAATAACTTGATCCTTGTGACATATGTTACTTCATGATATTTCAAATGACTGTATAGTCGCGGGTGTATAATGTACGTACCATACTTCCATACTCATGGCTAATATTACAAGATATTGGAAATTTTTTAAAATATTCAATTCTAGTGCTAGTATAATTAACAGTAGTGTGTTCAAAGCTTCAAGTGCAGGTTGTCTAGGTTTTAATCAATGTCTAAAGACTACTGACCAACAGGATCTTCCAGGAAGTCAATACAAGGTCTGTAGCCAGTGGCAAACACAAAAGCATCAATGTCATCAATCTGACTTCCATCTTCAAACTTCACTCCAGTCTCTGTTATCTGCTTTATACTGCCTTTCATCTAGTGAAAAGGAAATAAATTATTATTTGAGACTGATTTATTATAGGTGGACCAGTTTACCTGTCGGCCTGTAAATTTTGGGCAAACCAAAACTCCGAATGTCCCTCATCAGAATCTGGACAACCCTGTCTACATGAATATAGTATAACATATATATAGTGTACCTTCAAAGCTCCGGCTACATTTTTCTAAATGTACAGTGTACCTTCTTTTTAAAGCTCAGTGCACAATTCTTTGGGAAATGTTTTAATGTCTAGTCATCTTATCCACCACCCACTTGTTTTACTACACAGCCGCTACTTGTATTTGCATTTTGAAATGATTAACTTTAATGAATAAAACTTAATAAATAAAAACAAAATTCAAAGCCCCGGCTACATTTTTCTAAATGTACCTTCAAAGCCCCGGCTGCAATTCTGAATTCGATGTCATCACAAACCGCTACTGCCATTCGAAGCAGGCCTCGTTTTGGTTCCATACTGTAGTCTTCGAAATTAAACCTTTGACGAATTGCAGGTCCAAATAGTTTGTCAAAGTATCTGAAAGAAATTCAAATACTCAGTACACTAGGCGGCATTTTATATCTTAATTCTCAAAGTAACACTGCATATTATTCATAAATCATCGCTATCATCTCACCGTCTTTTCCTGCTCTTTGTCTAATGAAATATCAAGTGTAATTACAATTGTATATAATATGATTCTCTCACATGTACAGAGCCAATAAAGTCGGCTATGTTTTTTTTATTTTAAGTGCTACACAAGGTAAGTATAAAAGTGGATTGGATTCATGGAAAGGTGGATTTGATCGGGAATCTTCAAACTATGGAATTTCCATAGTTAAAAGCTTTGATTAAATATTATCCTGCACAGATGGTGCATAGTATGTTTCTTGTGTGATAAAGTGTGAAATGCATGAAGCAGTGATATACATAATTGTATATGAATGTTTAGCATCAATTAAAGTAACTTTCCATGATTTCATCTAAAAATTAAAACCCTTGGAAATACTAAATATGGTTTGAGTGCCATATATAAAATTTATTTTAGAAATATTGTGGATCAAAATAAAAAAATGAATAAAATGAAGAATGAAAACATATTCCACCCGTGGGATTTGAACTCAGATCTTTTGGAATAAAAGTCTGGTAGAGTCCAAAGCTCTAACCACTACACCAAACAGCCGAAGCTTCCTGACATAAGAAATTCTTTATCTATATAATCATGGACGAAAAAAGTCTTATTTATATGCTTAAATTTCTTAGAAATGATCAGCATTACTACTTATAATAACATTTTGCATGTCTGAGTAAGTATTTTGATCTACATTTAGGATAAATGTTGTTTTATTCAGTTTTCATTTTGGGTATGACTTCCTGTCAAAACAGTGTTAAAAATGCAGGGCTCAACAAAAATTTTCAATTAGAAAATGATATATATCCTTTGATCAGCTGTTTTTGGCACCTGAACTCATCCTACTAGAAAGGTAAGAGCATTTTCTTGAGACATATGGCTCGAAATCTCATATTTCTCCTTCTAAGTCTTAGAAAGACACTTTAAGAATTAAAATCTTAAGAACGTTTTTGTCAAGGCATCTCACTCTTATGAAATTATCCACGATAACAACGAACAATAAATTCACCATTTCATACAAGTCTTACACAGAATGTACACGTCTGATCTACATAGGAAATCATAATATTGTTTCATAATTGAAAACATTATACCAAAACTACATGGTAACAGTTTTGAGACACCCTGTATCATATAACACAATGTTAGATGGCGAACATTTATCAACTTCGTTATGCATTCATAATTAATCTATGATGCTGATGGTGACATATGATTTCTCCGCATTCCAGATATCAACATTTATCAATGGAAAAAATCTTATATTTCATATTTTGAAGATTCCCGATCTAATCCACCTTTTATATTGTCGATAATATATCAGTGTGTCCCTAAGACGGTGTCGGTCTTTTCGTCTAATATTTTAGGCTATGATAGGCTGTATGAATGTTCTATCGCACAACATGAAATATGTTGAGGTTTTGGGATCTCCCTGTAGAGTAATATTTTACTTACCTCAAATCGTATCGCATGTTAGTGTATCTTGACCATGGAGGCATCAACTGTCCTGGTATTCCTCCGGCCAAACGCGCTAGTGGCCAGAGACCACACCTTGCGCTAAGATAAGCCTGGTATGAAATGGTACAATGGATATATGGCATTAACTATTTACATACTACAATAGTATATTGATCAATATTATATGACTATTTAAGACTGTTAGATTCAGCATTATATATCACGGTCAAGAAATAAAAAATAAAATGTTGTGGTAGTTTGTATTATTACGTATTGTTTACCCAACTCTTCATATTATAAGATTACATATCTGGTCATTTTAAAGTATCATTATGGTGAAAGACAGGTCATGCTGGAAAATAGTGCGAGCGGAAATTTTTTTGTTATTGTTTACAGGTCACCCCCCCCCCCTCGTATTCCCTATCCGGCCTCTACCCCCATTCTTCTCTTCATGACAAACCTGATTGGATTCTTTGCTGATATCACAAGCTATCTCTGCAGCTGAATTACTACCACCTGGAATAAGAATGTCGGCTAGCACAGTAATATGAGACCAGGCTTATTCAATTAAATTTAATGAGGCAAATTAGAGAAAAGCAGTACATATCTAGGCTGATTTGAAAGTTAACTCACCAACTATGAGCACATTTTGTCCTCTGAACGCCTCTGGTTTGTAGTAATCTCCAGAATGAACGATCCGACCTTTGAACGAACCCAGGCCGTTAACATTCGGGATGTATTGACGATTATGAATGCCAGTACAAATAACAACAGCATCTACTGTCTCAGCAACGCCTTCACTATCTGTTGTATCAACTAGCTTAGTTGTAACAACCCACCCGGAGCCATTAATTTCACGCTTCACGTTTACCACTTGTGTATTTAAATTGATATGTGGTCTCAACTTGAATGTATCAGCATAGTCTTCAAAGAATTTGCCCAATCTTTTTGCAGATATATACATAGACACATCCTACAACAATAAGCTAGATGCGCGTAGAAATGAACTTGATTTACGTCATTCGCATCTGAGTTATTGATAGAGATGATTTTGTTTGCAGGAACATGTGTGAAAACGCTAGCTTTGGATTTAGATCGAAGTTTAAACAAAAGATATATCAAACTGAGTTTTCAGAACAAGATTTCCCTATAATACGGTGATCCCAGGTCATCTCAAGCCCAAGTCAACTCAACCCAGTAAAACTCAACCCTCCGCTCAACCCCAAGTCGACTCAACCCCGGTAAAACTCAACCTCAAGTCAACTCAACCCCATTCATTTCTGCACTTTTGCATATTCCACTTTGCAGGACAGATCTTCGCCCTGCCCAAGTTGGTATTTTTAGAATATGGTTATCAAAAATTGAAACAAAATTATAAAAAAAATTATTCAACAAACTTTTAGATCATATGGTGTACAAAATCAGTGCTAAAATATATAAGGATTGAGTTTTACAGGGGTTGAATTGATTTGGGGTTGAGTTTTACTGGGGTTGAGTTACAAAAGCCTGGCTACGAGCATGGTGTTTAATAGTAATTATATCCAGAAAATACTAATCGAATTGAAAATAAATCGAATCATTGCATTACAAGTTAAAGTATTCCTACAAGATAAAGGTTAGGCTTACCTTTGGGAATCTAAAGTCTGAATATGAAAGCGCCTCCTTGTTGTCATTAGTAATGCATGAGGCATACGGTCTACATTGAATATTAGCTGGATTATTCGAATCATTGCGAGAATCCTCATTTTCTAAACTCCACAATCCACCTACATTGGATGCACAACCGATGTAATATTTATACAATATGTGTTTTAATTTTTCAGTTGAAAAAACTTTTTCTGGAAAATGAGTGAAAATAATCGAAACATTTCTTGGCGATACACGTTTAGCATTGGCCTCAGTTTTTGGTCCTCTTTAATGGTCATAAAGCCTATTAAAAAGGGATTCGCAGGATTTGATCGGATTTTTCCCCAAAACGTCGTCTCCCTCCCACTTGGTAATTTCCTGTCCACCGCGTAAATTATGCTACGTTGGCCAGGTCAACAATTTAAAACTTGCGTTCATGGAACAACCGACGATCCGAGGACGAGTGTAGACTTCGTTTTCCATCCCATCTGAGTCTCAACAGAGTAAACAACAACGACGGCAGTGACAGCATGCATTTTGAAATACTTTAGGCAGAGATTTATCCCACAGGCAGGGCTCTAAGAAAAAGATTCAGCATGACATCAATACCCCGGTAGCGTAGTCAGAAAAAACTAAAATTCTACCCAGCAAAATGCTAAACGATGCACTTCGGAAATAAAAATGTTAAGAAGAAATATAAAATGAATAATAACAATATCAAAGACTCTGAATTAGAAAAAGACTTAGGAGTGCATATGAACTGACAAGAACTGAAATTCCAAGTTCATGTAAATAAATGTACAAAGCTAACCAATACTTGGATCCATCAAAAGAATCTTCTCAAGTTGAGATGAAACAGCACTCCCACTAACAATGACCACAACTGCAATAAGGAAACTCAATATGGCATCCAAATGGGCATCACTTAGTCAGTCGAGTGTGCAAAAGAGGGCCATCTTGATTCACAAGGTTTAAGTTGCTCCAACTTCACCAAGGTTTGTCATTACCACCTTGGAATATCTAAAATATCTACGCTACCGTGAAAGACGTCAACAGCTGGTGTATACTCAGTGAGTTACAGAAGGAGAAGAGACATCAGGTGTATAGAACATTAAATGGAAATTATAACCTAGAAATAGACATCGTTTTTAAGTATTAGGCTTTACAAAAAGTCACTCGTGAGCAGCAATATGTTCTCTATCCTAAATTCAGTTTCAATTTAAGCTCAGGGTGCATTTTCGGAATTTTGCTGCAACCGGCCTCAATAGGGTCACGTTATTTTCCAAATTTGAATCACTCCTTTCCGCCAATGTCTACATCTCTTACTTTTGCACAACGAGTGCACTAATGTACCTAGAAAAGAATGTAGATAAGAATGTTTTGATAAAATGTATAAAAAACAAGACCATGGCTTTCATTTATTAATCTGAATGTTCTTGTTGCCGTGACTGGGTTTAACTTCCGTGCTATGCTTTCATCTGTTGGAAATTCTCACTATCAGTTATAAATAAAACGCGCATGGAATTAAATGCGCGTGTATAGGCCACTATTAAATTTTTTGCATGAAGGGTCGAATAGTCACGGACGTTAAACCAAGGGAGGGCCACAAGATATGTCAGGTAAGAAATAAGGCCCAGACTAGGTTTAACTTGTTGAACTACCAACCCTCCTAAACTTGATGACTATGATACATACCTATCAACGGACGTTTGTCGTAACATATGACATCTAACCCTTCCTGCAGACACCATTTGACGGCCGCTAACCCAGAGGCCCCTGCTCCAATTACACAAACCTTCTTCTTATGCATACTCCTTACCCGAGGCACAATACGATTTAGATGTTTTAAAAGTGACTTTGCGTACTTAGTTGTTTACATGTATATGATATGCAATGAATTCTCAACTGTACTGTATCTAGAAACGATTTCTTGTACACTTCTTATTTTAGGTCATGTTAACAGTTCGAACGTACAACTTAAACATACAATTCAATAACTGAGTTGATTATAACCTGCATTTACTAATAAAAGATTTCAAGACTTTGTCTTTAATCACGGGGTGGGAATGTGTTAATTCCTGATATATGGGTTAGTTTTTAAAAAAAGGTATCAATCGATAGGCTAGACTTTGTTTATTTTTTGTAGAAATGCTACTTTTGGCCAATTGAATTCCACAGTATACAATTCGTCTAAGTCCAGAAGTAGCACAAAATAAAATCCAAAAATCTCTACCCTATATAATGAGACTGATGGATGCAATTCATGAGCCGGAGTTTGGCATTGCCAGAACATTTTCGCAGAAGTTATGAACAATAATGCCTAAAATCAATCAATATTTTGCAGAAAGTTGCTCTGATCAAATTCTAAAGGCTCAATGAATCTGTTACGCGGCCATAAATGTAGGCCTATGCCATATTCCGCGTAACAAATCACACACGCCTGTATTGTTTCACAAGACTTCAAGACTTTGAATGAGGGCGACAAAGGATATAAGATATGAGTGCATAAATTATTTTTACACATTTCAAAAGATTTTCTACAATGTAAATTATCTTATGCTGTAGTCTTACCGAAATGTTATCAAGTTTGAATCTGTGATATCATGTGAAACTTTTCAAAAAGTTGTTTTTGAAGCACTTTTGTTCGAAAATTTTTTTGTTTGATAATTTTTTGTTGTCACACATTTAAAATCTCAATTCTTATTAAAACCAAGGCCGAATGGTGCAAGAATATTTTAAACATAAGTCATGAATATTGTTTTATTTTGAAAACATTTCGAAAAGATTTAGTGAAGCAAAAAACACCTCCAGAAGGGGAACACCTCTGTTAGAGGAAAACTTTTGGAGTCCAAAGACCAACTGACTTAATGTTAACCTACCTCCCAAAGATCTTCCTCTTGGTCAGGTTTTACCGTGCAATGTTTTCACTTAACTCAGATGCCAAATTGAAATTTATGAAATTGATGGGGGTGATCAATTTTGTCTAAAAATACCCATGGGGTAAAATTAAATAATATTTACATATGGTTTCAGCATAACTCTGATGGTAATGAGATCTAGAACTAGGCGGCCTTTTGTGTCTTTTTATTTATTTATAAAAAATAATGTTAAATTTTTGTCTGCTGTGGAGGAGCACGGTTTTACATGTGAAATACATAAGATTCCTGTTCCGGCTAACATTTCACAGAGACTTCAGAGACTGAAAGAGAGAGAGAACCAATGGCGTAGCGTCATATACGCATAATACGCATAAAATTTTAATTATTCAATTTGAATCATTCCTAAAAACATGAAGTATAACAAACTTTAGTGACAACTAAACACATTCGAAAAATGCTCTCATCATGGTAACACATTCATGATTTGTTACTGACTGCAGAAGGAGAATCGGCAAATCAATTATTGAGCGATCGTGGCATAGATTCCGGCCAGATCCTTTTGGAGTAGAACCAGTAGCAGTGGCGGATCCAGGGGCGCCGGGCCACTGCCCCCCCCCCCCTTCCTATTGCCGGGCAGAAAAAAAATTGGGTCCAAAAAATGTTGGGCCAAAAAAGGCTTTTAAGGCCCCAAAAGTGGGCCTTTTTGGTCACTACTGGGCCTTATAAGGCCTTATTTTTTAATTTCAGGCTCAATAAATATTCTTTGAGCATATGAGATCGTACTGCAAAACGATCTGGCCAAGGCATGGGTAAGAGCGTTTTGTAAGCTCATGCGACCTCATTATGTCCAAGATGGCCGCTAATCACCCAAATTCTGTATAAGAAAATTCTCATGTATGTGCTGCACGACCATATAAAAAACATGTGTAGCAGCGTAGTATACACAGCCTGTGCTATCCTAGCCTGAGACCACCCCAGCGTAGCAGCGTAGTAGACGTAGTATGCGTAGTAAGTGTAGTATGCTCCTAGCCTGACCCTACCCCAGCGTAGTAGCGTAGTATACGTAGTAAGTGTAGTATGTGTAGTATGCTCCTAGCCTGACCCTACCCCAGCGTAGTAGCGTAGTATACGTAGTAAGTGTAGTAAGTGTAGTATGCTCCTAGCCTGACCCCACCCCAGCGTAGTAGCGTAGTATGCGTAGTAAGTGTAGTAAGTGTAGTGTGCTCCTAGCCTGACCCCACCCTAGCGTAGTAACGTAGTTTACGTAGTAAGTGTAGTAAGTGTAGCATGCTCCTAGCCTGACCCTACCCCAACGTAGTAGCGTAGTATACGTAGTAAGTGTAGTAAGTGTAGGATGCTCCTAGCCTGACCCTACACCAGCGTAGTAGCGTAGTATACGTAGTAAGTGTAGTATGTGTAGTATGCTCCTAGCCTGACCCTACCCCAGCGTATTAGCGTAGTATACGTAGTAAGTGTAGTATGCTCCTAGCCTGACCCTACCCCAGCGTAGTAGCGTAGTATACGTAGTAAGTGTAGTATGCTCCTAGGCTGACCCTACCCCAGCGTAGTAGCGTAGTATACGTAGTAAGTGTAGTAAGTGTAGCATGCTCCTAGCCTGACCCTACCTCCGCGTAGTAGCGTAGTATACGTAGTAAGTGTAGTAAGTGTAGCATGCTCCTAGCCTGACCCTACCCCAGCGTAGTAGCGTAGTATGCGTAGTAAGTGTAGTAAGTGTAGCATGCTCCTAGCCTGACCCCACCCCAGCGTAGTAGCGTAGTATGCGTAGTAAGTGTAGTAAGTGTAGCATGCTCCTAGCCTGACCCCACCCCAGCGTAGTAGCGTAGTATACGTAGTAAGTGTAGTAAGTGTAGTATGCTCCTAGCCTGACCCCACCCCAGCGTAGTAGCGTAGTATGCGTAGTAAGTGTAGTAAGTGTAGTGTGCTCCTAGCCTGTCCCCACCCCAGCGTAGTAGCGTAGTATACGTAGTAAGTGTAGTAAGTGTAGTATGCTCCTAGCCTGACCCCACTACAGCGTAGTAGCGTAGTATGCGTAGTAAGTGTAGTAAGTGTAGTGTGCTCCTAGCCTGACCCCACCCCAGCGTAGTAACGTAGTTTACGTAGTAAGTGTAGTATGCTCCTAGCCTGACCCTACCCCAGCGTAGTAGCGTAGTATGCGTAGTAAGTGTAGTAAGTGTAGTATGCTCCTAGCCTGACCCCACCCCAGCGTAGTAGCGTAGTATACGTAGTAAGTGTAGTAAGTGTAGCATGCTCCTAGCCTGACCCTACACCAGCGTAGTGGCGTAGTATACGTAGTAAGTGTAGTATGTGTAGTATGCTCCTAGCCTGACCCTACCCCAGCGTAGTAGCGTAGTATACGTAGTAAGTGTAGTATGCTGCTCCTAGCCTGACCCCACCCCAGCGTAGTAACGTAGTTTACGTAGTAAGTGTAGTAAGTGTAGCATGCTCCTAGCCTGACCCTACCCCAGCGTAGTAGCGTAGTATACGTAGTAAGTGTAGTAAGCGTAGTATGCTCCTAGCCTGACCCCACCCCAGCGTAGTAGCGTAGTATACGTAGTAAGTGTAGTAAGTGTAGTATGCTTCTAGCCTGACCCCACCCCAGCGTAGTAACGTAGTTTACGTAGTAAGTGTAGTAAGTGTAGCATGCTCCTAGCCTGACCCTTCCCCAGCGTACTAGCGTAGTATACGTAGTAAGTGTAGTAAGTGTAGCGTGCTCCTAGCCTAACCCTACCCCAGCGTAGTAGCGTAGTATACGTAGTAAGTGTAGTAAGTGTAGTATGCTCCTAGCCTGACCCTACCCCAGCGTAGTAGCGTAGTATGCGTAGTAAGTGTAGTGTGCTCCTAGCCTGACCCCACCCCAGCGTAGTAACGTAGTTTACGTAGTAAGTGTAGTAAGTGTAGTGTGCTCCTAGCCTGACCCCACCCCAGCGTAGTAACGTAGTTTACGTAGTAAGTGTAGTAAGTGTAGCATGCTCCTAGCCTGACCCTTCCCCAGCGTAGTAGCGTAGTATACGTAGTAAGTGTAGTATGTGTAGTATGCTCCTAGCCTGACCCTACCCCAGCGTAGTAGCGTAGTATACGTAGTAAGTGTAGTAAGTGTAGTATGCTCCTAGCCTGACCCTACCCCAGCGTAGTAGCGTAGTATACGTAGTAAGTGTAGCAGCCTAGTGTACGTAGTAAGTGTATTAAGTGTAACTGTAATATACTCTTAGCCTGAGCCTACCCTAGCGTATGAATGTTATCAACCTGGTTAAGTCACCATATATGTTCCACAACACGTACTCCAACATATTTTGTCCTCCTAAATTACGTAATAAATGATGTTACATTTCGCTGGAATACTCAAAGTACCAACCACTCCTAAATGCGAACAAATTGAATCCAGGGACAAATGATTTTTTCTATCAATATACGTTATACTGAACAGTATATTGAAACGATCAAATTTTTTGTTATCAACCTGGTTAAGTCACCATATGTGTTCCACAACACGTACTCCAACATATTTTGTCCTCCGAAATTACGTAATAAATGATGTAACATTTAGCTGGAATACTCAAAGTACCAACCAGTCCTATCTGCCTACAAATTGAATCCAGGGACAAATGATTTTTTCTATCAATATACGTTATATTGAACAGTATATTGAAAAGATCAAATGTTTGTTATCAACCTGGTTATGGTTATATGGTTACTAGTTATATGTGTTCCACAAATCATACTCCAACATATTTGTCCTCCGAAATTACTTATTAAATGATGTTACATTTCCCTGGAATACTCAAATTACCAACCAGTCCTATATGCGTACAAATTTAATCCAGGGACAAATTATTTTTTCTATCAATATACTGAACATTTATTAAGAAAATTGTTAGTTTCTTTAATTGAAAGACGATTTTCTGGGAATGAC